TTTAAGTTATTAGCTAGATATATTATTTATAGTTAGGGCTTATAGCTAAGAGCTTAAACCAGTAGACAGAACTTAGTTAGCTTCTTTAGTACTGATAGAGGCTATTTTAAATCGAACTTAAGAGAGAAGCGTCGTTGTGAGAAAACATTGATAGGAAGAAAATTGGAGATGCTGACAGTCAGACTCGGTCAGACAGACGTGGTAGGTAAAGTGGGGTGATAGCAACGTTGAATTCATGCAACTCTCTGTTATCTCCGCGTTTAAAATAGAATCCTTGTTAAGCTTAGGAATAGCCGGGCCTAATGATCTCGCCAATGAGGGTCGTCTAAAAGAAGGCAATCATAACCTAAGCTCAACCAAGGCCAACCTGAGCTGCCATATCTAAAGCGGTAATCTCATATGGCTCATGTCCTCCTTCTGCAACATTATTTTCTTCCTGCAAGATATTCTCTAAGCAGACACCTCCATGCATGATTCTTTTCGGCTGTCATTTACCAAATCTCATCACACTTGGTCTTGTCCTTTCCACAGATGTACTGTAATGACATTTAGCTGACAATGCTTGCGCAAATCGCAGTGATTTATTTACCGTGTATGGACTGCCAGGGCAATCATAAAGGTGGCAAGGCCGTCCCATGCACTCTTTGGTACATGGAACAACTCGAAGAACAGTAGCTCCCTCGCAAACGGTACTGTCACAAGCATTGACTGCGGTGGCAGCGAGGGCAAAGAGAGCAGTGTAGAAGAGCTTCATGATTGTGAGAAAAAGCCGGCGTTGGTTGGTCTGTTGAGTTTGCAAGTGACAGAGTGCGTTGAAATAAAGTCATTCTTCGGAGAGAAGTATGCTTCCTTTATAGACATTGCGGCATCGAGGGCCTGGGACTTGGCAGCTGAACATCTCTTCATACATGATCAAAGCTCGAAGAGTTGATACGGAAGGGCCGATTTCGACAACCGATTGAGGAGCTTCTTTCTTCCTCGTGGGGTCGAAAGAAAGAAAGTAATCAGCCGTATGGATAACGATTCGCTTGAGTGAATTAAGCTTACTTCCCATGACCTACGTTTTGCAGATCCTCCTTGCATCGTCATGTGAGCGTATCCAATCGAGCGAACCTGTTACAAAGATGCTGACGGCGAGGTCATTGCATATCTTAGTCTGAGACACGGCAAAGCGCCAGGAATGTCCTTACAAGGAAGTTTAAATAATCGTATAATGTGTCAACGTCAGCTCACATGAAACAGAATGCGAATACTGTCTCACGAGGATGGTAGGCTTTCGCTTCTTACACCGCGATGGAGTCCTGCGTAAGCAGGGAACTCCAACTCATAACGAATAACAGCCATGTATTCCATTTTGATCCGGTCTTGGCAGCTCCTTATCCTCCATTACCAACCCGTCAAGACTCGAAGCTAAACTTCAAACCAGGTAGAATCTCTATACTTTCAGGGCTGTCCTTGTCGCCCAGAAGAGTGAGGTGAATGTGCCTCTCCTGACTCTGATTACTTTCCAGAGTAATCTCTTGCTTTCCCTTCGTAGAACCAGAGTGAACAACGAAAGGCCATCTGCCCTTTCCTGTAGTGGATCCATGAATTCCGTCGTAAACACCACCAATGACTTCACGTTCCTCCTTGGACACTGAGATCGACACTCCCGAGATTCCGATTGCCCCAGAAGGGTGTTTTGTGTAAGAAGCGTCTGATCCATCGTCTTCCTTGTAAGGGACTCGTAAGTGTCTTGGAGTGCGGTCCAGACACCAGAATGGTGCCTTACCTGGATGGACAGCCTTGCCCGAAATGGTGTAGGCAGAAGCAACGGACCATTTCAATTCAACTCCATCAGGTCTGATACGACCGCCAGCGACTGGCCAGTGGTAGAAGATCTCAGAGTTCGCTTCCTTGACCCGCTGTTGGATTACTCCAAAGTCCTTTTCATCAGGGAGTGTATATGCCCAGTCGACGAGAGTGTTCTCTTCTAGCTCTCCCCATCTATGCGTCTTTCGCTTTTCTGGATCTAAGCCGTGTTGAAAGGCGATGAGCTCGATATAGACTCCATCAGAAAATTCGATCAGTTTGTTGACTGTCCGGCCATCTGCGTGAGCCCCGCCATCAATTACTGTGAGGACATTCTCCAATCGCTTTGGCAGTTCCTGCAGCGTTTGGCTAGACACTAAGATCACAATGTGATCTAAAATTGGCCGCAGACTGCTGCTTTTGGTCATTTCAAAGAATGTTGTGATGTTGAAAGGTTGAAAATGATGATGAGGGGAATAGTTCGGTGTTCTAGTCATTTTACAGCAGCCAATTGCGTGATCAGAACCAGTATTACGTCAACACATCAAAATTTGCGACAGATGAGGCTGACCCGGACTTTCTCATTGGAATTGCTAGCTTTTAGGTAGAACTAAATACTTGTTTAGGTATGAGCCTGTAGACTTTCCTTCGTAGGCCTCTCTGGATCTGTAGCAATCTGATCTAGCTCATCCATAGCATCCCATAAATCAGGTTCTTCCACATCACAACGCTTGGAGCTTTCATCCCTTGGTTGGGGCCCAATTTCCCAAACCACTCCAATCGACTCGGTATCCCGTAGTTGTTCGTCTGTGAGCCGTTGTTTATCAAGATATTGTTCGACATCCCGCATTCTTGGAGCCCAAACCATTCGCATCCATCCAAAAAAGTCTTCCAGTCTCATACCATTGTGAAGCGGGTAGACTCGAAACTCTTCAAGGAGACTTTCGAATAATTCAAGCAAGAAAGAATCCTCTTCTTGAATCTCCCTGCTCTCCTCTTCAAGCGAAGGATCTGTCGGGTCCCGGATGAGAACGCCGCAAAAATGACGCAGACCTAGCATAAAAGATGTATAGCACCTTAAAATGGCGTTAAATACCCATTGGTATTCTTTGATTCTCTCTTGATGCGTAGAGAACAGACCGGCCATTATAAATTCCGTCGATTGGGTAAGCCGATCAAGCAAATCGTGTTCTGACACGAAAATACTGTACCTTTCAAACAAATAAATCCCCGCTAGAAGCAATGCCAGAGGACTCCGTGCCGATTGAGAGCACCAGCAGCGACAGTTATCGATACTGGTATCAGAAAAAGCGATCTTGAAAGCTGATGGTGAAAGCGGGCAGTCCATGGCCCATTTTCGGCGGGCTTCGGAAGCTAGTCCTAAGCTGAGCATGAAATAGTGAGCAGCGGTCAGTCCTGTCTCAAGCTTTGGTGATTTTGTGTCGGGAACAGCTGCTGAGATGTTCGAACCTCGGTTGATCATCCAACACAAATATGAACAGGTAATCACGGTGTTAGTGTATAGAAATCCGTAGAACGAATGAATCCTCATCCGAATTGGGAAGATGGAGACAAAGTCCCAAAATTCGTTGTCAGAGTAATGAAAACCCAACTGGTGGGCATATTCAGCGACTTTGCCGCTACAGATATATGAGTAAATCGATTTTTGGGCGTCTGCCGATCTACCCTTTTCTTCGTACTCTTTGAGGGACATGGGTATGAAGCAACCTCGAGCTTCGAGTTGGCTTTGTACCTGCACCGCGTTCTGGTCCAGGATCCTCGCTTGATTAACGCCTAACCTTTGTCTTTCGACTGGAGAAAGTGACTGGTATGAGATGTGCTTTAGTCTTTCTCTCCTTTCCGCTAGACCTTTGATAAGGATCTTCTGAGCCTCAGTACAGATGTAGGGCGAATTTAAGCCCTCATATAACGAGGCAGGAAAAATTCCTGTATCTGACTGAAGCAACAGTTCAAGCACTTTGCACGCACAGCAGACCGCTTGGGCTTCCTCGGCATGTTTACCCGTTCTTATCGCATAATCAATGGGATAACGGCCATCATTGTCTCTGGCGTTAAGAACTTCAGGGTCTGCATAGTGAAGAATAATCCTTATGACGGCGACATTTTGCGTTTCAATGGCAAGATGGATCGGTGACTGGCCGCAGTAATTAATTTCGTTGACATGTGACGGCGATTTCTCCAATAACTGGCGGACTCTATCAAGATCTTGATTTATAATAGCGCAAGCCAGGCGACCGAACTCCAGGTCTGTCATGATTACCAATTGTGAACTTAGTCTTGACTATATGGTGACTTACTTTCAACTACTTGCGGCAAAATTTGAAAGAGTGTATATGCACCTCTGCGATCATTGTCGCTTTTCCACCACGATAAGCGATAGTCCTGGTGATAATGGCCCACCGGTTGGTTGTAGTGCGATAGAATAGCTGTTGCAACTTCGACAGGCCTTGTACAGTCCGAAAACCAGCCACTATTGGCTACCACAGCTTGAATAGGCTCACTATACAAAGTACAAGATTAGTAATTCCACATTTTCATTGAAATTGAACCCTTTTCTTTGGCTTACGCTGTGGCCTTGTGTCTGTAAGCCGTAGGCTTTACTATAACAGCAAGCATCTGACATAGCTCTGCCATATTATCGGCTTTCAATGCATTTCGCAAGCCATGGAGCTAAAATATTTTTAGCCACTGGAGCCATCATTTCGATATAGAAATAGTCAAACCCTGTGGTTCTTGAGTAGCCACTCAAGTACTGTATCACCGTCTACGTTGACGTCTGTTACAGAAGCGTGGTGGTTAGAATAACACCAGACAAGTCGTCTGAAGCATGAAGCCAACAGAGTGTTCGTGTCTTTTCGTTGCAAATGTTCATATGATCTGACTGTTCGCACCATTCGGAATACCGGGGATGAATCCTTATCCACTGTCGCAACCCAGGTCAGCTTTTGACCTAAGCCTAGTATGCCTGCACCTGTTGTGAAAGACAGCGAGACTTTACTAGCACGTCCCCATAATCGTTGACCTGTCGGGATCAAGAGGCTCAAGACTCGCTCAGTCTGTCGGGTAGATGCAGGGAGCTTCGACATTGGACATTCTGGCGCATGGTGGTCTCTTGATCTGACTTCAGCCTCGAGAAGTAAGGGTCCCCAGTAGCGTTGACTATATCGTACTCGCTGCGTTTGGCAAGAGCAAAAAGCATTAAATGTCATGCTACCGCGACCCTGGTAACTGGTAGTCTCTATATTCGGTATGAATGTTTGAGATACTGGATTCTGCAACAAATTCGCGGCAACACAAGTGCGAGAGGTGAGGTCAGACAACCGCTGGGCCATCGATCTCAGCAGGAGCTTTGAGTTGTCGGAGTCTCGTGTAAGGATCAAAAGCTCTGTAACGTCTTGCTGAATAGTAGTGAGTTTTTCATCATGAAGCTGCGATGTTTTGTGGATTTCATCCAGAGCTGTTGTATTCCTTTCCCATATTGCATTGAGCTTGACCACGGCCTGGTGCATGTTGTTGAGAGCAGAGGTCGTTGTATGACCCATGTTGCTTCGCAAGTATAAACATTAATATGGCATAAGGTTAAAAAGTGACGAGAATCGAAACATACAGCTGAAACACTTGCAATACGGTTTGCAGAGCACTATTAGTACGCGAAAGAATCTCCTCGAGCTTTTGTATATTCTGCTTCTTGAAAGGATATTTTAATTTAGCGCGAAGCAGCTCTTTGGCCCTCGTAACGTTGCTGTTCGGCAAAGTAATTGTTGGGCCTTTGAGCTCTTTCACAACTGCCAACAAATTGTTGACCGCGGAGATGCATGAGGCTTTGCATGAGTCGATTGCATTTTTGGTCGTGGCATCACCAGGAGGCGCATTGGATATCGCAACATCAAGCGCATTGAGAGAGAGTTCGATATTAGTCGCGTAATTGCGTGCTTCCTTGAGATCTTCTTCGCGGCCGTCGATGTCATCGAGATATTGCGAAATTTCTTTAAACAGTTGCAAGCCCAAAGAGACAGTGCCGAACGCGCTGCCAGCTATACCGAATGCTTCCGCCATAGTAGCGAGTTGGGTGTCTGCGTGTCTGCGAAAGCGGTAGTTAAGAAGCAATAGGAATGAAAGAGAAACTGAATTACTGAGATGAAGAGCCTGATTGAGATGTAGAGAATCAGATCATGTGGCGACCATCTTTTCTAGACAAGAGTGTGGTGCCCTAACCGCATTGACAACCATTCAAGGTTGACAGCAAGGCCTTTTCAGCTGTTTGTAAAGTTCGGTTGAGCCTCACTAAGCCCCTTTGACTGCGCTCAGGCATCATTCAGGCCCAACATAGCCCCTCGCAAACCTGAAGAGAAAGCATCCTGATTGGACTTCGTGCATAGATGCTTACGGTAGTCACACAGCGCTCTTGTAGCCCATTGGTGGAAGCAGGCTGTAGCTTTATCTACATAACGGAATTCGTCAAGTATCCAAATATTCTTATACAACAGAAATGCTCATCTTCAATTTGGTATGAATCTTGGAAATCATTACGAGTTGCCCGATTCAGCAGAGCATGATCTAAATGCAGTTTTAAGCATCCAAAAAATAAGGCGAGCTGTAATCTGATCTCTTGGCATCCAGGATTGACTTCGGGGCTGTCTCCCTAGAGTGATGCGTGGCCAATCGTTAATTAGGCAAATATGCAAATGTCTCTTGAACTCAAACATGGTGTTTCATCGTGGGTGAGATCTTCACCCACGTTCGGCGGATCTCGGGCAGCTGTGTCACATGGCCACTACCCGCCACTTGATCTTCATCTTCTTGAACCGAAGCCAATATAGAAGATGATCAATTCTTCGGAAATTGCTTATCCTTAGCATGTTTTCACCAGAGGCTCGAGTTTTGCACACAGCAGAGCGGTAAAGAACTTGGATCAATTTATGTAAAACACTAAACAAGGACTGTGATATGCTCACGTACTGACCTGCGGCGAGTATCCTGTTTGACTACTCTAGATACCGCAGGTATATCTGGAATGAATCTATACCACCCGCTCCCAACGCCAGGATCCATAATAAACGAGTGTTGTAAACGCCAATGACTCCAAAACTTCCCAACTCGACGACAGCGATCTAGGCGGCGGGCATCACCCGAGTTGAAGACCACGCACCAACACCGGTCAAATACTGGTCCATAGACTCTTTTCTGCGAGGCCTTATGACAAGCTTTGGTCGATCTGGAACCTGCTTGGTGTGAGTCAGCGTGATTGAGCTGACTGACATCGAAGGTTCAACATGCATTGAACCTGACCGTTTTGGTTGTTGCGTATTGACAGTCCCCATGTTGCCTGATGTATTTGAAAAGTAAGTGAAGAGTCAAGCCAGCGATGCGTCCTCGATCACTGACCGTTGTAGTCTATAAGTGTCATATAAGGGCGATTATCATAAGAGGCCATCGTAACTATGATCTGAATACAGCGCGAGGTGCAGACTTCAGCTATCAGATAATTCTGAAGAAATGAAAATAATATTTGGAGGCGAAGAATTCCACAATGGTCATTTTTGCTGCTGAGTTATTACCTGGATAGTCAGTGGACAGCAAGGCCATTTTATAACCAAATTGCCCAACTGCACGATGATGCTCTCTTCCCGCATTCCACGATAATCTGAATCCTCCGACCCCTCATGAAGGGGCTTTGCTTGGGGCACATGACATGTACACGTGAGATAATAAGTGCGAAAACTACCACCAGTTGTTAGTGATCACCCCCTTCCAGAAAGTCAATAGAGTTTGACGGGACCGAAGGGGGCGAATTTCAATATCAAATGTGCGATCGTCGTTGCTTGATATGGGTGAGATATCGGTCCGCGCTCGGGGACAACTCATCGACTCCGGCGCTAACAATAACAGTGCCAGCTCAGAATCTAGGCCTGAAAACGTTCCGCCTTGTTTTAAGCTTAGATTGATTGGAGGGAGATATTTGGCTCTAAAATGCAGTGAAGGTTTGACCATCGAAAGGAGAAATCTTGTGTAATCTAGGGACCTGAGATTTGCTGCGTTAGTGAATACGAAAATGCGAAAAGAGACAACGCAGAGGCCCAAAGGAGATGGTAACACGCAACGACACTTTTACCCATGTTTTTCTACTTCGAAAGCGGTTTCGAGGCTGTCGGCTGTGAGATAAAACTACTGGTGTTGGGCATCTGCACTTTAAGCACCCCTCATATCCTGATGTGGAAGTTAAGCAGCAAAGCCAATGGGCGATTCTCGGAGGGTACTAAAAGATGACGGAATCCTACATGCAAAATGACTACGCCTTTTGGCATGTAATCGAGCGGGGTCAACTTGCATTTCATTCCTTTGGCCCGAGAAGTCACTCATGCGAATGATGCCAGCGCATCAAGTACCGCGGCTATTTTCTAGTGTGAGGTGTCTAATGCAGATCGCAAGATTGACGAGGTTGAGAATCCCACCCGCCCTGACCCAAGGATCTGTCACTGATGACGATGTTCCCTCAAACGTTGGGAACCGTTGTGTACCACGTGGACAAAGCGATGATCAATTTACAGGAATAGGTCGCATGATCAGATGAAAGGTGATGGAGAGAAGTGGCGAGGAGGAAACAACGAACTGTGCCGATCATAGGCCGTCGAGTTATGACAATGACGCTCGGCTCCGGACTTTTCATGTGACATGATGAAGCTTCCTACCGAGTATGAGAAGCCCTTGGTAAGACGGAAAATATTGTATTGATGTTGAATCATACAGTCGAGAGGCTAATTCTCCCTTGACTTGACTGTCTCGACGGAACTTCTCCAGTCCACTTTGATCATATAGATGACTTCGATAAGCGCAATGACTGCAGAACCACCTATCACTCCTGACCAAACACCATTCAGACCCAGGTTCCAAGGACCCAATTCCAGCCAAACTGCGATGGGAACAGCGGCAAAGTAGTTGACGAAGAACACAACCCATGCTGACACAGATTGCTTGGCCAAACCACGGAGAACACCATTGCATCCGCAGACAATGGAGTCAACCACTTGGAAGCAAGCAACAGCCAGCATAGTGTTCGTAACAATTCTCCGAACCTCCTCATCGTTCGCATAGAAAGGCCCAATGTAATTCCTCAACAAGAATAAAACAGCACCATCAAAGAACCCTAGAACCACAAACATGACCCCATACAGAATCGTAACCCGTCTCGCAGCATTAACTTGCCCACCACCAACCAAATGCCCAATTCTCGTACTAACAGCAACACCAAGCGAAAACGGGATATGCCACATCACAATCGACGTAGTAGTCAAGATCGTCTGCGCAGCGAGATGAATCGTGCTCACATATGACGTGCTGACGGTGATGATCTCAAACGCAGCCCACTCCGCCAATGTGACAGCCGATCCGGCGGCAGATAGCCGAACCATGGGTCCCCAGCCCTGCAAGGCACGACGCGTAAAGCCAGGCCAGCATTCGTGGGTCGACTTTTTGAAGAAGATGCAGATGAGGAGGAGGGTTGGGCGGAGGGTGTTGGCTACTGCTGCGCCGAGAGCGGCGCCTTCGAGGCCGAGGTTGAGCTTGAAGGCGAAGAGCCAGCTGAGGATGGCGTTGATGGGAGCGCAGACGACCAAGACTGCCATGCCGGTGTTGAAGTCGCCTTGGGCTTGGAGGAAGCGCTTCAATGCTTCAAAAGAGGCATAGCCGGGGATACCTAGTATGCTGACTCGGAGAAATGAGCCTGCTTTGACGGCGAGGTGTTCCTGCTTGAGGATGAGAATCAGGAATCCGGGAGAACAGATCCAAACTGCAGCGACAGGGATAGTAACAACTGCCATGAGAAGAAGCATGCGCTGCACATGCAAGCCCACACCCGTCTTGTTACCGGCCCCATACGCTTGTGCACATAAGGTGTCAAGAGCTGTTGCCATTCCTTCGTAGAGAGCGAGACCAGCTATGCTCATGGTTGTGGCGCCAATTGCTGCGGCTGCCAAGTCATCGGGGCTAAGATGGCCAGCGGCTGTTGTTATGATGACGCTGAATGAGTATTGAAGTAGATATGTTGCTACCAGAGGGACTGTGTAGCGTGTGATGAGCGATAGCTCAGCCCACCAGTCGTTCGTCGGCCATTCTGAGACAGATCTTTCTTCATTGTTTTGCAGCAACGGGGCCGCTTCATTGCGGGCCTCTTCGTCGAGAGAAGTCATTTTCAATTGATCAACAATGTGTTGTTTGAAGAAATGCCTTTTAAAATATCTGGAACCATGTGGTTTACATAGGGGTATTTGCTTTGACTCACAGATCCAGATATGGCAGTTGGTTAACGAACTTTATCCGATCCCGGGCGGGGAAGAAGGATGACTCTAACAATTTTGAGTCAGCAACACATGGAAGAGATCGGCGGCAGCGTTCATAAAATTTGCACAATACACAACAGTGCGTTCAGGGCCATGAGTTTGACATTGATAAATAATGATCCTACAAACTGCATCTTTATGGATTCGTCTCGTCGACTCGCATGTCTTGCCACGAAAAGTATAGGGAAGAGCCATGAGAAAGGAACAAGGAACAAGGACAACCAATATCTCCTTTGTTACGTACTAATTCATGCTTTGACCAGCCCCAACTGACCCCTTGAACAGTGGATCACAGAGGCTCAACAAGTGGTATCAGTGACCCTCTATAACCCCCACTCACGGCACCTGAAGGTATCGCACAAAGTGGACGATCACATACGAGCACCGAAAATGGCGCTCGGCAGTTTAATTTGATTGAACTCTATCAAACACGTTGTAACCGCGTTATCCAACGATGTTACACCACCAATGTCACAAAATCTTGACCGCCAGATGAAGAGAAAAGAGAATTCTGACAATGTCAGCAGTGGCTAAGACATTGATCCTTAGTCCAAGCCACGGTAAATCTCTCGGGGACCAGGGACCGGCCCGTAAGCCTGTTCCCTACACTGCCAAGTGGACCGGAGATAACCTTGGCGTTAATTCCCAGCCAGCGAGTCGCAAGCCACAACGGACATCACAAACACGCCCCTTGGATCCAGTTTATCTTCAGCGGCTGGGGGATTTACCGGGTGCAGCCGCTTCATTTTTCTCGGCGGTTTTGCTTTGTTCGATACTTGCTTCCAACCGAGTACGTTAGTGAATCCTACGGGAGAAGGGAACTGAAGAAGCTCAGATCTACCGTCTTGCGCCCGTGGTGCGGCTGAGGCGAGCGAGGAGGAGCTAATTCTCCGACGTTTGAGCCTTGTAAATCATAAGACATGAATTAAGGCAAGGAATAATGCCATTGTTGTTACTAACGCTAAACTGCCCTACATCCGATATGCACCTTCACTAGATCCCATTGAATCAGCACGTGAAGTATGTCTATCATCGTAAGATACTTCGAAATCCCGATTCACCATCACCCCCTCCGTCAAATTCATCACACTATCGCTTCCACTCGCTATTTCAGTTCGTACCTGCCCCATCACGTCCCTTCGCCACGTTGGTTGATCGTTATGCCGTGGTCTTGAATGTCTTCGTAGAGCACTACCTAAGCCACTGCCTTGCTTCGATGTTTGTTTCGTTCGTGAGTCGGAAAGAGCTGTCATCTCGAGACCGGTTCCGTTACCGCTGTCTTTAAGTTCGTATGGGGTGTTGATAGCTGCGACAGCGGTAGAACCGAGTAGACTGTCGATTACGCCTTTGAGACTTGGGATGCAGACTGTGATTACTGAGAGGCCGAGTGCAATTTGACCCCAGATCATCATCGAGACAGCTTGCCATGTGACGTCGTCTGAATTGTTAAACATGTATCGTGCGTGAACAAGCTCGGGTATCGTGATGATCGGGACAATGAGTCGCGTGCCGAAAAGCGCCATGACGATCATCTTTCTTCGCATCGAGGTTTGGACTTCCCACATCATTGCAACTGGGAGAACACACAGAGCGATATCTGTCAAGATGATCATGATGCCATTGTACAGAAAGACTGGCCCTTGGTTCGGACATTGCGCTGCGTTCTCAGCAAGCCATGGTTCCGGCATTGAGCATTGGAAAGCGGTCGCGAATAATCCAGAGATAGCCCATGCAACGACAACTCCGCCAAGGATCATATTCGCAGTATTGAGTCCGCCTTGCCGATCGATCTGTCGGATAAGAAGCCCAAGTGAGACCTTCGTCGTCGCATGAACAAGAATCCCGAATATTCGTGACGCATACATCAGCTAACATATTGTATTAGCAACATTCCCTAATCACCAGAAAAATACTTACCTTGCTGAAACGGCCAAAGTCCTCATCAGACAGAGCATCACGATGCTCACCAAGTCCATAATTGCAAGCAGCAACAACACAAGCCGTTTGTATAAAGTACAACAACGAAGCAAGCAGCAACCCCACGTCGAAATCTTTCATAGAAGTAATATTCAACCGAATGATCAACTTCCCAATAATACCAAGAATCGCATAGATGAAGAAAATAACAGCAGTGATGACAACAAGTGCAGCATGGTTACTCTCCGTCAACGGGTAAAACGGCGGAGCCGCTTGCGATACTTGGTCCATCGTCTGCGTAGCACTCGATACCCTTCGGAGCGTTTAGCAAGGGACCGGCGTGTTGGTTTTTAATGCTACCGAGCAGACGGGGAGAGGGTAGCATTCGGGGCTGTCAAATAAATAGAGTTGCATTGGGCGAGGTGACAGCATGAATGTGAATGACCAGGTAATTAAATTAAGACATACATACACGATGAACCATGAATTGAACGCAAGGATCGCATGATCGTGCCGTGTTTCGACTTCCTCAGCTGCAGTGATAATCTGTCTGGGTCGTTGAAGTCAGCGGCTTGCGGTGCGATCCTCTCATGTTCAAGGTACCGGGATAACTACTCTATCTCGGACCACTGGGCACACACGTTTCAAGTTTCTTATGTACTGTCCACTTTTGTTCGTCTTCAAGTGGAGACTTGCTGTTCTGTACTGTGGCCTATGAGATGATTGTTGTCTCGTCGATCTACGCAGGTTGGTGATGACAATTACAATCCCTGCCTTCTCGCTCAGCAAAATATGCGGAGTAGTAAGCCAAGCAATGCAACCTCCGTTCTCTCTTTTGCCCCGTCTCTTCGCTCAGTATTGATCATTAAGAAAAGAGCAAAGAGAACACGAAAATATGATATCTCTTGTGGCTCTTGGTACATAAAGCCTGGTCCCTGCTAGCAATATTCCTTCAAGTCCACTTGGCGTTACATCTCAAGCGGTTCCACGAGATATTTCCCAACGAGAAATGATCTGCGACGCCACAATCCCACAGACAAAACCCGTTCGATTTTATTGCCGGCCTTGTTCGCGGCAATCTCGCCTCGCCTAACTCCACCTTCCATCCGTTGAGGATCTGTCGCTCAACTTTGATGCCAGAGCTTCTTTACTTGTTTCAGGCAATAGCTCGTTCGCATTTCCCCGATAGGTCCACTCTGTAGGTAACTCGTTGCTGGCACTTTTTATACCTGAGGATCTGCTTACCCCGAAGTTTGTTGGTTCGTGTTCCTGCATTCAATATCGCTCGCATATTCTGGGTTCACGATGTCACACGGTAGTAACAGCATTGAGTTGGAAGCCTCGGGCAAGCAACAACCTGTTCCTGTGAGCGTTGACGCTTCGGCTAGGCCGCCTGAGGGTTCCAACATCTACAATGTTACACGAACGCGAAAGGTGTTTTCTTTTTCGCAGCTTTTTGCTTTTTCGTTGACGTATATGGCACTATGGGAGGGTATGTGCTCGTAAGTTACGCCTACTCTATGTCACGGTCGCAACGATGCTGATGATGGTAGAAACATGTACTTTGCCCTCTTCAATGGTGGACCTCAAACGTTCCTGTTTAGCTTCATTATCGTCTTCTGTGGCGCCATCTCCCAGGCTGCGTCGTTGGGAGAGATGGCCTCCATTCAGCCTGTCGCCGGGGCGCAGTATCACTGGACATTTTATATGGCACCTCAATCGGTGAAGCGATTCGCGACTTGGATTCAAGGATGGTCGACATGGTTCGGCTATGTGTCGCTGTTGGCCGCTATTGCCAACGTCACTATCATCCTGCTCGAGTCGATGATCAGCATCAATCATCCCAATTATGTCGCTGGTGGATGGCACACTTCCGTTCTTGTCATCGCCATGTGTTTGGTCCATGGGCTGATGAACGTCTACGCCTTTAAACTCATTCCATGGATTGAACTTGTCGCTGGTGTTCTTCACGTCTGTCTCTTCGTCATCTTTGTCGTTGTTCTAGTCGTGATGGGTCCTCGAAACCCTTCGTCCTTCTGGCTGCAGCGCAACATCTCGTCTGGTTGGGACAATGAGTACATCGCATGGAACCTGGGCATGCTGACTTGCGTATGGAGTTTTACTGGTAAGTTGTAATTAGAGTTCCCGTCGTGACCTCGCTAACTGTTTACAGGCTTTGATAGTGCTATTCACATGTCCGAAGAGACTCGAAAGGCCAAGTCTGCCGTTCCTCGCGCCATGTTCTGGTCCATCTTCATGAATGGCGTCCTCGGCTTCATCATGGTCAACGTTCTCATTTCCGCCATGGGCTCTGTTGAGGACATGCTTGAGCAACCCAGTCAGATTCAGGCTATCCTCCTTAATGTGACTGGCTCCAACAAGGCCACCACCGCCATGATAGCTGGTCTCTTCATCATCTCCTTCAGTGTCAACCTGGCCAATATCGCATCTGTCTCCCGTCTAACATGGGCTTGGTCTCGTGATGGTGGTATGCCTGCCTACTTCGCCTATGTCAGCCCTACTCATCGCGTACCTACCCGCTCCATCATCCTCACCGTCTTCCTCGTCTGCGCTCTGAACCTTCTCAACATTGGCAACACCTCTTACGTTGCTTTCGGTGCCATTACATCTCTCTCATCTTTGGCTCTTTACCTTAGCTATGCTATCGCCATTGCCAGTATTATCTACGTTCGTCTCTCGGGATCTACTATCAAACTTGGGGAATGGAACCTAGGTCGCTTTGGTCTTCCCGTCAACATCTTTGCTCTGGTTTATACCCTTTACGTCATTATCTTCCTCCCCTTCCCGTCAACTCTCCCAGTCACTGGCGAGAATATGAACTACTGCGGCCCGGTCATGGTCGCAGTCCTAGCTATCGCTGTTGGGCTGTGGTTTACACACGCTAGAAAGCATTGGAATGGCCCCAACTTGACCATTCTTGAGTTCGTCGTTGCAAACGCATCCGAATGATCATGAAGAATGGCCCCTTGAGTATTCCCATACATACATATAAAATAAAATAATAGACGTTCTTTGACCAAATCTTTATTCAACGTACTGACTGGCTTTCCTTGACTTCTGGGATTTGGGATAACCCACGCCTGCCATTGATGTTTGTGCTCATGCGAAGTAACTCTTTCTCACCGTGGTATCATGCCAATCTCACCGAATTGTGTTTAAATTTGGCCTCAATTATACAAGTCTTGCCCATTGTTTCGTTGTGTAATATAAGGTCTCGCTCGCAACATACGCAGTGCTTGTCTTATTTTTAACCCAGTTTTACTAAGAGCCGGACGTGCGAAAAGCTGATAGTGAAGCGAGGTACCTATACAAGTCGCAAAACACGAAATAAATCCACAAAATGCTCACTTTAGTCTTGTGAGAGATTCAGGAAACAATTTTACAAACAATCTGAGGCTTTCTTCCTCTCGTGGGTAACTTGATGATCTTTTTAAACTAAGATGTTCAGATACAGGGTAGCTAGCTTAAAAGCGTGTCCCGATTCACCACTCGGGGTGGTAGCAACCCGGCTAAATACCGGCTAAGCAACAGGGATTACAGGTACTCTCTCTCTCCATCTGCTGAGTGCTTGAACCGTAAGCATTTCTTTTGACGCAATACGTTAAGAACGAACTGGTACGAAAGGGGATTCGCAATATCAGTTTTCTCAGGCTGCACAGCTTTTAAGTTTATTTGCTCAATACAGGTTCAGCTGGTATCCGGCTATTCCGTAACTATTTGGCAACTATTGACTCTTGGCGTTATCTTATCTGTTAGCGCCTCCGCTGTCTCTTAGCGACATCAATAACAGGTCTGTTAGCGAGGATTTAATCTTCAACCAACAGCTGTAAACTAACGACCAACGCCTCTTGGCACATTCCAGATCCGGTCTCCGTCCCATAAATGGCCGTTCTAGAACACAAGATGATCCATCGCGATGACAGCACGCACTGCAAGCGACCTGAGCGGAGTCGAATGCAGGGGCACGTAAAATCTTCCTCTTCGGTTCCTCGCTGAGCCCAATTGATCACAATGCCAAGTAAAACCCTCCATTGATACAACGTTGTCTTCATAGGAATAAGCAGAAAGGAGTGATGATGTCCTTTTCTTAAGACTGTGCCGCATGTGATCACCAGGGATAGGTTCGTTGGCGCTGACATGATGACTTCTCGTAAATGGGACCTTCAGCTGCCATTGGGACTGCGCAAGCTGCACGCTTGGACTGGTGTTGGTTGTCATCAGTGTCATCTGACATTTGTCTAACTTACCAGGGAGTTGGACTCGTCACTGCTGTTTCAGAACCTTGAAGAGAATATCAACGTGCGTCGTACTCTATATAGATCATAGTCCTGTAGACTTGAGTAATTGGCTTTATGGTTACATTGATAATTAACCATAATAGCAGTTAGTCGGAGAATTGTACTATTAGTACGCGTCGGATGTGCGGTTCGAGTGCTGGTCCTGTCTGACCAATGTCATCACAGATCCCTGTCTCAGACTTACGATAAATCCAATTAGCCTCACCAAAGGGTCCTCCATGACTCCACATCGCAACCAACCAACACCTTGGTAGGTCAGTATGGACTGTGCCGCTATTGGAAATAAGCCCAAACCCAATTTCCCAATTCTTACAAAAGGCTCTCTTAGCCCCAAGAAATCCGTCAGCCACCCGTTCTTTCGTCCTGTATCTTGTATCCGCCGGAACCAACAGCCGCACCCGATATTCAGGATGGACGTCAATACCCTCGACCGCCTTAATCGACAAAGGGGTGTCATTCTTGCCATGGTGGTTCTTGTACTTGTTGGCCTTGTCATCCATATCTATGCCCTCATATTCTCACCAGCTTATGGAACTATGAAAGTTGGACGAACCTTTATACCTTCGACTGCACGACCTTTCTAAGTTTCACGAAGCTACGACACAAGATAAGCGCACAGGCTGTCAAGGTCTTATGGTAGATTGGCAGGAGCGGCGACGAGGACCTGGACCCCTCCTGGTGGACTGTCGGCCACGGTAGATCTGGCGAAGACCTAACAAAGTGGGATACCGACACAAAACCTACGATAAATAAAGAGGTTGACGGAGTTGGAAGACGAGCGAAGGCTGCAGACCCCATATGATCATCATCGCGCAACCTTCTCCAGATCGAACCTCAATAGTCGAAGCCTGTCCCAACCGAGCAAAGTGCCGACCCCAGCGAACATCGACCTGCATTGTCTCAGTTAGTCCGTCAAGAAAGAGGAGGACATCACTCAACGATATTTCACGGACTTGCAGCTCAGGCTAGTCCTCGAAGGACTTGAATCGACGGACACTACAGACAGGCACGAATGCCACGACCGATATTTGGTACTATTTGCAAGGCATGGCACTGCTTTTGAACCACTTCAAGGCTAGAGACTGAACCTAGTGGCGGTTCGGAACATTGATAAGGTTTCCAAGATGCGAGCGTGATGAGCGCGAGCAGCAGCAGACGAACTTTAAGCACTGCAAGGATACGAGGTATTTTCAGGAAACCGGACGCAGCTCAGGCAAACGTGGGTCAGCTGTATGTTCTTCGATCCCAGTCACTATGGAATTGCATATCAGCCCTGGCTAGGATCTTCATATACCAGTGACTCGCATTGACATTCTACGATAATTGGAAGATGTAATCATGATAGGGCAGGCAAGATCCTCAAGCGGGTTGGTCACTGCTCTCTGGCTCTGATTGAACCCTAAGAAATCATGGTGGAACAAAACAAGGGTTCAAATCTAAATATAGTATTAATATTATGTGCTCCTTGGCGTGGATTCGCTCTCTGATATAGACGCGACGCTTCTGATGCTTGATATATCCGAAAATCCATGAAAGACACCCAACTCCGGGTCATATAGCCCGTTAGACATGCCTGATCTCCGAGACTCCCGCTTCTTCGATCTCGTTTCGGTGAGCCTTACCCCTGGCAGGACAACGGCTGGTAAATTGATCGGTGCTTGTGCTGACTCTTCTGTTGTCGCGAGTCCTGGAAGACAGTGACGAAAGATGGGTCGGAGCATAGGAAGACAAGCTGGAACATGTGTCAGCAACGGGTCTTGATGGAGTGGAAAGGGAGGTCAGTCCGTACCAGAGAAAACTGCGATATTGATCTCGACGGCCGCCCACATCATGCTTTGTGCCATATCCTTTGGTATGTTGTCGGTTCGAGGATCATATAATTTCGAATGTACCAAAACAAATATTGACGCAACGCAGACTCTGTACGCCGTTAGACAAGCAAATTACCAAGCGAAGCTCAACGTACATGGTTCCAGATGTAAAAAGTCCAACAACAGCCAACTTTTGAGATAAAGGTAGCGTCATCTTCATAACTTCGATGACCGGTAAAATCAAGATAACGCAGTCCATAGTCGTATGTACGAGAATCGTAGCAAAGAAGAAATTCGCTTCGTTAAACGGGAATTTAGCGCTTTGTATGCTCTTATCCCAATAAGCTCGGATTGGGACGCAGTGAAAAATGACCATGAAAGTCCGGATAGTGATCCATATGCTCACAGCGACGAGCAAGATAATAATGGCGTATCGAATCGAGGTGTACTTGAAGACCCGCCAGTAAAAGCAGAGAATACTGAGTTTGCAAAATGCAATCGAACAGGCGTAGAGAAGTTCGCAGATCCAGAGCAAAAGTCGCGAACGGTCTTGGATACGGCTCGCTTCGATTGGATCTGCGATTGCGAGGATGGACTGGCCGAGTTTGTAGCTATGCGTCCCTAGACGAGGTAAGTGGCTGCGGTCGCAGTTGGAGGAAGTCCTGCGTACAGTATATCGTGACGGAGCAGTAACTCGATACAAAGAGCTGGAAATTGTTAGCACGTGCGTATTGGTCCCATATGGTGATCAAGTCAACCCTACCAAGGCGATTATGGCGAAGTAGTCGTCGAACCAAAGGTTCATTTTAGTCATTCGTCGCGCCTTGAGTCGTAGACCAAGGGCCAGAAACGCCGCGACCCAAGTGATGCTGATGGCGGCATAGATATCGGACTGCAGCCCGGCCATGACGTCGGGTCCGTCGCTATTGCCTACGGTCCGTCTACAAAGGTTGCAAGATCATCTTGGTCATCCAAACTGCTCGAACAGTCCAAGATAATGACGAGATGAAAGGAGGAGAAACCGTTGTTATCTCTGCCTCGGCCGTTTTACGAGCGGGGAACCATAAACAGGAGGGGCAAAGGTCATCATTCGTCTTGAAAAAAAGCCTCGCCGTTTGGAGGCCGAGCTCTCGGGGCCAGATTTGAAGGTGCCATCGCCAGTGGAGGAAAATCCGGGGTTTAGGGGCCGTTATGGCCCTGGGATCCGCAGAAAGTCGGCGTTTGATAGTGAGGTTTAGCGCATATCGGAGGGGAACCCGATGGTTTCCAGCGTTTACGAATGGTACGAATTAGTTAATACGTCGTGAGTCTAGACTATTATTGCTGAAAACTATAATTTTCGTGGCTTTTTAATGGTCATAGTGATTCTTGTTGAGAAGGAATTCCATATGTCAATTGGCCGCCAAGGTTCTGTAATGGTGAACCCCTCTTTGGATCGGAGGTTGAGCCGTGATACTCCGTGGTGATCATAAATCGCTATCTCCGTGGAGACTCATGCTAAACTGCTTTTGGTTACTGTAGTTACGATGCAAACTTATCGACTTCGCTTGATGGACTGAAACTCAATTTGTAATCCATCAATCATGACGGAAATTTTAAGCCTCATCTCATTAACACCGCAACTGTCGCCAGTTGACTTGCAGTGCCCCGTTTAAAAAAGCACGAATCTGGGCTCCGAGAATGAAAGAAATCCTACCGTGGAGCTTCCCCGCCGGAATATTGATGTATGTAACGCAACAGTGCTGACAACCAAAGCCGGCGCTAACCAGTGGTATACTGCTGTGATTCGAAGGACCTAATATCTGAAACATCGGAGTGAGATCAGCACCTTATTTCGTCTTCTATTGCTGCTTAGAGCCAGTCATAAAAGAATTAGGCTCCATTTGTACAAGCTATTCAATATAAAATAATTACTTTGACCGATGACATCAAGTGTCTCGTGGTACTGAGCACCGTCTGATGCGACCCGACGTTGAATCATGAGATGCGACGGAGCAGATCACGTCCGATCTTCCAGAGAGAAAGCGGGAGCCAATCAAGCGTGTTGTATGTAACTGAAGACAGGCTCCCAAGTTGCAATGGGTGCTTCTGTCGTGCAACGCTTGATCCGGAAATGATCTGAACGGAACGAATTCGCTGAACGTGTCTCCTGGCGCTGGGAGGGGGCTTTCTACGCCGCCCTCATGCAGCTTGACTGTCTTCACATGGAATTTTCCGAGAAAACAACTACGACGATTGCAATAAACAACCACATTTGCTGAACAAGCAGCCTTACAAGTGAGTTAAAACCTCAATCTTGTCTCTTCTCCCTCCGTTGTCTTTCGGAAGGATTATCCAGAAGCGCACATCCTCACATCATGTCTCGGCCGCAAGCCCATTTACAGTATCTAGCGGCCGCTTCATATGCATAAAGCCATGCAGCATGCCATCCTGTAGCCCAATAAAAAGCCAATGATATGATTTATCCTGCACAAGGCCATCACATCACCCGAAGGCAAAGCATACACTGATGTAATTTAGCCAATATTTATGCCGAGCGCGCGGCATAGAACCTACAATGCTTATACAGACGTTGAATAAGCACATTCGCTAGTTGGTAATTCGCCAAGGCCCTCGCTGCAACCCACTCTTGACAACAACCTGTAACGCATGTCGGCCCCCAAAAGTTCCTGTAACCTATTTCGTCATTAGGCCTTAGATGCAGAAGGTACAAGAAGCTGCCGTGGTCTCAGAAATGGGAGTGGTTTTCTGCTGTCTATCCTGCTTTGCGCAATAGGTTAATCGCCATTATGCTGTTGACTGAAGCTCATCTTGAGACTCCGCAGGCCTTTGGTGCAGCATTCATCCTCGGAGTACTCGTGCATATCTTTGTTTTCCGTCACGGAGAATGGGATCTTTGGACTGTCAAGCTTATCAAGGCATGGGCAACGTATGAGGTCACGGTCTCATTGTTCCTCACCCAAATCTACTCGTTCTCAGTCTGGCAAGCTTTATCGGTGACCAACAAATGGTTTGCCTCATTTACTACCGGGATCACGGTCAGTTTGCTAGCATATCGAGCTTTCTTCCACCGCTTGAATCGCTTCCCCGGGCCATTTCTCGCGCGCCTCTCCGCTTTCTATCCTACTTATCTTGCAGTTGATGAAGAGCATATGTATCTCGAAGTGCAGAAGCTCCATGAGAAGTATGGAGATATTGTGAGAATTGGTATGCTCATGTGAAGTACAAGTAGTCTCTCGACTGACACTTTTAAGGGCCCACCGAGATCTCAATCGCGACACCAAGTTCGTTCCGTGTTATTCACGCTACAGCATCACCAGTAACAAAGTCGCCCTTTTACGGTATTTCTCATCCGTGGACCAATCTTCTCGCCGAGAGACGGAAAAGACAACACGCCAACCGTCGCAAAGCCTGGGACAGGGCATTCACGACAAAAGGCACAGTACTCCTTTGCCCTATAGCAGACTATGAAATCTTACAAGAACTAGCCCTTAAAGACTATGAGCACCGAGTCCTCAAGTACACTAAACTCCTCACCGATCGCATCGACGATATGAAAGGCAAACCATTCAACGTATCCGTATGGGTCAACTTCTACACCTTCGACATTATGGGTGATCTCGCCTTCGGCAAGAGTTTTAATATGCTCGAAAACGGCGTAGAACACGACTTCTTTATAGAATCTCACCAGACACAAGGCTTTATGGGCGCATTTCGACGACTTATTTGGTTCTTCCCTCTTATTGCGGCTATACCAATCCTGAACAATCCGTATCTGAAGTTCCAGGCTTTTATCAGGAATCAGGTCGAGACCCGACGAAAGGTATGTATTGAAGGGCACAGTGGAGAGTTATCTAACTTTTGCAGAACCAACCCCAAGAACCAGATGTTTTCACGTATATTCTGGAAGATTATGATGCACTTGAGAAGCCAACGGAACAAGATTATAATAACCTTTGTGGAGATGCTCACTTAATTATCATCGCTGGCAGGTAGGAATTATACCTCAGCTGTTGATAGATAGTGCTAACTTTGCAGTGATACCACTTCTTCTTCTACCACATGTCTCCTGTACCATCTTGCACTGCACCCCGATGTCCTGGCCAAACTCCGGGCCGAGATTGACGATTATAAGAGCACTCACGAAGAATCTGACCTCATCTCGCTAGGTAAGCTACAGTATCTACAAGCTTGTATCGATGAGTCTCTTCGTCTTTATCCGGTTGTCCCGTCAGGTCTTCCAAGGATGACACCGCCGAAAGGGATGGATATTGATGGTGTTTACATCCCCGGAGATACGATCGTACATAACCCTTCTTACACCATGTACCGAGGTATGACTCAAGAGTAGCCGGCATAACTAAGTTGCTGACACAACACAGATGAGCGTTGCTTTCAGAAGCCGAATGAGTTTATCCCTGAGCGATGGACTACTAGGCCGGAGCTGATCAAGGATGCCTCCGTTTACGCTCCATTCTCCACTGGTAGGGTTTCCCTTTTCTTCCTCGCTCCAGCCATTAGCTGACATGACAGGCCGTGGTGTTTGTGCTGGAAAACAACTTGGTCTAATGGAGATGCGTTACGTCCTTATGGATATTCTCTCACGATACGATATTGCTTTCGCACCGGGAACGAATCCCCAGGCTTTCATTGATGGCTTGAGAGATTGTTACACTCTGGAGCTGCCAAAACTGGATATGGTGTTCACCCCAAGAGCCGGGGCCAAGGTTGAAGGGTAAGATACTTGTGATGGTTTTGGGAGATATTCAGGAAGAGTAGATTGCTATCTTAAAAAGCCAGGTAGTATAAGAGCATTAGCTATGGTACCCAGTTAGAGCATTTATCACTTATCATCCTTATGCTTCTTTGCGGAAGATTCATCACAAATCGCTGCACCCTCCCTCCAACGACCAATGTCAAAATCAGGGTATGGATAAGCCGTGATGTTGATTAGTTGTTCCAACGGAGTAATCCATCCATGCGTGGGCATCACACTGCACACTGTTAGTCAAATCCATTTACCACCACGAATACTCACGTCGTAGATCTTGGAAGGCCATCTTCCAAAAGTTGATCCAACCACTGCCTCATCTGCTGCTGATTACCCAGATCAACACTGAGCCCAGCCTCCCACGTATCAGCCTCGTAGACAAAAATCGATGAGTCTTTGTCAGGACATCGCTCTGTAACCATTACATAAGTCCAGTCAGCGGCGTGAGGCGCTTGATCAGCCCAGTTGAACCATGCTTGGACCTTGTTGTCTCGATGTACGTAAGGGTGTGTTTGACTAGGATCTGTCAGCCAAGTATTGGAATGGAAGCTCGACCTACTTGAAAGTGATGAACTGGGCTCCTGGAATGCTAGACCAGTAATCTACTGCCATCTCAGGGATGATCAACTTGGCGCCAGCACGGACGTAATCGACTACGCCACCACTATGATCTCGGTGGTGATGTGAAGGCTAAACTGTCAGTCAACAGAAAATACGGCTATGATATACGTACCGCGACGTAGGTGACCTTCTTGCCTATGTACTTCTTAATCCACTCCATGACAGCCTCGCTCCAGAAGGGCGGTGCATCGCACACAATAACTTCAGTCTCAAACTCAATGATAAGCTGCTTGAATCCCAGATCATGGCTATCATCGAGGATGAGCCAGTACAACTGCAAAAGAACGACAGGACTAGCTGATTTCAAAGCATCGACGCTGACATTCTTGACTGGGGATCCGAGTAAACTCGTGCTGTAATCTGTGACAAGGCCACTGGGTACACCAGGAGGCATTTCCGATGTATTTACTTTCTGACCGTGAGGAACAAGATCGAAGAAATCTCCGGGAAATATTGCTGTAGCGATGATTTTGTCGATGACAAAGTCTTCGAGGACCACGTTGAGTCGTTGGCTAGATGAATTGTAGATCGTCTGAATAGTGTGGGGGAATTTGACCCCCTCTACTTCTTTGTAGTTTGAGAGGTATACGTCCTTGGTAGCGTTTCCGTAAATCGGATGTTGTTCTTCTGAGCGGACGATATATGGTAGGTATGTGTCTGGATCGACAACGACGAGGGAGCTTATCAAGATTGCTATAAACTATACGATTTTAGCAAATGATCGATTACGAGCCTTGAGACATACCCGCGGGAAACTTGATGCCGTTTATAGCAACCTCGCGTTCTTCAGAACTTTTTGACTTTCGAATCTTGATGTGTGAGCATGGTATCTGAAGACTCGATTATGTACTAGACTCACCCGCTCAACAAGGCCAGGAGACTTCATGACAGCCTCGGTAGCGTAATTAGCAGCCAATGCAGCTTCTACAGTTAGCAAGAGTCTACTTAGATCGGGGGACCAAATCATACCATCCACAGCCAGATGTAACGTTCCGGGGAAGAAAGACTTGGTTGTTCCCCTTAACAAAGCAAGCAGAGTCACCATCGCCAGTCCAAACCACGAGAGAGAACTCCATGGGCTCTAATTCAGGCGATGCCCATCCCCAAGAGTCTCATTTATCAGTTATTATCACAAAGCCTGGATGATGCACTCACGTGAAGGCTGTATACGGCGGTCGATTCGCTGACGAAGCAACGGAGGGTCTAGTTCATAAGATATGTTCTGCTTTCCGGATGTTGCTGCTGAAACATCTGCGCGCATGAGATTGTAGCTTTGCATAAGACTACGAGAACGGTAGATTCTAACATAGTAAGCTTAGTTAGAGTAGATTGATTATGGGATTCACCTTTGGCACTCGTAAGTTACTTTCGACAGTTTTGCAAGCCCCTCCTCCCCAACGGCAGCGATTGCCTTTTCCAGTGTTGAATTCGCTCTGGTTTTCTTATCAGATAAGGACAAAGCCGGTACTGTGAGGCCGAAAATAGCCATAAAGATTGATATCAGCTTCATCTTGGCTACAAGGGGTCAATATGCAGCGCAGAAATGTTTCTGGCCAAGGCCGTCAGGACATGGTTCTGGGAAGGACTGGGGTTGATCCCAAAGGGCGCCGTAGGTCAAAATTAAGCTTAGAAAATAAAGAGACATTTATAAGTCACCAGCTTGTTTACTCCATGCTTAATGATGACCCTTCATAGCGTAATAGAAGTACGGCGGCCTCATGGTGGCGCAAGTTTGTGTCCTTGGCGCACCTGGTGGCTATAAACATGTTACATGGCAATCACTAGCGATGGATCAGATTTTTCACGCTCAAAGCCTTGGCTGAGAGCTATACTTGTCACTGTTCAAAGTATTTAGAACCGTATCAACCATAAAAATGCCCTGTGCAAAGCCTTTTGCTTATTTGTCTGTTCTAGGTATCATCTGCTCCACTTACTGAGCAAGAAAGTTTCCAAGATAGTCGGCCTTTCCAATAGGAACGCCCTTTGAACGTAAGATGGAGTATCCAGTGACGATGTGGAAGAAGAAGTTTGTTTGTCCATGGTAGAGTGTAGCCTCCTTGACGGTGAGATAGAGGATCTTATCAGGCCGGGGGCTTTGAGGGGTCAGTGAAATGTCGTAGTGTATACTTCAGAGGCAGAACTTACAGCTCCACCTTGACATCCTCGCGTGAGTTAACATCCTCAGGCTTCACGGCCTTCACAGCCTCAAGAGCCTTTTGAATTCGAGCATGCAGGTCGGCAATGGTCTTCTCATTGTCCTCAAAAAATGTGGGCTCAACGCCTGTCAAGCGGCCAATGGTTGTCTGAACAGCCCTGGTGGCAGTTTGCACTTGGAAGACGAGGGGCTTTTGATCGTCTATGAGCCTGGCTTGGGGGAAGACTTCATCGGCGTTGAGGCCTTTTTCTTTCGCGTATTGCTCCGCTTTTGTGAGGACGTGGTCAAAGGTTTGTAGACCCTTGATAAAGGTAGGGATGATGAGGTCGTACAGAGAGGTAGGCATTTTGATGGTGTGGAATGCGAACGTGAGGTGACGGATTTGAGTAGTGAAGAAGTGATTGATTAATGAATATGCAGTATTTCTCTTACGATTAGGGATATCTAAGTCATTCATATATAATCCGATCCATTAATTGCGCATTTGTAATCCGGAATTGTGCGATTACCCCGACGAGCCGCTACCGGAGGAAAGCGGTGAGGCGCGAGCTGAGACAATTAGAGATATTAGTCAGATTTACTGAGTGCAATAGTGATTACAAATGACGAATACTGTACGGTTGTGACGCTGTCAGTCGTCACGACCCCAGTCGAATCTTCATGGCGCGACATGTCGTGATGTGGGGTTTGGGCACGTCATCTGCAGGAACTTCACGCAATGACAGATTGCCCTGAGAGTTTTCCGACAATCTACGCGATAATAGTTGACGAATAAGCTTTATCTAAAATTTGTAGAATTGTGTCAGTAGTGAAGTGACAGTGCCAGAGCATGAAGATAAGGTTTCAGAGACGAAGCTACGTAAAGCCGCTGAAGACCTTTTCATTGGTTGTATTGAGTGGGATTGAACCTTGATGTTCTGTTGAGGCTTATCCGGGAGCTTAAACATGCACAATACAATGAGTACAAGCCCAGATTATATCGACTTTGCTATGTATTCTCGACTTTTTGTTGACAATACTTGTAAGACGCGAGGTGTAGGCATTAACTGTCAGGTTTATCAACTCAAAATTACGCTTTCATCTGCTGTAGACATCACTGTCCTCTGACATCTTGTTGTTGATTACATGTTTACTAACTAGGGGACCCAGGAATTAATATCCTTTACTACACTTATCCTTTCTATATTTCTTTAACTCTCCCTAAGTGCTCGTAGACAAGAGCTTTAGTAGTTTCTAAAGGCAGCAAATAGTAACAAGGTTACTTACTAGTCTTCATATTCTCAATTATCCAAAGTTACATCTATAACATCCATTAATAACTCTTAGACGTGAAATTATGCCTGTCATACTACAAAACTCTTCAACAAGAATCAGACCTTAAATGAACAACTTGAACTTCCAGATGACTTGGCGGAAGCCGTTGGCTATAAGTATTGTTCTTACTTAGCCTTACAACCAGATCTCTCTTTTCTTTTCATATCATTGACAGATAAATTCAGCCGTAAGACACAATACCCATCGTCATGCTTTCTCACAGGGCCAATTCCAAGAAAACACCAATCGCAAAGAGTTTTATTACACTCGCAAACACCCTATGCACTATATCAGAACAAAGATGCTACGACAAAGACGCACAAAGACGAGCACTAGCAGCTATTGATACATGTCGCAAATTTCGCTTCGCCGAACTCGCCTTCAAGGAACGTGCGGTCAAAAGAAGAGAGTCGAAATGTCTTAATGGCTTACAAACGGATATGGTGTCTCGGTTGCCAACAGAGATCTATGCCATGATAATCAAGTACCTCGTCAACGATAACAATGGGAAGTCCCCGGAGGAGATGAAATTACGAGCCCGTACTTTGACATCTCTGGCATCTACTTGTAGAATCTTCCAGATACTTTGTGAGAAGTACCTGTACACAAACCTCAGATCCCAACGATTATCGGAAAGTGTCCAATCACAGTGGCTTCTTTATTTCGCTCTGGCTGTTGAACCCCGCAGAGCTCATACTATCAGGTCACTGAGATGCGAATCCTGGCCACCTTGCTTCCAGTACGAAGCATGGTTAGAGACCCTCAGGCTATGTACCAACCTCACTCACCTTGAACTGGTTTGGACATACTCGACTCCCAAGAACATCGTAGAGCGGTTGGGTAACATGGTTGCCGATTGTCCCAAGGTTAGTGAGTTCAGCTACGGGGGCTTGTGGACCTGGAATTTGTTTCATGAGTCTCGGGCCACGACTGTCGAGAAAACAGCAAAGTTTTCGCATCGATACACAAAATTTGCGAAACAGCTTTGCCACTTGGACATATCTGGGTCAATCAACTGCATCACAGAGATTCTTCACTTTGATTACCCAGATCTCAAGTCTCTCACTGTTGACATAGTGGACTGTGTAAAGGGAGATGAATTCTTTCAGGACCTGTCTTCTCATACTCCCAGTTTAGAAAGATTGGAATTACATTGGGTCGAAGAACTGTCTCTAAATGACCTGCGAATGGGATTCAAAGCATGGGGGAAAACATTACGGTCTCTTGCTATCAACCACCCCATAATCAGGTATCTCAGTGACGGAATCCTGGCTCATATATTGCCCCATCTTCCAAGATTGGAGGAGCCTTGCTTGGGTCCGCAACCGAGATTCTGTCTCTTAGATCTCCATGCCATAGCTCAGCCGGACGCTCCACGCCTGAAAGCGTTTCGATGGCGAGTTGATGAAGCGATGTTCCATGACCCATTGGCAAATTCAGAAACCGTCAACCAGGCCATCATTGATATCTTTATTACGCATTCCGAGACTCTCAATACCTTCATTATAGATCAAGAATTCGACTTTTGGAACTTCGGCACGGACATTTTCAAGCACCTCCAGAAGGCAAAGAACTTGGAGAACCTTCGGGTACCGTTGCACGATATACCTACCAAAGAAGAGATCCAAGGTCTTATCACTGCATGTCCGAAGCTCGGAAAGCCAGACACAAGACTAGTGGTGGTTAGAGAGTTCTTGACTGAGTGCACCTTGACGACTATAAACTACGAGGAGGATAATGTAGAGGTGGTAGAGACAAGCTGGGGAAGTGTACGCCATCCTATGAGATGGTCATAGCTAGGCCAGTATCACAATGCGCGTTTGCATATATTAATGTTGTATCATTAGTTCGCAGTTCTAGCCTTAGATTCAATCCAACCGTATCGCCCTACACTTGCATATTATGTACCCAACACCGCTAAACAGGGCGACTATTTAAACAGCCAATTATGAATAGCCTTGCAGATGGGCGGTTGATATAAATATATACTCACAGCCTAAGAGGAACAAAGGACGGGGCGTCGCAGACCACAGGTTGAATTAGACTCTAGAGAGGTCAACTGAGGGAATTCGGTCCTGTCTCAAGGTTTAACGTAGGTAAAACAACCCTTCTCGAAGCTTGCGCGCCTGAGACGTCGAAATTCCGGCTATTACTAGCTCGGAAGTTAGAAAAATGAAGACAAAGTTCGAGCCCTGTGCAAGAACATTCAAGCTGGTTCGTTAGAGGGCGTGCACCTCTGATGAGACTTTACAGCAAACCCCTTTTGCTTTCAATTTCGAAACGCAGACCAGATCCTTATACAAGTTGAAATATATAAATCAAGCAACGTGTCTTCTGCTACCCATCTCTCTCTACCTGTAAGACATTATCCTTCAGACCCAAGCTTGAGCACTATCACTTTTGCGCAAATACTTGACCTACAAGCAAATCATTTCTGCCATCCCAGTTAGGTTCTTCCCGAAGAGAACTTAGTACTAAAACGCTATGTGGAAGAACGATCCACCAAAGATTGCGCCGCCTAGGCGCATTTTACGGAAGAAGAAGGGACCAAAGAGTCCACCTGAGAGCAAGTTGGGGAAGAATAAGCCATCAAAGGGTCCACCTGAATGTAGATTGCAACAAAGCATTCAGGCATTACGAATTATTGCAAAGCAAAGGCCCGATGACCCTGAAGCACAGCGTCGAGCTCAGGTCGCAACAGATCTGTATCTTGAGAGCTGGTCGCGCCAAAAGTTCCCGACCCCGGTCATAGCACACGACCCAGCAGAATCTCGGCGACAAACAAGTTGGGTTCCCAATCTCCCTAACGAGATTTACTATATGATCTTCGATCATATTATTGGCGAATATCCAACTTGTCCGCGGAGCAAAAGAAGGCGAGAAAAGACTTTGCTATCCTTGACCTGTTCCTGTCGTTTGTTTCAAGAAATCCTGGAGACATACCTGTACAAACACCCCCGAAGTGGCATGTTCGATGGGATCCCATCCATCTTGATGTTTCGCTTTTCTTTGACCATTGAGCCGCGCCGGGGACCTCTCGTCCAGTCACTGTCTATCAACGTCAAATGCATGTCTAGCAATTCCATTTGGCTCAAGATTGTCAAGCTATGTCCAAACCTCAGTCGCTTGGAGATAGTCGAGACCAACAGGGGGCTTTCTCGCTCCCACCTGGAATTCTTGGGAAAGCTCTTTTCTGACTGCCCACATGTTACGAGGTTTAGTCTTGATGCAGGGACTTCTGACTCTGAAGTTAGCAAGGCGTACAGAACCGACAAGGGATTCTTAAAGTTCTGGAGACAGCTCACGCACGTCCAAGGACTTCCCCGTTCCGAGCCATCAGACATAATTTCGATCTCGAAGGGATGTCGCTCACTTCAACGACTGAGAATCGGCTCTTCTAGACATCTCGATCTGGGGAGTCTTTTGGACGCATCCCAGAAATGGGGCAAGACTCTGAGGACTCTTGATCTCAACTGGCGCACGACGACGAAGGCTACTATTATCCCTCAACTCCTGGAACAACTACCGGTAGTCGAAGAGGTTTATCTGGGACACCTATATGATATCTGGCCATCAATACTTGCTCTGTCTCGCCTTAGTCCACCACGACTCAAGCGTTTTAAAGGAGTGAGCCACCGCAAGTGCGACCCTGTTCATTCGCTTGAAGGAGAGACAGCTATATGCGACATGATTACCGCTCAAGGTGATACTCTGGAGAGCATCAGTATCACCGGCCAGCATGGTCTCCACGTCGGTGTTTTGGAGGCAATCAAAGGGGCAAATAAATTGAAGTGTCTTGATTTAGAGGTCGGTCGATTTTTGACTGATGAGGAACGGGAAGATTTACAAGCAGCATGTCCTAAACTGCAAGCTTCCGTCAAGCGTTATGGGGAAAAGTCTAATGAAAAGAGAGACTTCGACTGGTCCTATGCGAGCTGTGGTAGCTGGGGGGTTATTCCGGATGACTAGGATCAATACTGGTTAGACAGATACCAGTAGTCTTACAGATAACAAAGCAGTAGTAGAAAGAGGCTCGTAATATACTACACCTATGATGATCCCTGGTGCAACGCTGTAATTCCACTTACAGCAGTCAAGTTCTGACGTATGGTTATGTGCAAATTCTAACAGTGCGTGCTTTCTTAGTAGGTACTGGCAATTTTGATCCAGTCAAAGACTTCAATTACCTTATTGATGGATGCCTAAAGCTTATGAAGCCTCAACGAAACATATCAAGCCAACACACTTAAAAAGTCGCAATTAACTTTACACATAGCCTCAACACCCATTAGAAATAGAATAATATGCTTTTGTGGTGACTTAATCAGTAACTTTATTGGCTTTCATGATACGCAAACCTTCTTTTATGCCCATCTCCTCACGAGTGAACATAGATCCCAGCTCCTTGCTGAAAAGCATATTTTATTTTCTTTCTCCTCTAAATCCTGCTTCTGCCTTGCTTTTCGACCTAGGAAAGCTTGTGTCTAAGATATTTGCAGTTATTTGCCAGACGACATCATATGGCTTGGTAACACATACCTCCATCACGATAGGCACTGGCACAACCACTGAGAAGAGAAGTAGGTTTCAGGCAACGACATTCATCAGTATAATCAGCTTACATGACGGCAGACAAGAACCTCGATCGTTGCAAGTCACGTGTTATCGCTTTTCCACTTGTCGGAATCTCAGAACGAAAGCCAGAAGACAAGATGGCAGACCGTCATGCTGAAGCCGCAGTTGACATTCGCCGCCAGCCCCCCAAGTCAACGGGGTCGCGAGACAGGTACTCGGGTGTCCCAACATCCAGGCTTCCAACAGAGATATATCAAATGATCGTCAAACAAATTGTCTTGCATTATGACAATTGCAGCTACGATCAAAAAGATATCCGCGCCAAGACTCTATCATCGCTAGCTTGTACTTCCACGACCCTCCAATGTCTTACCGAACCATATCTCTACTCCTTTCCAGAATACTCACGACTGAAAAGCTCTCGAGGCCTGAACCGGTTCCAGCTATCACTGGCGGTTAGTTCTCGTCGAGAAAACCTTGTCCAGGCTCTTGAAATCGAGTGGGGCCCTCAGATATCCTCCCAACTACTGGTTATAGACATAGCACGACGGTGCCCTAATTTACGTACTCTCATTTTGAATCCTCCTGAGACGGAGTGGCAGAAGGACGAGTTCAGTCAAACCTGTAACGATAACTTGGCTAACCTGTTCTCCGTCTGTCCCAAAGTCAGGAACCTGTGCCTGGCAACATATTTCCCAGAAGACTTTCCGATACCTGAACAGGATAGGCGGATTGAAGAGTTTGCTGGGCAGCTTTCTCATGTTGATTTCAGCGGTTCGGGATCCTGGGCCGAAAAAGCCTTATTGCCTTATCTGTCACCGAATATAATATCGTTCATCATGACATGTCCTGAAGACGATCTTACAGGCTTCCTCGAAATCCTAGGCCAACGCTGTCCAGTCTTGCAGAGACTGAGACTTACGTGCTTAGGGATAACTCCAGAAGAGCTGGCGACACTCTGCAAGGGCTTAGGTTCGACACTCAAATTGCTGTGCCTTGACGACTTGGATTATAACGGAAGTGTCCTGAGCTTGTTCGTTCCCCATATGAAAGTCCTGGAGCATTTGATCCTGGGCGCAAATTTCCCCCTACAAGGCCAGGACCTGGAGGTCATGTCCGGCCTATCTTGTTTGAGAACATTTATCTCAGACGTTCGAAACGATAGCATCAGCAATTTATTTTTGGGTGAAGCGGATATCGACTTGAATCGCGCTGTGGCTAGCTTCCTCTCTGCGCACAGGACGACACTGGAGACGATGTGGATAGCTTCACTCCACAACTGGGACAGTGATGTCTTTGAGAACTTGAAGCTTGTGCCAAACCTGGGTTCCGTGGGTCTGTCGTTCATGGAAGGACTTGAGAGACAAGATATTGATGATCTTTTAAAGGCGTGCCCTAAGCTTCAAGAGGCCTTAGATCTTGAAGAACGTCTTGATGGGATGTTTAATGGTGGAACTAACTCGCATAACCTGTCGATTGGGTTTCAATACAGTAAATGGTGGATGGAAGATCCACCCGGAACTGGATAGTGGTTGGGCAGTAGGGTTACGCCAACCTCAGCAAAAGATATAAATTAAAGAGTATGAAATACGTGGAAGTCGCCGAGTATAACAATGTTTCAATGTCTTCCATGGAACCGACATCTCAATAACAGCTGTAGCCAGAGCAACATATATTCGATTTTTCCTGTTTTCTTGGTCGTAAAAAATGTATTCTGCCTGAAATGCTCTCCATTATCCATATAGTTTTAGTTCATGATAGTAGCCTTGTCGCTCTCCTCGAGGACATCATCCAGCATCTGGACGGTGGTAATTTCGCCCTTAGAACTCCAATGAGCACGCATCTTTCGCACAGAATCGTAAAGTCTCTCGGGCGAGACCGCGTCATAGTTGATGAAGTCGATTTTCATTCCATGGTCTTGGAGCCATTGGAGTAGGTAGGCGATATCGCGGACGTCAGAACTGAACTTGACCACAGACTGAGGGCGTGTACTGCCAATGTACTGACATGAGCGCTTCATCTTGGTGAGAATGAGAACGCTAGGGTGGAGGATAGGAATTGATCCTGTGTAAAACCGGGTTAGTTATATAATACACGGCACGCAGTCAGGCTATTAGGCAAAGCCAGAGACTAGGCGCATGGACTTACTATCTCCTGGTCGAAGGACCAAGAATCGGCGAGGCAGGCCGAGGGTACCGCGAGCAAGTGTCTCGATAGGTACTCGCAAGTCCCACTGGTCAACAAAAAAGAGCTTGAGGTTCGAAATGATAAACCGCTGATCTGCACGAAGAAGCTGGAGAAGACGAGGTCGGACCTCATTCGGCTTGACGTGGTCCATGGCGACCTCAACGTCGATATCTACAGTCTCGCTGTCGCTGCCTAGTACATTCAAGGCAAACCCGCCAATGAAGGCATGCTCGATGCTATGGTTGGTGAGAATACGCGAGAAAGCTTGGGCAGCCTCCTTCATTTTGATGAGAAGGGGTGGCATACTGGTGGATGAGATGATAAAACTTCTAACTTTAGGATAGGATATCAGCATAACCTGGCCTAAAGATGGACTAAAGTACAATGAACTTACCTAAGCTTAGTGTAATTTAGGGCAAATGTCCTCAGACCTTTTGACTCCTATTGCGATTTATTGATGGTGCAACGTCTAAGTTAGCAGCCAGAGGTATCATTTGCTGCTAAGATTTGTGTCTGAGAACTTGTATAGGAATAGAAAGCTTATTTGACTGAACTTTATACCTTCTCTCAGCCTTCACGCGTATCCTCTCTATAATAAGGTCAAGGGTTTAAAAGAGGCTTCAGCACAGAGCACTTAGATGGGACGAATTTATTTCAGCTGCGTGTCCTCCGCCTTTGGCTCTAATCGCAACGTTGGTCTACTTCTTGGCCGTAAATCGTCATACGACAGCTTCCCAGATACTAATTGAAGCATCATGTCTCTTGCCCACTCAGTCTCCTCTGTGAATTGCCATTGCTTTATGCTGCAAAGCGCATTTTCCATCTCTAAAGCATCCTTTTCAGCCATTCTTTCTTTTTCAGCAGCATCTAGATGCTCCAAGTCCTCTGGTGTAGGCATATAATCCCCCTCATAGCTCATATCAAACATGCTGTAGGCGACGATTCCTGACAGATCTGCGTTTGCCATCGCACGAACCATAGTTTGGATGTCCGGTCGCATAAGAATGCGCAAGTAGGCAGCGCAAATAGCAGGCATGGGCACTGTCCATAAGGGACATGGCAGTGTGGCTGAATCAAGAGGTACGAGCTCCTTTTGTTGAATGCCTGTCCAGGAAATGGGTACTAGGATGAATTTGTGACTTGACTCTCCAAAGACATAGCGAATGCCCTTGCGTGCGTGTTCGGCCATATAACTTGGGGGTCGGCCGTTGTCTTGTAAGCCATTTGCTTCAACGATATGTCTTGCAGCTTCTATTTGCTCGTTAGGTATCAAGAAGAGTAGATCCTGTGATCATAGGTCAGCATTGTTAAAAGATTTGTTACGTGAGAACTTACTGCTTTGGATGCGAGGGGGTATCCCAAGCGCTGTAGTAGAGGAGTCTCCCATTCCACGAGAGTAATTTTGTACTCTTTGAACTCGCTTAGAACTTTGAGCACGCGATCATCAGTGACACACTCCATATGTTGTTTGCTGACGAAGGAATGTTGTTGCGATGGTGAGATTTTGAGAAATAACTGTTGGGGGGCATCCTATAGGTCACGTGCTTAACCAAAGAAAAGCTTAACCTCTGCAACGGAAAGCCAGTTTGTTAGTATTGCTCAGTTACCCAGATCCATCTCGCTGAGATGTAAAGATCGCTTATCATGAATGAATGAAGAGTTAGATAACGTCTGTTGATAACAGCTATAGCCGAGTAATCCCGGTCGATTAACCACGCTATTCCCCATCAAGAAAGTGATCCGTACCCCCCTCTCACCGAATGATTGACAGCGATCTCGCAATTGTATTTATCATCAAAGATTTTTTCGCCTCATTCTTTTTAAACTTGGCACTGTATTTTTACTCCAAAATGGCGAGTGACGAGACAACACCACTTCTCCCCCAAAAGGGGGAAGGTAAAGGACGAGTGAGAAATTGGTTATCTAGAGCTTTTAAGGTCGAGAATCGGATTTTGCTTGCGGGGTTTCTTATCACGTTATCGTTCAGTTTTACCCAAGTTCCGTGAGTACTTTTTGTGAATTGGAAGAAGAAAAGCTAATGGTTTGTAGATTGTTTTATGTCTTTCATTTGATGACGTGTGATTCGTTCTATGAGACACATCCTCCATATAATGGTCCGGGCGATAGGTGCAGTCGGGACGAGATTGCGGCTGGAACGGCAACCCAATACAGTATCCTTGGCATGTCTACTACGTTTTGCGGTGAGTCAAGTCAATTGCAAGTCAAATATCCAATGCAATACTGACTTTTCTAAGGAACGTTGAATCTTTTTGTTGCTGGCTGGACATCGAAAAGGTTTGGCCCTCGAGCCGCACTTTTGTGTCAGATTCTCATCCCGGCAGCTCGCGTGGTCACACAAATCCTGGGAGTCGTGGCGGGTGGAGAAAAGGGAATGATTATCATTCAAGCGACTCAATTGATCACAATTCTTGGTGGGCCAGCTGGGTACATGTAAGTCAACTACACACTCACACTCCTTAACTGCTAACATTGGCTTCAGTCTCGTTGTCAATGTCATCGCTGGAGAAGTTGTAGAGCCTATCAGACGGACAGCAGTGTTTGGACAGCTGCAAGGTGCCATCATGCTAGGACAGGCGATCGGTTACTTGAGCGGTGGTATGATAGGTGACGCGATTGATATCCGAGCTCCTTTTGACGTTGCGTTCATCTCCTTCATCCTCGCAGCTATCTACGTCTGGTGCGCCTTACCATACATCTCACCCGATTCAATGTCCAATGGCGGAAAGAACGGCCAAAAAGGGGTCTCTGGCTTTCTCGCACCGCTCAAAATTCTCACACCACAGAAATTACGCCTCGCCGACGGAAGAGTCAAGAAGCATTTCGGCGTCATCTTCCTCTGCAGCGGCATATTCGTTTCTGTTCTCGCCACAGGTTACGCGCCTCTCCTCATTCAGATGTATGCGACAGCAGCGTTCAACTTTAGCCAGGGTGATAACGGCTGGCTCATGTCAGAGTTTGCGTTCATGAGGAGCTTCTTCTTGATTCTGTTGTTCCCCAGGATCATCGCTTGGGGACGAGGCCGTGTTATCAGATCTGAACCGAATAGCGATGATGAGGCGGAACCGGGGCATATTCCAACGGAAGCCGGGGAGTTTGACGCGACTTTGGGAGAGCAGGCTGATCATGAGCCGTACGAGGCAGTCAGCCGCAGCAAAGAAGACGAGGGATGTCTCTTTGATCTCGTCTTCCTCAGATGGAGTTTGTTAGTCGATGGTCTGCTTACTACAGTTGCCGCCTTTGCGACCAAGCCCTGGCATATCTACCTCGGTACGTTCTTGCAATCCCCTACTAAACCTTGCTCTGACAGAACAGCTGCCTTTCTTCTCCCATTCGGCTCCGGATCAGCTCCAGCAGCAAAAGGCGTCATCACACAGATGTGTCCCGACTCGCAACGCGCCGATGCTCTCAACGCCGTTACCTTGGTCGAGAATGTAGCACGACTAGCTACGCAGGGCTTGTTTGGCTTCATCTTTGCCAGTTTGGCCGCGGTTGGCAAAGCTTATGCAACTTTCTTCTGCAATGCGGTGAGTTACTCTTGTCCAAGTTCTCGGTCAATACAACTAATCAGATGATAGGCCATTGCCTTATTGGCCATGGCGGTTCTCTTATTCTCCAACTTCCCGCCTCCGGGAAGCACACTGATTGAGAAGCATGGAGAGCAGGACGAGGTTCAAAACCAGGGTAGTGAAGGCGAGCCTCTCCTAAATAACAGAGACTGAACCTCCAAAGGCACTTCGCAGATACTAAAATCATAGGGGACGGAAAGGATCATGAGAAGTAACTACAAAATTGACACAATGAAGTTTAGATGCATAGTTGAACGGCGTTTAATGGGTACGATAAAGGTTGGACTAGTTTGGCTTGAGACGGACTGAATAGACATAAATTCCTTCTGAAAAGAGCTATGTGCATTATTTAGATTATTTCCCTTTTGTAACATGTGCCCAAGTATGAATCCCTCTGCATGAGGTTGGCGACGACGAAGGAATTCTGTGTCCTCTCGGTCTTCAACGTTCATCCGAAGACCGTCTATAGAGTAGTCCAACGTGCGTTTCAGCTCTTTGTTTACTACCCAAATTGACTTGTCCCAATCAGGAGCCAGTAATCGCTTCGCTGTCGTCCAACCCTATGTTTCTCTCGCTTCGGTCGCCGTCCGTCTGTCGTTCAGCTTCGGCTTCAGCTATGGCCGCTATTTCTCGTCTGGTCGGGAGTCTCGGGGGCAAGGAAGACTGAGCAACAGCTTTGAAGATCGGAACCCAATCAGGCAGACGCTTCCCTGGCAGTTGGATCTCAGCGTCTCTGACAGCTATCATGAGAAGTACTCGGAGCGTAAGGTGTGCATCATTTTCCGCTACGTGAAGTTGCGAGTATGGTATCTCAAACTCCTCCAGCAGCTGCTTCAGACTGTATCTGTACCAAAGCTGCAGTGGAAACTGAGCTGCCTTGACAGTGTCGATAATGAAGACGGGTTCAAGCTTTATGTTCAGCAGTGAGAGCAGTGAGAACTCCTGCGTTCCCCCGTGGGGCCGTGAACCACAAGCACATAAGGCTTCCGAGTGAGCCGTTCAAGCACAGCTCGTACATCTGACGGCTTAATCGGCCTCGCCTTTCCAAATAGAAAGTGGTAGTTTTTCCAGTGGAATGCATTCTTGTGGCCAAACACTAGATGGAGAGATTTTATGACACCAGATGCCAAGTCGCCGCCTTGCGTACATTTGCCGTGTAGGTGTTGTAGAGATTGAGCTTTTAGGAAGGACAAGCCAATCTCAACTCGTTGTATTACACCATTTTCCACTCTGAAATGATCAACATCGATGCTGAGAAATCCTAGGTCCTTGATGTCGGAATTAAGCCTACGTGGTACAGACGTCTGAGGTACGGCGGGCCAGCTCGTGCCATCAAGCAATTTTGCATCGCGGCAGTGGCCAAATATCCAGCGAAGCATGATCGTTTCATCTCTGAGGATCCCTTTATTGGCTGGCTCGGCTGTGGTGGTAGTCATCGGGCAAGTCCATGGATAACTGTCACAAGGGTGATGGTCAACTCATTGTGAGGCATGAAGCTTGTGAGGTTGTGCACAGATGGCAAACCTTATGAGTAACCCTTACAGCAAACCCAAATTCGCAAGCGAAAGTTTCTTGTCACTGATTAATAATATTTTCACAATGTTGAGATTGCCTGATTCTTTGTCTATTTTCAACTATTATACACATAATCAATCCGCCTCTGATCTTCCTACAACGTCGTCAAAAAGTGCAACTGCCCCGTAAGAGAGTGATCAAAGTGCCTTTGCAGTATATTAAACCTTCTTCAGCCATTGACCCCCGGTCAGCGCCTGTCTCGACATGATCGCAAATACAGCACCCGCCAGAATCGTAACACCGCAAAAGATAATTAATCCAGAGAAACTTCCATTCTCTGCGCTGACGATGGCTCCAGCAACTGGACTACCAATAAGGACGCCAATGGCGGAAACACCATAGAGTGCGCCGCTGCGGGTTCCGATGCTGCGAACATCAGAGAAGCTAGCAACCATAGCTGGTACAATTGACAAAGTGCAGCCGGACGCGAAACCATACAGAGCTGCATATGCAATGACCGAAGCTGTAGAGTGCGCTGTTAGCCACACCGTAAGAGTGAAGATGCCTCCCAGTAAGGTCAATGGGATCATAACGTTGAAGACACCAATGCGATCGCCGAAGTATGCGGGAACAAGACGGCCAAAGGTGCTTGCGGTTTGTCAGTCGAATTCAAGGGACATATACCAAGGTAAGTGACTTACGAAGCCGCATTGACGATAGAGACCAGATATTGAGCCAAGCTATCTGATACACCAAGTTCCTTCGCCTGCACAATGATGAAGTTGAACGGCAAAAAGGAGCCAAGGTAAAGCATGAATCCGGCGACGGTCAACAAAAGGAATGGCATTTCCTTGAACGGCGTGATGAAGTCTTGGATGTTAAACTTTCTTCTCGGCGGCGGCAGTCTTGACTTGATGGTAATATTGGCGATAACAAGTAGCCCCAGGAAAAGGAATGCCACGGATCGCATCGCCCAGCCGAAGCCAACTCGTACAACAAGCTTATTCACCATGATCGGAAGGACAACACCGCCGAGACTGGATCCAGCAGTGATGATTCCAAAAGCGATGGCACGGTGACGCTTGAACCATGTTCCAGCAGCAGCGATAGCTAGATATCGTAAGTGCTATCCTTAGAGCTCTAGAGAAGGACACTTACGCGCGTAAAAGAGGAATGAACAGCCCAATGCACTGCAGATACTTTGAGATAGAATAATCTGATAATACTTCTTTGATAGGGACGTCATCATCAGACCGAAAACATGTAGAAATGAGCCGATGAGAATCGGAATACGAGGGCCGTAATTATCTGTCATGTAGCCGACAACTGGACCCTGTGAGATGTTAGTGAGATCTGACAATTAGCAGAGGCTAGGCGTACCCAGAAAAACAGCATGAATGACTCGATGGATGATATCCAGGCTACATCGCTAGAAGAGTACGATTTGAGTTGATTCTGCTCATAGTAATCTTGAAATATGCCGATACCTAATCCTTTGTTAGCTTCCCCTCTACTCTCAATGAGATGGCACTGTGGCAGTCACGTACAGTTAATCCACCCGAAACTGGCAAATACAGCGAAAAAGCCACCAGTCACAACAAGCCAAGCTTGGAACCCTCCATCAGGCGGAGGACCGAAATCTGGTGCTGACGTCCCTTCTTGCTGCGAGGGGGCTTTTTCGCTATACGGCTCGATTTGGGAAGGGCGATCGTCGTCAGAGGCGGGGGAAGAGAGGGATTGATGACGGCTTGGTTCTGATGCGGCCATTGCTGCGCTTTGGAGGCTGGATGCCAATTGTGAGGTGTTCTGTGATGAGAGGACAGCTGCTTGGTGTCAGAAATAGTCTACATGTCAAAGATTGGATATTATATAGCTGTTTTAATCCTTCAATGATCTACATCATGCTCGTTATCTTACAAATTCGACCCTTGGCCGATTCTCGCGAGATGGTTCCGAATATGGGATAGCTTCATCGCAGCGTGTTCGGCCTCAACGCTAAGCTTTGATCCCTGTTACTTATCTCGAAGGATGGTGCCGAATGCAGTTTAGGTTCTCGGCTTCTAACCCATGAGTACCCGCTAAAACGCGAGCTGACATCTGTTCGCTGCGTTTCCTTCCAGTCCCTCAAACATTCCCTTCAAACCACGTTATACGCAATTGCTATAAGAGATATCCTTGTCAAGGCTCTCGATGTATGGTACTACATATAGCCTAGCGCATCCCTTAACTGAAAACTTCGAGACCATGGTCTCTGTTTAGTTCTTCGTAAGCATGGTTGGTGTTTCCAGATCCAAGGCATGCGCTGATTGCAGACGACGTCGCGTCAAGGTCTGACTCACTTCCCTTTCGACAGCTATTCATTACTAAAAGTTTTCAGTGCGACCTGACGTCGCCTCGGTGTCAGCGTTGCACCAAGGCCGGTATTATCTGTCGTGGTGTCCGTAATCAACCAACACTATGGGTCCATCGGACTCCGACACAGCCCAACGTTTCCGCTCTCTCAGTCATACAGTCCCAGCAGCAGACCAACTGGTTGAGCTTGCTACAGCGGATGTGTTGCCAAATAAACTCGAAAGAAACATACGATGTGCCGACTTTTCGGTCACAAGCGCTTTCAATCGCTGTCACCATTTACTTTCCGCAAGGACGGTATACCACCAGCGAGGAGGATCACAGTTCAACGCCGTCGTCATGGCTAAAGGCTGTGTGTAATATGGAAGGCCCTAGTGAGGCTTTGGACCACTCACTTGTTGCGTTTGTTGCGATCCAGATCAGGCTGTCTGGTGAAGTGGGTGTGTCTTACGATGAGGCCATCGAGCTATACAACCATGCGCTGTCCAAGGTCATCCATGTTCTTGATTGTCCGTGCATCGGTAACAATGACGAGAGTCTTGCCGCTATTGTAATTCTTTCCACGTGTGAGGTAAGTCAAAGATACTTGGCATGTGGCAGAGTCTCACTGACCTTCACCAGCTGTTCCTCTTCCACGCAAGCACAAGCTGGAACGCCCACGCCCAAGGTGTATCTGAGATCCTCCGCCACCGAGCTGTACCTGACACGAACACTTCAAGCTGGAATGACTTGTGTCGACGTCTCTGTGTGATCTGTGTAGGAACACTTCTCTGAACAACCCCCGAGTATATGCTGACTATCGCAGGTCATTCAGGCCCTGTCGCAGAAGAAGCCTCTGAACCTTGAACCCAGTCTTTGGCGAAAGCACATTGGCCCGTGGGCTGCCCCAGAGTCCTTCGGTGCAATGCTTGACATGAGCATCAATATACCTTCAGTCATGGCGGAAGCTCACACTTTGGCTTTGAGCAACGAGAAAAATGGTGAGAAAGTACTAAAATACGTCGATCTGCTGACTGAAAAGTTCCGTCTTCTTGATGACTGGCGAGCCCTTGTACATCGGAATATCGCGGCACGCAACCAAACGCCGCTATTCTGGACTGTCCCCTCTAGGGCGAGTAATCCAGCAGACGATGGATATCCAGATAAGCTATTCCCGTTCGCTCTGATCTTCTCTTCTGTGGAGGCAGCTAGTCCGTGGATCCTCGGCTCCAGCATCATGTTGGATATCCTTGAAAACATTTTGCTTCTTCGTGGAAAACTTGGAAGCTCGGATGCCTCATTGTCTCTTGGCGAACCCCTCGATGGCTATAAAGAGAAAAGCTCACCGAATCAAGCAGACGCTGACCGTATTGCGCGTATGCTTTGCCAAAGTATTGAGTATTGCTATCGGAGTGAGAATGGTACATTTGGCCCGCAAATTACATGTAATGCTCAAACCACTCTACTGGGATACTTTGCGGGACGGGGTATGAAGAGGGAACTTGAGTGGTGTCGAGCGATCAAGTACATGAAGGGGCCGGGCACGAGTTTTGGGATTGACTTGATGCAGTTCAAGCCACCGCCTGAACTGTAGACGCTGGGTTGATATGGGACCCTATCGTCTTAATCTACGTTATAATCGAAATAAAAAATAAAAACATAATAGTTACATCCCTACTCCAAAGGGGAAATGGAGTAATATAAAGAGATTGAAGTAAACAAGGCAAAAGAGCAGCTGTCCAAGCACCACCGAAAACCCCACGACAATGAAAAAAAAGAATAATATTAGGCAGATATGCAAAAGAAACACCAATTGCCCCGTACTGGAATCGAACCAGTGATCTTATCATTTCGTGAAGGTACTAGTGATACGCTTTACCACTGAGCCAACGGGGCTGAACCTAATTGGTTAAACGAGCATTCCAGAGCGGCGCCTATGGATTCGAGAATGGAGAGAAGACTTTGTCAGTTACATCATTCGTCGAACATTTATTGACATCGTCCTGACGACTTCTATTTAAGTCAATCTAGAGTACCCTCTTACAAATGGCGTGTAGTGATGGCATCAGTTGCAATGACAGGTTTGGCTTACAAGACCTAAATAGAGTAATCTGTCATCCATTCTTCATGCACTCATGTTCACCTCATCTCCAGAGCCAGCCTTAACGCCAGGCTCAACATCCATAACATCCCTGTTGTGAGCAGAAGCAGTAACAAGTCCAGGCTGCTTCTCCTTCAATTCCTTGAACTTCTTCTCAGCGTCCCAAACCCAAGGTGTATCAGCCGCAAAAAGGAGATCCATCTCTTCGAGCGTGCGCTGGTTACTCTCGGGGTACAATGCCCAAACCATAGGAATTGCGATGATATTGCAGGCCCCAAAGATGTGAAGCGTGTTTTCACCGATGGCTGAAAACATGACGGGACATAGAAGAGTCAACCATCCGTTGCCGATAGACCAGCCAAAAACGCCGAAAGCGTTTCCCTTGGCTCGAACTTGCAGTGGGAAGATCTCAGCAGGGTAGAGCCAAGGAACTGTTAGCCAGGTAGCTCCAAAGACGGAAGTAAAGATGAACACGAAGGAAGCCGCTGCTGCACCGTACGAGCTAGCCTTATCAAGATCGCCAGCATTTCGCGCCTCTTGACCAAGTTTGGAGAATCCAGCGGCGAGAAACATGGCTATTCCTTGACCTACAGCACCCCAGTAAAGAGTCCATCTTCTGCCGATGCGATCGAGTGTATAGACGCAGATGAGCGTGGCAAACATGTAGAAGATGTTGTTGAGACCACTGATCCATTGGGATTTACGTGTGTCAAACCCAGCTATCCTGAAAATTGTAGGGGCGTACACTGTCACGCCGGCGATGCCGACCCACTCCTGCATGATTTGGAGCTGGACCTGTTAGTCACGCCATGTGATAGTAGCCTGTGGACTTACCCAGATGACTAGTTGAACACGGCGACCAGTATGGAGTTCACCTGATCCAATACCGAAAAACATGTGCAAATAAGAGTTCTTGGAAGACTCCTTGTTCTCAAGCTGAACGATGTTCTTGATGTCGGTGTACTCAGCGTGAGCGCGAGAAAGATCCGCTTCACTTGACCCACGCAGGCGACGAAGAATGTACTGAGCTTCATCGTCTCGGCCAACTTTGACAAGCCAGCGAGGCGACTCGGGGAAGAACCAGACGCATCCTAGCAGGACAAGGAGAGGCAGGATCTGGAAGGCGATGGGGAACCGCCACCCGAACTCAGAGTTATTATTGTCAATGTACGAGAGGCCAAACTCCAACCAGTAAGCCACCACCACACCAAAGATATTGAGGGTAAACTCGATTGCAATGAATTGGCCTCTGGAGGTATGTTCAGCTGTCTCGGTAGCCCATACCGGTACGATGGCGTTGAGAATGCCGGTTCCTAGGCCCTACTGTCAATAACACTGTATAATATTGGACGTCCACCTTGGTAGAGGCGCATTACCTATGCCGTTGACTGCGCGCGAGCAGATCATCCAGTCGTGGTTTTGAGCGGAGCATTGCAGCGCTGCACCGACAATAGCCCAGGCCGCACCAATAGCGATAGTCTTGATACGGCCAACTTTATCTCCTACCCAGCCTCCAAAGAGACAGCCAAATAGAGTTCCGAGATAGTACACTGAGACGATGCCGCCTTGGAGAAGACTATCGGTAATGACTGGTTCACCGGTCCTTTCGTCGACGTAGCCAAAGCCCATCAGGTCGATATAATGTTTAGAGTTGTTGACACCACCCATCATTCCCTGGTCATATCTGAAGTCGTTAGGGAAAAGACTGAACCATTGAAGTTGGGGAAGATGATGAGGTCATACCCAAAGAAGAAGATCGACAGAGCAGCGACACAATTAATGGCGATGAGAAGCTGACGCTTCTCAAAACGATTCGCGACGTTGAAACCTGGAAGGCGCTCCATGGTTGCTATTTGGCATTGAGCTTGGATGTTGAGAATTTGACGATGATGTCGTGGGCAAGTGTTGCATTTATACTCGCTGCAACTGACCTGGTTGTGTGGAGGATGAGACGTGAGATCCACATCGGATAACCGTATTTTCTCATTATCAGAGCGTTTCAATTAGCGTGGTTACTTTGGGCGAGGGGCGGAAACATGGCCGTTGGTCAAGTTGTTTCCGTGAGGCTCGATCAAAACTTGGTCATGATCTCAGCACAATACAAGATACGAGGCAGATCACTCTTCCTGCTTCCGCATGAAGCTAAACAAATTCAATTTTCTCCTGTTTTCTCCATATATGAAGTCGATCATATTGTTTTCCTTTGCAATGACAGAACTCCAATGAACTTCCTACCATCGCATCTCAAAGAGCAGAGTCATGGACAACTGTTGCCCCAGGTTGAGAATTGGAGGTGGTGGAGACATTTTAGACTCCCCCATGTTTTGTTTATGCGCCCCAATCAACATGCCTCATTCTGAGATTTTACTGGGTCTAAGCGGAGATTTCCTGGAGTTGAGTGGTAATTCCCACGTTTTATTCTCGTGACAGGGATCTTTCAGCGACAGGCAGCAGTTTAAACAAACATCGGGATGCGGCTCCGATGCTTTTCATGCTACGTTAGAACCTCAAAGTCTTGACATCGAGTCATTTTCGCATCTGTCGTGTGATCTGCTGTTGCAATAGAGATACCTACATCATACATGCACCTGCGGAGTGTCCGCTTTTCCTCTGGCGGCTTCTCAAAGTTGGGGTCTCCAGGTTAAGTGAGGGATGATCAGTGGAGTCTTTTCACTGAAGGTCTCTAAGAGAAAATTGTTTGCCGATGTGCCGGGCAATGCCGCTATGACATCGTTCCTTGATTCAGCTGGGAATATGTAAAAGTATGGAGCTTGTGTTGGAGCAACCAAGAATTCAGCTTAATTGGCCGATCAGGTTTTTGCTCATGGCTGGGATTGTCTCGGGGATAATTCCGCGACATGTTAACAGCGCGCTTTGCCTAGCCTCGACAGCGGAAAACGAGAGGTGCGGAGTTTCCAGATGAGGGGATCATGGACAATGTTCAACAGCACGTGCACAGTGAAGATCATGGTTTAATTTTTTGGTTATCCTGGTCGCTAGACCTCACTCCTCCTAACGGCCGAAACATTAGCCCTCAGCCGGACCCGGATCAAGGTTTCAGGAATAAATCCGCTAAGTGAGGCCAAGGTACTTCGGTATCAAAAGCCGACAGTCAACAATCCATCCGAAAAATGCGGGATCTCTCACCGGTAAAAGAATGAAGCGCCACGAGCATCTATTTCCCACCAACATTAGCCTTTCCTCTCGAAGAGCTAGCGATCGGGGTTTGCACCGGTAGTTGATGATGGACAGGGGTCTCAGCGGCTTCCCCAATATCGTTAGTGAGCTCTTAGTCCCTGTTTTGGGGTGCAACAGGGCGATCATCACGAGTCATGGGTCAGCATCCAAGCTACAGTATTGCCTACCCGGTGGAGGAGTGTTAAATCAGCCAGATTACAGCATACGGTAAACAAAACAACCAAATGTCCTTGGTTAATAGTAGTAACAATATTTTATCACATTTTCAAGAACTTTACTGTTCTCTTCTACGACAATGTTTCACCCTGAAGACACTATTTTGCTCCCGGCACCTCATTTCCTTGAAGAGCACTAAAACTTTGTGCGAAACATATCCCACCCAAAACGACAACCCCTCAACAAACGGGTAATCATCTAGTTGACAGATGCAGTTTTAGAGTTGACGGTCTTGGATCCAGTATCGGAAGAGGTTTCACCGGTTTCCTCGGACAAAAACTGGGTAGGGGCTTCAGCTTGAGGACTGTCAATTGTTAGCTGGTGTTTCATGTCAGGGATCATATCTACGTACTCCCGATGCTTCAGCCATAAATGAAGCGCGTGCGTTGCAATGAGCAGGCCAATGGCACATCCCAGCGCAAATGGGTAACCCTTCGGGAAACGAGGCCCTTCGACAGTTGGGAAGACGAGCAAAGGGGTCCAAGCTGTCGTCGACTGAGAGATGGCATTGATCAACACCAATGTGAACGATCTTTCAGCTGGCGATGCTCGAAGTTGAGTATTTACCCAGCCGTGAAGAACACTTGAGAGCGCGACTGACGCGTAAATGGTTGAATATGCAAACCAAAGAGCTGATTCGGGGACGTTCCAGATGGTGAGAATAATAAGACCAAGAGCATTCCAGACAGTAGAAACAGTGATAGCCCACGCCGGCCCCAGCACAAGATCTGAAGCAAAGCAAACGAAGAGGGTGTAAAAGATTCCTAAGGCTGGTGCGATGGTACCCAACTCGTTAACCTTGGCCTTCGAATAGCGATTCAGGCTTTTAATCCATAAGAGAAAAGAGCCAGAGCTACTGTGAGTTCCAGCGTTCCAGAACAAGACATCGACGAGAATGATACCCCAGAATTGGGGTGACAGAACGACCTTCTTCAGGTGTCCTAGCTTCATCTTTCCATGACTGCTGTGGCCCGCTCGTTTGAGTCGCTGCTCACCAACATCAATGTCGTGCTGGTTCAAAACGCGACGATTCGGCTGATCAGGCGTTCCTGGGATGACAAAGTATCCTGCGATACCGACCGGGATGGTGATCAGCGCACAGATGATATACATCCAGCGCCAACCCTCCAATCCATTCACACCATCGAGTCGAGCTGAAGCACCAGCCTGAATGAGACCGGCGGTAAGTGTTCCGAGAGACAAACCGACGTAGAAGATGCCGCCACGGCGAGCAATCTCGTTTCCTCTGTACCATGAACCAAAGAGGTAATGCATAGTTGGGAAGAAAGCTGCTTCAAACCATCCGACGAGGAATCTGTAAGCTGCCAGCTCGGCGAAGCTATTGACTCGGTATTGAAGAAGTGTGAAGATTCCCCAGCAGACATCCAAGCCAGGGATTAACCAGTGAATGGGGACGTAGGTGAGGAGGAAGAAGAAGGGGATCTGGCCAAGGACGGCACCAATGATGTAGAACGTTTGTAGTTGAACGAGCTCATTGCCTTTGAAGCCGAGGTCCTCTTTAAGGCCCGCAACGTACGCATTGTCTTTGAGGTGTTAGCAAACAGAAACTGGAACCAGGAGGGGATGCTCGAAGACTTACTCAGGTTGGACTGATCAATGTACTTCACCCAATAAGCTATCACAGCATACGGGACGATAAGAAGATCAAGCTTAATAATAAACTTGCGTTCTTCCGGGGTATCTGTGTCAGAGTACCACTGGATATGATACCACTTCTTTTGTTTGGCGACAGACATTGTGCTAGATGTGCAGATGAAGGATCATGCAGGATAGTTGAAGCGATGGGCCAGGGGCTTTAAAGCATATGCGAACGCAAGCAAGGATCCGAAAATTGGGATCTCGAGAGGCTAGATGCGTTCTTTATCGGGCTGGGTGACACTAGACGTGGGTGCCATGTGCACATTGAGAGATAGTGCTTGCTTGGCGTATTGCATGATTTGACAACACTTTGATGCGACGACCGACTTCGGGAAACATCAGATCTAGATACCGAGACCAGGTAAGGGATTCCTTTGGATATTTTGTGAAAAATCAGATGTGAAGAAACCCACTCTGTTCTTGTATCTGTTCTCTGATTGTTAGTCAACTTGCATCTGTAGACATTTGCAGATCTGCAGTTTCAAGTTCTTGGATTTCATGCAGTATAATCTCGAAACCAATCAAATAATTCTGTCGGACCAATAGCGATATCGAGAATTACTTGAATTGAGCAAAAATGCCTGTTGGGTTCGTTATCGTTGTGAGAATATGCTCTCAGACGCGGGGCGAATTGCGTGCTCTCGATGTCGCCATTTCATCCCTGTGCAACGTTTCGCGGCGGGTTGAGACAATTGGCGCCATCGAAAACTACTGATATCACAAGTTAGTATAATTCAATGAATATGGGACTCGGGTGATATGGGTTGTTGGAGGTTAGCAGTTGCGTGGAAATGAACGCGTCGGTGGAGATGCTGTCCTGTGAGAAGAATGATATCGGCGCGACTGACATTTTTGAGGGACTAACCAGCTATACTCTACAGGCTCCGTACGCATGGACGAGAGATATCGAAGAGCCTATACTTCGGCGTCTGTGTCCTGGCAACGATACAAAATGGAAGAGAACGAAGATGTGAGTGAGCCTGGCAACAAAACAAGCGGCAGAAAAGTTAACGAGATTGAAGAGGACCAGCCTTCGCAGCGCCATCATGAAGAGCTCTATGAAGCTTAGTCACTAAGAGCCTTGGAGGTAATATCAAGCGGAGTCCAAAGTCTATGGCCCGTCTGCTGGCAGCAAGTTTTAACCCACAAGGCTGGTCACTGGGTGACAGTTGCACGGATTCGAGACGTACGAGCGCTGCTACCAAAAGGACACGCCCTGGGGAAAGGTTATATACCACAGTCACATTGTACCCTTTAGCGAAGAGTGGTCGAGTGGTATCTACCTATGAAACTATAGAACCTAAAATCCGCTCCTAAAAAACCTTCCTCCCTCGGCCACTCTTCGTTTTTTGCTCGCGGGTTCGAATCCTGCTCCCAAAATGAATTATGTTTTGGCACCGGGACTATCGCATGGCCCAACAACTCCAGATGATTCCCTTATGTCCAATCATGTATCTGATCGCCACGAGTGGAAGTCGATTGACGATGATCTATCGCTCGACCATATTGAAAGTCGAGATCGTCGAGTTCTTAGAGACACGAATCTGCATACAACATCAGCGTCTTGGAGCAGATCAAGAAGCCTCATCCACTTACCACGTTGCCGCAATAGGGACAGGAGTGGCCAGGAATGACCCAAACTTCCTTCTCAGTCGTAGTGCACTTAGGGCACAGGACACCAGCCATTTGTTTGGGGTCAGGGGAAGAGTCATAAGATATCCCGGGGTCCCTACCAGGCATATTGGGGTTACAAAGGCGAGCTGATGATGAATCTGTTGGTGTAGAGTGGTGATGGGTAGTGTTGGGGGAATTGTGTGAATAGAGGAGGGTGGTACGTTTGAGATGACGAAGATGAACAGGGTGGGATGGCAACGGGCGTTTGTGTTCATCCAAACTGGTCATGTTGGAAATACCAGTGGTAAATCCTGCATTATTGTTCACTGAATTGGTGCCTATTTGCTTAATGAATCAGATGGCTCCGTCCCTTGTTTAGGGACCACACTGTTTGGGATAGTGGCAGCACTCCTACTGGGACGAATCATGGTGTGATGCAACACCAGATAGCCAACAGCGTAAATTAAACAGAGGTGTTAAAGGTTCGCTCGGATTATGACCGTCGTCATATGAGATGTGAGTATCTCATGACGCCCTGCTGTCAGATTTCGTATCAGAGAGGCTAACGACTCTTTCCACTATCCTGATTTAGGTACTCTTTTGCCAGTAGTCTAACTCTCTGTGCAATATCCAATTGCTTTACAACTCAAAAGATTGCTCCTAGGTCATGTCGCCACTCTGGCAGGCTCATCCATGTTTAGGTCCTCTAACCTTCAGGATGAGTACTGGCAATCACGGACACTTCGTCATTGAATCACAATAAGTCACCGCCAACTCCATTTTGTTCTATCTCATTCGTATACAGGGTATCTCTCAACATTTCTTCAAAACATCAATGATCCATTCAAGTCCCTCCTTACTCTCCTTCAACCCATACTTGTACGCCAACGGAAAGCAATGCATCTGATCCCCCCAAGACAACCACTCTCCATCAACGCCCTCCTTTCTACATCTCTCTCTAAACTCAACAGCCTCTGGCCCAAGAACATCATGTGAAGCTGTTATACCATGGATCTTGACGTGGTTCCTGACGCAGACACCCAGGTCGGCATGGATGGGTGAAACTCGGGGATCATTGGCGGACCAGTCGAGTGTTTCATTCCTGTTTGTGCCTCTGGCGTTTGTACCGTTTTGTTGACTTACGTCTGTGTGACCGGGAGCCCATGCACCGGCGGTTTCGTTGATAGAGGACTCGCTCAGGATTGGATCAAACTTGTCCACCTCTTTGATGTCGGGATGATTATGACGTAGATCAGTAGTGGCAGTGATTGCGAGGATTGCAGATGGAGGTCGAACGGCTTGTACATCCTGATCTCTCATTGTCCAAGTCACCAGACATAGGGCGATGTTGCCTCCTGAGCTATCTCCTGCAACGATCACCCTCTCTCCAAGGTCAGATGATTGCTTCAACAAGACATTGTAGGTCTTGCAGATGGCTGGGAACGCGTCTTGAACGGGATCTTTGGGTGCTAGGGGATACGAGACGAGTGTAAGTCTAGTATCCTGCAGGCGGTTTATCATCTCTGCGCAGAAAGTCCAATGTTGGCCTGCAAACGTCAGTAGCGCTTCTGGCAAGAAGATGGTTTACTTACCACTGGGAGGGGCTTGCCATCCGCCTCCCGCAAAATACAATATCCTCCTGGCATAGGACCTCTTTTCTCCATCAGAAGTCTTCGGAGTCATATCATAGGTCCAAATTCCCTCAACCTTGTTCTCTTGAACATCACATCTCTTCCTCGCTCCCCTGGAAGGCTTGCATCGCGTAGGATCAGCAGATGAAACCTTTCCAATCTCTACCAGTTTTGGTTTGATAGGCTGGATAACATTATGGAGAATCTTGGTTGGCCAAGACCGTCCAGAGCGCTCATCAACGTGAAACACTTGATCATCTGAGCTGAACTCATCGTCTGAATCACGGTAACCATCAACGGTCGGGGGGTTTACAGTTTGGGTCACCATCGGGAATAATGATATCTTGTAAGGTTGAACCCTGAAGATCTTGGATGATGGAGGGGTAACGTAATACAATAGTAGCAAAATCCCAAGGAGACAGACCCTGAGTAGAAGAGATCGACATACGTCATTCGTCTGACATCATTGACTCCGCTTGCGTGCAACCCCAAAACAGGCGTGACAAGAAGACTAGCTGCATTTAGACGCCCATTTTACCTGATCTTTTGGTAGCTCAAGATAAGGAATTGACCAAGAATGACGACTAGTTGTTTAATTCGATTTGAGTTATTAATGATTGACGCTTTGGCATTCACTAATGTATTAAGGGTCAGGCCAAGCAAAACGCTTGTTCGGTTTTAGCAGTAAAATTGGACCAGGCCAAGATCTCCACAACACCAAGCAAGCTTTGCGCCATCGCGATCTCTCACCCGGCGCTTACTGAGATCTCTAACGTTCGTGGACTGTGCACAAATACAAAGGTTTTTTTTTTTGAGAGAATAACAGTAATTGAATCACTAAAAGAACTGAAGAAAATACCCCTTGCTTGCTGTTTTGCTCAATCTGATGCCCATACGCTTCGCTGCGAAGCTACAAAAACGGCACGCAGCACAAAGACCCGCTCGTCGCTGAAAAGATGTACACATGGAACTACCAATCAGGTGATCACAATAATGTTAGTTTCTCTCCTGTGACAGGCCTGACAGCGAAGATCGTCTTCTATTCGTCTCGGTTCTCATTCTTGCCTCAGCCTGCTTCACAGCTTCCTCCCAGTCTGTAAAGTACAGATACATTGCCTCAAGACCAGACACTCTGTATCCAGTTAGCGATGGTTCACTGCAACACGTTGTAAAACTTACACAGCGAGTCCCGCTGTCAATCCAACCCAAAGCCCGGCTAATCCCCATCCCAGTCCGAAACTGGTGCCGAGGGCGATTGGTAACGCGACAACGTAGTAGGCGAAGAGATTGGCGTAAGATCCAATGGACTGGCGTCCGATGCCGCGAAGAAGGCCATGAGAGACGGCTGCCAATGCGTCAAAGATTTGCATGACGGCACAGACGAGTATGACGCTGGATGCGATGTCGATGACTTGCTCGTCTTCTGTGAACACGGCGGGGATTTGCTTTCGGAGGGTCGTGAAGATTGTCAAGTTGATGCTCCCGACGATGAGTGCAGCGAAGATGGCCTATCAAGTCAGTTAGTTTGCACAGTGGCCGGAATGTGACTGGACTGACCACTTTGGCTGTTACTCGCGCGGCCTTGCTCAAATCAGCCCCAATAAGGTTTGCCACTCGAGTCGAGGTAGCGATAGCCAACGGGAAGGGAATGTTGAAAGACATGGACGTGACAGTCACCAAGACTCCTTGAGCTGCTAGTTGCGCTGTACCAAACCGTCCCGCGGAGATGGTGAGAATCTCTAGTACGGAGAACTGGGCTTCGATCATGATCATTCCGGGCAACGCCAACTTGATCATCGGTCCTTGGGAAATCAGTAAGGATGTCTCGCGAACTCGAACTTGACTCACCCCAGTTTGTGAACGCCTTGCGGCTGAAGCCCTTCCAGCATTCATAGCCTTCGAAAAGCCGCACGTACAGAATGAGAAGGATCGGGAGCAGGTTGTGAGTAACAGCCATCGCGATGGCGGCACCAGGAAAGCCCCATCCAAACTTGAACACAAATAGCCAATTTTGTAAGAAGCTCAACGGCGCTCCGACAAAAAGCGTATAAGTTGTGGCATGAAACAACCCCTGACTCTGAACAAACCTCTTTGCGCTCTCAAAAGCGCTGACACCTGGCATGCCCGCGATGAGGATACGCATGTACAACGCGGCCAATTGCGTTGTGCGGCCTGGGCCAACGGCCGCGGCGAGGATAGGTTCAGAAAACCACCAGACGACAGCGATAGGAATCATGATTAACCAAAGAAGCCATGTCATTCTCTGCGCCTGGAGACCAACGAGATGTTTGTGGCCGGAGCCATAGGCCTGTGCGCATAGGGTATCGAGACAAGTTGCCAAGCCTTGAACGGGGACGTAGTAAGTGATCGAGGCAGTCATCGTGGCCACTGAAGACGTTAGCGTGTGTATCAGATTGAGAAGGATGCTGAATACTTACAGTTGACAGCGGCGAGCTCCTCCATTCCAAGACGACCGACTGTCAGGACTGAAGCGACAGTGACGGAGTAACTGTGATCAGTCAGTGTCATAACTCACCTGCGTCATCGTGGTACTTACTGCAAGAGAAAAGTGACAATCAGAGGCAGCGCATATTGAATCAACGTCTTGGTCTCACGCTGCCACGTCGTACCAATCTTATGCGATGCCAGTGCCTCTTCCCATCGCTTATGTACTTCATCCGGCCCCGGCGTCGGCGGGATCCCATCAAACCTCACGATTCTCTCCCTCAACAACGGCGTTGTCTCTCCCGAATCTTCCGACGCGAACAGCGGCTTGTCGTGATCGTGCACACGCGTACTAAACAGGTGCCGATACAGACTGCCAAGCTTCGTGGTATTCCATCCTGTCGGGGGATGTCTCGGTGGAATGATATCGTTGTCGCGAAGGAGTGAGACTTCGGCGCGGAGGGATTGTTCAAAGTCGTGGGGGTTTGGGGGCGGGATGTCGATGCTTGAAGGAGGAACTGTAGAGAAGCCTTGTCCGAAAGCGATGCCTGTTGGATGAAAGGCAAGTTGGACATCTGTTTCATTTACGTATCGTGGGTCTTCGACGGCTTCTTCATCGCGGTGCTCATCACCAGAGGAGCACTCGTCAATATCACGGTTGAGAATCTCCTCCACATTTGGAGCTGGGTCGATGAATAATGGGGGCGGGAATGCCAAGTCATCTGGGATAAAATCAGCAAAGATAGAATGTCGTCTTCCTCGACGTTCGCCGTCGGGATTAAACGGTGAGCTCGTAGGTAGCGACATGTTGCTGAGCCTGCGAGAGTCGACGCGCGATGGTCGAACTCCAAAAGCAGACACGGTGATGTTTTTACATCATCTCAACGAACACAATGACGTGACCTCAGAGTAAGATAACAAAGTCGGTGAAAGATATCTGATGTCAATTGATAACGACTCACACCCTCTACAGGGCGCCACAAACCGACCAGTGGCATACCATCCGCTGCAAACGATGCCACCCTCAGCCTAGACCCCGCAGCACAATGACATGCATTCTCACTATGGATGTGCCACTAACCAAGGTTCAGGCGTTGCCCGCTCGGACGGTTTGCCCCGAAGATAAGATGTTGGTGTGTTGCACCCAGAAACGGTTGGGGCTCGTCATTTGTGGGATGGATGAATCTAGATTCTTCACTGATCGGCGCTTCTTTGGTGTTTTTGACGATTGGTGCAGCCACTCGTTTTCACGTGCGGCGATCATTGGTCTATGAGCGCATTGTGCATGGCGGCTTATTCGACGACACTCAACTTGGGGAATTGATTGGAAAATGTACGAAGGGTGGTTGGACCCGGGTTTACGGTTGGATCAAGATTTATGAAGAAATCTAGAATACAGAAATTCCATTAATTTACATTCACATGGTTCAGCAATTGTGTTGGAAGCATTCGTGACAACCAGGACTCGTATTTGCTCAGTTGAATAACTAAAGAAGCCCACAATGTGCGAGCAGTATGAATAGACTGACTCTGTTCCTCACATCATACATGTGGTTGACAAACAGCGTCTTCATACCTCAACAATCCTGCCTCCTACATCCTAGACCTTGCCCATATTTATCCACTATAACACAAAGCCCACCACTCGAGCATTGAGGTAGCACCGCGTACACTCCTACAAACGGAAGACGGGGATGCCAGTTGCCATGAGATATTTCAGTGGCGAAACGGCACCATCTGCCGCAAATCGATTGTACAGATTGCCGTCACTGTCGGTCTCGTCGGTCGTGAGAACCACAGGCTTCTCATCGGGATCACCAACGAGAAAGACGGGAAGGAGTGTGTTCCCCCAGAGACCGTAAAAGTCGGCTCGATTCACTTTGCACGCTGGTTAGCTATCTCGGCATCTTGTATGGTGCACTTTACTCACTGCGGCCCGCGTCATCAACTACGAGACCTCGGGCAAAATGACTTCTCCAACTGGGAACCGGCGAGATCTCAGCATCTGTTGGATGGACGCAGAGGAAGTCGGCCTCTCGCATGACCATGGCCATAACTTTCTCAATGATCGGAATGGTATTCGGCGTGGCTGTGTATTGAGCCCAGCTGATGGCTCCACGCGCGACCTGGCTCTGTTAGTACGATCTCAACCTTGCTTCATTAAGAGTAATGGGACTTTACCTGGCGGAGTGGTAAGACATCTGCTTGGTTGTCGAGGTAATTTTGCACAGCGCGTAGGCCTGGCTTGCAATTGGCGTCGAGGGCTGGTACAGCACTCGACCGTAAGATAGCCAAGGTCCAGTAGGCCAAAGAGAGGTGCAACTTCCAGTGGGTTCCTGGATAGAACTCACCCATGTTCTGCGCCCAGTCAACAGCCTGGGGGTTGTTCAAAAGTTGTTTGATCGCCAACAGTTCATCGCCCTGAGCGTACATGCGTATCACCAGATGATGGCGGCGTCTACCAGGGTGGCCCGCGGGTAGGATAGTATTGTACCGCGCCGCTACAGCATGGCTTCTGGTGTCTAGGCGACTGGCAAAGAGGTCAATCGCCGCATGCGATGGACCAGAACACAAGATTTGCCCGAGTTTGGCCGCCATGCAGAGAGCAGCAGCAGCTCCCATCCTGGTCTTTCCGGATCTCGGTTCCTAAGGAGATTCATTAGTATCAACCTGCAGTGGACGTTACTAGAAGTGAAGAACTCACGCCGATGACGATACCAATGTTGAGCGCACGATGCCTCATATACTCCCGGAAGCGATTCCGGTCAATGTCCTTCGCTTCTTCAAGAATGCACTGTATGAGGTAGTAATCATTGTGCCAGGTATAACACAGCCCAGGCAGCCAGCCCATCCTCCGGTCTTGCATCGTTCTGAACGCTTCATAGAAGCCCGTACCACGAAGTATGGCACGGTGTGTTCTCATCTTGAAAAGAACATCAGTCATCGTTTCCATTTGGTCTCCACCAAGCAGATGCGGCGCAAGGATGTCACCTGCGGCGTCCAGGGCTACGCCCCAAGCCCTGGGGTTCGTTGGCGGAGCATTGGGCCTGAACGCTCGCATGCCTTTGACCTTTCTCATGACCTCTTCTATCCCCGAATCAAATACTAAGGACACAAAGTTCTAGTTCTGTGCTCCTCGTGCAAGAGCTTCGTTGGCGGTCTCGCGGTCGTTATAGTTGTAGATGCGAACCTTGGAATCGGCAGCGGCGCGAACTCGTAGGACCACCTCGTTGTCTCCAATCAGATGTGAGTCAAGTTCAGGAAAGGAATCACTCCGCTCCAGGATCTTGCCTACCCTATTAAGCGAGGTCGTCAATTTGTGTTTCACATACTTTCATCATTTAACTTACCATAGCGCTGGCTCAGAGTCTTCGGGACCAATAATATCATGGATCTCTACTTTGAGTAGAGGGTTACTCATGATCAAACGTCGCCACGCGAGCTCGTGACGTTCTCTCCATTCCTTAGGTACCGACACCACAAGGTAAAGGCCGCTGCCTTCAGGAACCCTTCCAGGAGGTGCGATGAAGTATGCTTGAAAGCATTCTTCGGCAATCTATCGTTGTGTGAGCCCCTGTTCATATCCACCATACGCAGTAATACATACAATCTCAGCCTCCCGGTGCACCCAAAGCGTGTCCTGGACCACGCTCTGGTTTATGGCGGTCACCTTGGCCTCGTCGCTATCGAAACTACCATGGTTATCAGCACAAGCGGTGCTCGATGTGAAACGGATATACTCACGCGTAGCAAGGCGCAAATGGGCCACCTTGGTTCTCGTCGATGAGGTCCTCCATCTCCTCAGCGTTAGTTGGCTGCTTGGGGTAGCCATACGTGAATCTGGGAGGAAGGCCCTCGTCTCTCATGACCTCTCTGCACGAGCCGATATCCATATCCACAACGAAGTAGAAATTGTGTTGGTGAAGCACATCCAGAAGCGAGACATCGTTGATTTCTTTATCATGTTGAACCCACTGCTCAAGCTTGGGGTCGGTGGAGTTATAATACTCCTGCTGATAACCTTGAATCACAATCCAGGGAGATTGAAGGCGTACGACCAGGTAGGTAAACCCTTGCCAATTTTGGACCGTAGGAAATTTGGCCTGGACGGCTTCAGGAACTGGGAGATAGTCACAGGAGACACCGCCGCGGGGGAACTTGACCGTGATGCGATAGTCTGCCAAGACAAGCTTGTCGAGGGAGGGGTCGTCTAGAGTCAAGTGTCAGATGTGCTGTATCAGTGGTTCCTCAGGTGTCTCCCTTACATGCAAAACATACGCCCTTCCCCTCACCTTCGCTGAGGAGTTGTCTGCGATCACGACGCACAGTCAGGTGAAATCCGAAATATGGATCTGCACTTGGTGGAACGACCGTTCCGACCTCAGTCTTGATTTTGGTACGAAGGCCAAGGCTGGGAGTGGCAGCGATCATGGTGCCAGCGTCACCGAAACTAAAGAGATGTTAGCATCGAACTCCTGTATGAGAGTAGAGGGAGGCGACGAACAGCAGGGCGCAGGGCTTCATGTTTGAGTCTTCCGACATCTTGACAAGTATGTCGGTTTGTGCTGTTGAAGGAAGAACTGCTGATGGTGAGCAGGAAGAAAAAAGCCCACAGCTTGAAGGAGGAACAAAAAGACTTGGGACCTATCACCTGGCAGTGGTCTGTGTAGGTAAACAATAACAGTGGAATAAGCTGTGGTTGGCACTGCCCCACAGGTAGAGAGTGACAGCAGTTATGGGTCTGAAATACAAAACTATGGGTCACTTCTTTGTAGTCGACTGAATCATGGTCCATTCAATTTGAGGATACTGTTCCAATGACAATACACAGACTTTCGACGGACACTGCCATTAATACATCGTCTTTGATAGCAGAATGAACATGACGTATAATGCGAGTTTGTCAATACACACAGCAATATTCAGGTGTAGGTGTCAGGCATATTGGATAAGTCCGCCGGCTCAGTGAGTGAGTGCAATTTCTCTCCTTGAGAGCACGCGTTGCTAGGCACTACAATCCAAGATACAAGCTCTATCGTCAAGAATTAACTATAATGTGCCTGATTCTTTCAGTGGCTGGTGTTGCGTGTCATGTTGCAGCTTGGGCAGAATTCTGCCAGTATCTTGCTGCAGCAACACGGAGTTCTCTCCATGCCCATAATTCACACGCAACGCGCGGGTTGGCGGTCTTCCATGACTTGACTTGACAATCGAGGTGGCCGGTCGCAGAGATCTCAACGGGGAAGTTTGAGACCGAGCAACGGACTCGTGTCTCTCGGTGTATCAGGGTGGATGAAGGGTCAAGAAGGGGGGTAACGAAATTGTTGCTAGCCTTCTCTTGTTCAACGTACACTTCGTGCAATTGGCTGAAGAAGAATGCCGTGAGTATCCTTCTGCGTTTATTTATCTTGATGCTATCTGGGGAAAGGGTCGAATCTCAGTGCTTGTCGTCGTTTCGATCTGTCAACATGGTGCGAAGGTGGTGAACAAGCAGGGGGGCTTCACCGATTGGAGTTTGGGAGATCGTCAGCATCTGGGTGTGAACATCGCATTCGGCTCTCTTTATGCGTATTCCAAGTTAACTTTCTGTCCTTACACTCGACTGCAGCCCCGTGCGCAACCTTGGGCTGTGTCGTAGAGTGTACCTCGTTGTGGGCTTATGGCCAGTTGCTTTAGCTTGCCTAGAGTCTCATGGCTGTGCTGGTAGCCAGTTCTTTGACGCTCTGCTAGAGCAATGCCCCCTATAACTCCTATGACAGGTATGCATCTCCTTTCTCGGAGCGTGCTGAATCAAGATGCCTGGAAACCAAGGCTGACCGGCCAACTCCTGAGCCCTCATCCAAAAGGGGCATGGTGCTGTCTGCAACTTCCTGCCCATTGCCCTCCCTCTGCCACTGGCAGCCTTCCAGCTTGTTTTTCTTCCAGGGAAAGCCCTAACCGCTCGGTACACTGCCTTCTTCCCCGCACCAAACTCCTTCTCATCTCTTGATCATCGATCGGAACCTCCCCCTCTTCATTTCTTATCGTCTGTTCACTCCACCAAGCCAGCAGTTCGCTGTGCACTCATCATCATTATCCCCCCTCTCCATCACGCGTCATCACTCGCTCGAGTGCATGCGGGCTCTCGACCGCTTATCTCAAGGGCAAGCGCCGGATCTCGCTCTCCTTGAGGAGTTGAGTAATCTTCGGTATGTCGACTGATCCAGGGAATGGAGAAGCCTCAAGCTGACTGCCTTCCAAACAGAAGCCAGTTGTCAACCCATTACTCTCCAAGATCCCCTCTCCTCTTCCATCTCTTCCCGATATCCTCTGCCCTTCAAGGGTGTTATCTTGCGACCCATTATCAGATGTCCCAATACTGAACCATGCCAAATGTGGACTCACATCATGATAACTTCTGAACATCTCTGCTGTGCTCCACGCTCGTCAATGCCCATGCATCTTCAAATATCCCCGCAAATGGATACCTTTTGGAGTGCCAATTCCTGATTTTGTCCCTGGATGGAAAAAGCACAACGAGTTGTGGATGAAAACGGACAAGCGCCGTTGGAAACAGTCCCGATACTTCGTCCGTGTTGCGGTGGGTGAAGACCTGGATGATGCAACTGAACGACGAAGGGTCTCAGCGGCATCCACCGCACTCGGTATTCATTCTTGTTTGCTATCAAGAGCGACTTGGATAATATGGGTTCCCCTTTGGGACTCTGTACAGAGCCTGCTCAGACCAGCCACTACCAGTCAGTATTAACAATTCTTCCACATTAATAAGACCTGCTAACGTACATGAATAGACACAGCCAGCGGCCAGTCATCCACAGAGCCCATCTGATATCACCCCGGGCCCGGAGTTTGAAACCCCTCCTGTTGCTTCCAACAACAGGAGGGAGATGCTGGGTTCGCAACCCCGAACGGCTTCGGGCGGTTTGACCCGCGCCGAAAGCGTGAGCGTCCGAGTGAGGTGCGCGATGTAAGCATCAGCTGTCAGGTCTATCAACTCAAAACAACATTTCTCAACCAACACCGACCTACCTACGATACCAACGACTTTGTGAGTTTCACATGGTCGGGGTCACGAAAGGTCTGAGGAGGCACGAGTGAAAGAGGGCTATGACTTTAAACGGATGAGGGTAAGACAAGGAGAATGCCATTCGGCACATAGGAACGCCTGAACTACTGCAGCAGAGAGGGGGAGGGGGGTTGACTTTGGACGAGCAGAAAGGCTATGTCGAGGGCGGAGTCCGGACTGCGTAAACACAGGCATCCCCAGTACGCTGTCATGCCGGAGCGTGCAGTTTCGTGGAGGGCAGCCTGGGAGCCATTCATGTCTACTCCCAGGCTGTCTATAGTGAAATTGACGAGATGAAGGACCAGGCAACTGAGTACATGAAGGGTGTGTTGACTATAAACTCTCAGCCACAGGCCTCAACTGCAAATAACACTTCTAGCTCACAATAATGAGTCAATGAATGAGTCTGTTCCTGCACATGAATGCCTACGTGATGTCAAAGAAATAAGTAAGCGTGACGTTTGTTTACAAGGTATAACGGATTTTGGGCGGGCGCACCAAGAAGGAGAAAGGGGAAGTATCACTGTGACCTCTGTAGATGAATTCCTGTGTGCGATTGACTGCCGAGTGTCGCTAGAAAGGAACCTGTGGAGCAATACAAATCATCCTCATCTCCTCCACCCACCAAGACTCGCCTTCCACACAAGCTTTGTCTCCAGCGGAGTTTCGGCTGAGTCGTTGGAAAAAGTAATTACAGCAAACATGTTTCTTCGTTACTCATATCTGTACAACAATCCGTCCCTTGAACGTCGCATCCTCATAAATCTCAACAATGCCCGGAATCTGCTCGAACGGTAACACAGTCAAATGCGACCTCACGCCCGCCTCCTCCACGACCTTCATCATCCTCTCCGTCGCCGCTCTCCCCGCCACGTAACTCCCCTTTATCGTCAACTCCCGAAACACAATAGGCGCCGCGTCAAACTGCCACGAACTCTGAGGAAGGCCTAGTATCCCCAAAGTCCCCTTGATCCTGAGAATGTTGAGCGCCCACCGATTCGCTTCCAACGACGGTGTGCATACACCAGCGGCAGCGACACCTTCACCGTTTGTGAACTCATAGATCGCTTTTGATGCAGCTGTGGTGTCGGAAGAGTCGACAACAAGGTCAGGCTTTAGCGCTGGGTTCTCCACGTCGGATGCTAACTGTCGACCAGCTTCTCTGCTATCCACCGCGATGACCTTGAACCCGAGCGCCTTTGCGAACTGCACACCAAGATGTCCAAGTCCACCGATACCCACGATCGCTACCGTCTCTCCTTTTGCCAAGCCCGTCGTCGCGCCCTCAAGACTTCCCCATACTGTTGCTCCCGCACAAGTGAGCGGCGCAGCTTGCTCAAACGAGATCGAATCCGGCAGCTTCACGGTCGTCTCCGGATCCGCAGACGCGTACTCCGCAAACCCTCCATCGTGCAAGAAGCCAGCTGTTTCCCGGTTATCGCAGAACCTGGGATCAAGGTCCTCGCCTCTTCTTTGTGTCAAGCGACATCCTACACATGAGCCGCAGGCATGCTTGAAGTTGAGGACGCCAACACGATCGTTCACTTTGAGGTCTCCCTCATACTTGTTTCCAAGTTTCGCCACAACGCCGGCTATCTCATGAGATGGGATCAGGCCAATTGGCGCTGGGTTCTCGAACTCTCCCTGTAGAGCCTGCAGGTCTGAGTGGCAGAATCCAGCGGCATGAACCCGCACGAGAATGGCTGTGTCTCCGATGGAGGGTAATGGACGCTCTCCCAAGGCATACGGTTTGTTATACTGGGAATTGTTAGACCTTGTTCATTCCGACTAACTCTTCGTGGTCATGCTCACCTCTGCGATGTAGGCCGCTCTCATCTGAGATGGTAAAGCTTCGTTGGACGCCATTGCAATCACTTCTCCCTGTTTTACAAAAGCTCTCGGTTTCACTCAAAAAACGGCGTGAAGACCGTCTACCTGCACAGCCGATTGCTGCGTTATCTCCCGGACTGCGCTCTAAGGGAGGAAAGAAAACTCGGGAACTAGATCCTAAGAGACAAAAAGACTTAGGTAACTTAATCTAAGTTTAGGATACCTTTTACAGAGTTTATTTTGCCACCCCATATCAAGGTAAGATGTTCTCTTGCTCCCCGAGGGCCTCTGTCCCATCAATACCCGCCATGTCATGGTGTTGGAGTACCCCAACAGGGATCTTGGGGTAATTCTCCAGCCATTGTCAAGGTACCCCAACAGCTTGAGTGGACCACGAAACGGATTGAGATTAACAATCATGTCTTTAGAAATGGAATGATGGCATTGCTTTATCTACGTTGATAAACGGATAAGTTTGTCCCTAGACTGTGATTGTCTTGGCTAGTACGTTTCGACACCTCCCTCACGCCCTTCCCCCTCGATCGACACCGCAACCATGTCTGTTTTCTTCAAAGAGATTCTACCGTACGTTATCCTCTAAGCTGAACTCACAATTCAAAACAAGATACTGACATTCTGTTCCAGTGGAAACCCTGTTCAGGCAGGCGACGTCGAGACCCTTCTTGACCCCCTCAACCTCACCATTCGTCCCGAAGAGTCATCAGAATACCAACTCCTCCTCGCAGCCGTTCACGACTGCGCAGAACGCGTCTCCAATCTTCCCGACTATCAGCCCGTCCCGGATATCGAGAGATTTCCCCGTCAAAACATCCACCTTCCCGAAGAACACGAGCAAAGCTACGGTCATGCCTGGGCGCACCGTTTCATCATCGAAGGCGACAAGTGCTCGCGCTCAGCTCTGGCAGGGAAGTCTGTTTGTCTGAAAGACTGTATCGCTGTAGCTGGTGTGCCGCAGTTCTTTGGAAGCGATGCATTTCCTGCTTGGACGCCGTCGACTGATGCGACTGTTGTCACGAGAGTTCTCGAGGCGGGCGCTGTGATTACGGGAACAGCGACGTGTGAAAACTTCTGCAACTCAACATCCTCTTTCACAAGTGCGCAGGGCACAATCGACAACCCACACAAAGCAGGGTATTCTGCCGGCGGCAGTACCTCTGGTGGCGCGGCTCTTGTCACGGGCGGTCTCGCCGACATTGCTATCGGTACAGATCAAGGAGGCAGCATCCGTGTACCAGCCTCGCTATGCGGTTGTGTTGGTTTCAAGCCAACGCATGGACTTGTCCCATATACGGGTATCACTAGTGGCGATCAGATTGATGACCATGCCGGACCACTCGCGAGGACAGTTGATGAAGTTGCTGCTTGCTTGGATGTCATTGCGGGCTACGATGGGGTTGACGACCGATCACTTGGCGCACCTTCACCTGGAACATTCAACTACTTGGACGCATTGGCCAGTGCATCAGTGAAGGGTCTTCGAATTGGCGTTCTGAAAGAAGGTTACGACAATGATCTTGTACAGCCGGGAGTCAAGAAGACTTTCTTCAACACCATCAATAGGCTCAAATCTCTCGGCGCTACTGTCGAAGAAGTCTCGATTCCTCTTCATAAAGAAGGTCCTTCAATATGGACCATTCAGCAACGCATATCTGGCTCGGCTGGCATTCTGGGCCAAGCCAACGGTCGTCGAGGTCTCTACCTGACCGAGTTCGAGCAAGCCCGTCTTCCTTGGACATCTTCTGAATTCGAGAAGCTCTTCCCATCCACCAAGAATACCGTCATCAACGGCATCTATCTCTCACGCAATTTCCCCGGCCTCTACGCAAAGACGGTCAACATCGGCCGCCAAATACGCGATGCATACGAAGCAAAGTTCAAAGAATACGACGTCATCATCATGCCAACAACGCCCTTCGTCGCACCGCGTCACGGCTCACGAGAGTCTGTGCTCAAGTCATTCGAGCCGAGCATCGGGATGACGAACAACACTGCCATCTTCAACGTGACAGGTAACCCCGCTCTGTCGCTTCCCGTTGGTTGGTCAAAGGCTGTTGATGATGAGAGTGTTTTGTTGCCGGTTGGGTTACAGATCGTTGGTGGCCTTTGGCAAGAGAAGAAGGTTCTGATCGTTGCGAAAACGTTGGAGAGTAGTTTTGACTGGGAGCAGGAGGGGAAGTCTACGGTTGAAGAGACGGAGGATGTCCTGAATGAGGTCCGACGCGTCAGAGAATCTTCACATCTGTAGAGCCCGTGTTTGGCGCCTGTAAAAGGAACATTATTTTATTGCTATACAGATTACCTGGTCGTTGAACGCTTCAGCTGAATACAATTACGGGATCTTACATGCATCTTCAAAATGTCTTCTCATCTTGTTCTCAAGCTGCTAATATCCCTTTGTAATTTTCTCTACCCATCTCGATCAAGTTGGCCCTGTTCCAGCATGATATGTAACTAACGCGATACTACGTCTTGCCAGCCCTATTCTGTTAGTTGATTATCTCCCCGCGATGACACGCCAAAGATAACGCTATCAGACGCTACTCCAAGCCTGCCCCACCCACGTCTCCATGATAAACGATGCACTACCCCATTCGCCTCCTCCATCCCAACTCCTCTCCAACTCTTGGAGTCACTGCTGCAGAATGGGTGACAGCGACGGCACATACGAGACTCCAAACAAGCGACAAAGAGTGGGTTACAATGGAGCTGGAGTCAATCTACGCATGTGTCCACATTGCGGGCGCACCTTCAAGAGAACGGAGCATCTTGAGAGGCACGTCAGAACACGTGAGTCTCGCTATCTGGTTGAAAATAGGATAGCTGGCTAATGCGGCGGTGGATGAGTAGATACCAAAGAGAAGCCGTTTCTGTGCCATTGCGGGGCGTCGTTCGCGAGACGTGACTTGCTCAAGCGTCATCAAAGGCTAGCCGAGCATGAGGGCGATGTACCTTCGCCTGAGCTTGCGCAAGGGAATGTGACTGTAGTACAGCAGGGCAATGACAACATCGGTGATCCAGACTTGGCTGCAGCTGTGTCACTCTCAGGCCTAAGTGTTGATCCATGGTTCTGTGCAAGAACACAACAGTCCATGCAACTTCCAGTTGCTGTTCCTCAGACAGTGAGTGAACAAGTGCAACACCAACCAAGTGCCGAAGATGGTCAATTCGTCCCCAACTTTCTGTCACCACAGATGCTTGACAGCGGTCAGTACTCTCAGTCCCATCTCTTTCTCGACAAACGTAGCTAACTCAGAAAAGGCGTCGACTTTGACACCCACTTCCGCGAGTTCACCAGTTTCCTTGACGGTGTTGGACTCTCTGCCGAGTGGAGCCCTTTCTTCGGCGACCCTGACAGGCATGAGGAATCCATTGATCCCGCCCTGACGCAAGGCAATAATGAAGAGACCTCACCTCGACAAGGGGCTCCAACCCGAGCTGGAACACCGTTCAGCTCTTGGCTTCCATCAGCACCTACGGGCAATCGAATATCCAATTACGTCTCCGACACAGACAGTAAGTCTTGGCTTCTGACCTTGATCAACTTGATCGCTCATACCTATAGATCCAAGGGCCATTGATCCCGAAACACGACCGTTCAAAGTCACCGAAGAGCAAAGATCGAAGCTCAAAGCCTCCACCCTGGACTACTCGCATCTCCTGGACCCAGCGTTTTGTGTCCCATCGAGACACGCTCTCACACGATATGTGACCTCTTTCTTCGGCGGCTTTCATACACATATGCCCTTCATCCACATCCCGACATGGCAGATCAACGACCATTCGCCAGAGCTGATCTTTGGCATCGCCGCCATCGGAGCGCAGTACTGTTTCGAGTCGAGAGCCTCGGAGAGGTTGTTCTTCGCCGGGAAAGCGCTGTTGATGGAAAGGCTGAGGAAGGATTCAGACTCATTTGGCCTGTCAACGCTTCCCATACCACATGTCGCTTCACAAAATAGCCGGCGTGGCGATGCGGAGGCTGATTCGGCAGTTGAGACCATCAGAGCCTTGATCACTCTCATGGGCTTTGCGACTTGGGAGCCAAAAGCACCAATGGTCCAGGAATCCTTCGTGCTGCAGGGAATTCTTACACAGATCTTGCGAAACTCCGGTCTCGAGGATGTCGATGAGCCAGCGTCGCCAACACCATCAGATCAACCAAGCGACGGCAACTCATTGTGGCACGAATGGAAGACGTGGATCAGGCAAGAGTCAAACAGGCGCTCCAAGCTGATAGGCTTCTCATTCCTTCATACACACAGCATCGCATACAATGTGTACCCAACGCTCCGTAGTAACGAGATCGGTCTTCGGTTACCTTGCTCCACGAAGGAGTGGAAAGCTCCGACACCGGCGTCATGGCGCGCTGCAACAAAAGAAATTCAAGAGCCACAGTTGTTCTTCCGAGAAGCGCTATCATTACTTCTTAAGAACAAGAATGATACAGCACCACTATTGCCGATTCCTACGCCTTTGGGTAATTATGTCCTGCTCCATGGACTACTTCAGAGAATACACATCGTGCGAGATCTAAGTCTTCCTGTCACCAGCAGCTCGGCTGTTCTTCCGAGTGAAGAGGTTGAGAAACTCGAACGAGGCTTGCGGTCGTGGACTTCGTGTTGGCAACAAGCACCAGAGTCAACCCTCGACCCCAACAACGAGAACGGACCGATCCCCTTCACTTCCAGTTCTCTTCTGTCACTGGCATACGTGCGCATATACCTGCACCTGGGTCCATACAGACAACTCGAGACACGGGATCCCCAACGTATCGCCAATTCCATCGCAAGCAGCCCTGATATCGAGCGAAGTGACGGCGTGATCGCTGCACTCCTCTACTCAGCGCACATGATCGGCATCCCGGTCCGCTTGGGTGTTGACCGTGTTGCAAGAAGCCAAGCCTTCTTTTGGAGTGTGAGGCACTCCCTATCTGGCCTGGACTGCGCAGTTTTGTTGGGCAAATGGCTGTCGAAACTTGGGGAAACGATTGCCGAGCATCCACTAAATGGCAAGTCTGCTTTTGATCTGATTTTCCGACTTGTGACGCTAACAGCTATTCCAGATAGCGAAGACAGGATCTTGCACTGGGTGAGATGCATCGTCGAGGAGGCATACACGGTCGTCGATTTTGATCAAGGCGTTGACACGGATAATCCTGCCCTTCTCGACTTTCGAGATCCAAGTAACTTATGCCTGGCAGTTTTGAAGATATGGGCACATTTCTTCAAGAGTAATACACAATGGCCTTTTATAAACATCATCGGTGTTGGGCTGGAAAAGTATCGAGAAATACTTATTCACAAGACCATCGGTTGAAGACCTCACATGGCAGCATATGGCTCTGAAAACGCTTCATTTATGACTACCAATAATACCCTACTTTTGATCTTGAGCCTTTGGCATAACAGCTCCCTTTGGTGGCTTGTTCTTCTTCTTGAACTCATCACACATCTGTTCCATCGTTACCCATTCAACACCTTCGTGCTTGTTGATGTACTCTATCAACCTGTCTATTGTCAGCTTGGATTTCACCTGAAGAACGTTGTCGTCTACCTCTCGTGCATTAGCAGAGCATGCGGCCGGCCAGAAACGTCTGGATGAACTGTGAGAGGGAACACACAGATCTCATCGGGATCGTCGGCGTATTCGCGGTAGAAGTAGTCAAAGTGGTCTCGCCACAGATCTTCAACATCGCGTGAGTTGACCCAGCCGTGGCTGTTGGGGGCGTCTTTGATGAACATCATGGGGGGAAGGCTGTCGTAATGTCAGGATGATTCTCAGCAGCATTGTGGCAAACGGGGTTGACATACTGTGATGAATGTTAGCGCTTGGGTCTTGGATCAATGACCGCCGAAACTTACCTCATCTAGATACCAGTTGGCTGGAATCTCAACAAGTCCTGTATCTTGGCCCTTCACTAATGGTTTCATCCAAGTCTCAGCCTTTTGCTTATAATCGATCTTGGTCCAGCTATCATTAGTTCGTAGCCAGTACATATGGCAATCATCATGAGACATTGAGTGATCATACTCAATGCCATAGCTCAGCATCAGATCGACGCCCTCCTTACTGGTCTCCCACCAAGGGGCGACACTTCCGCGAGGAGGTTTGCCGCAGAACTCTGTGAGCATCTTATGAGTCTTTTCCAAGACATCACGTTGTTGCTCTAGTGTCATGTCGGAAGGGTTCTCATGAGAGTAGCCTATAGGATCGTCGTTAGTTGCAGGGGTCAATGTGAGATGGTCATATCACAAACCATGAAGCCCTATTTCATGCCCGGCATCACGGACCATGGCGCATTCTTCGGGGAAAGTCTCGAGACTGTGGCCGGGAATAAACCATGTCGCCTTGATGTTGTACTTGTCGAACAACTTTAGCATCCGGCGAGTTCCATGTGTTCCAGCAAACAGGCCACGGGAGATATCGCTGGGTGAGTCTTCCCCTCCATATGAGCCAAGCCAGCCAGCGACGGCATCAACATCGACTCCATACGAGCACAGGATACGCTTAGGCATGATGGCGTTGGCTTTGGTGATAGTGGAAAGGAGTGGGGATCAATTGAGAACTGGAACACGATATGCAATGCAATAATGATGCGAACAATCTCTAGGAAGTCAAGTGGCCCAGATAGCTCTGGCTAGAAATACGTCAAGTTTCTAGAATCGAGACCCTGAAGAATCACGCATGCGGCAGTCCCTCCGCGTCTCCAACCCAAAGATTACACCAATACCGATAACTAAGAGGGGTAATGACGCTAATGACGCTTATCAACCCACTACCCTATCATGGGGTATCATTCACCCCAGAACTAATCCCGCACTAGTCTCCAACTCCAACGCTATGCTCCAACTCTCTTATCACTCTACGAGTCAGGATCTTCCCCAGAGTTTTACAGGGGCTGTTTTCTTACCCCAGACCTTATCATTGGACTTTTGATGAAGCATTCACCAAGGAGATATTGCCGGGTTCTTGATAAAGTTGATCTTGGCGAGGACTGCCGGTGTTGATCGACAAGTGATAATAGACAGGTCGATCCCACCGTTTTGAGTCCTGCATCATTCATCTTGTTTCTTCATCATATTCTATAAACACCATCTCGACCAATATGAGTTCTTCTGAAGGAGAGAAAGGCGAGAAGCAGTCTGGTGGCATGCTCAGTAATGGAAGCATCGAGCTTGGAAGACAGGAGGGTGTTGATGATGGAGAGGTCTTCCAGAAAATTCCTGGCAAGGTTGACTTCCGCACTGTTGGGTGGATTCAGGCCTCTGTCATCTTTCTCAAGGGTAAGTCTTTGCAGTGTCTGTCTGAAGAGCCTAAGCTAACTCTTCAAGTGATTTTCGCAACTGGCGTCCTCACAATCCCAAGTGCCATGTTCGTCCTCGGTGCTCTCCCTGGTGCGATCAACGTTCTTGGGTGGCAAGGTCTCAACACCTACTGCGCTATTGTCCAAGGAAACTTCCGAAACAGACACGCTGGCTGTCACAGCATCGCTGACATGGCAAATGTAGTTGGCGGTACTTGGTTAAAAGGTAAGAAAACCTGACTGGGCATATAGACAAAGACTAATAGCCGTGATATCAGAGGTCGTTGGAGTTCTGTTCCTCGTTACATACGCCATTGTTGGTGCGTCAGGTATCTTCGGTACTTCGGTGGCGCTCAACGTTCTTAGCAACCATGCTATTTGTACCAATTGGTTCATGTTGGTGGCGACAATCGCAGTTCTGATCCTTGCAAGTGTTCGTAAGTTTGAGAACATTGCTTGGCTCACTTGGGCTGGTTTCTTGACAGTCTACGTCGCTGTTTTCATCGTCGTGTAAGCCTCTCGCATCCCTTATTCCTTTTCACTTCTGACATTCCTTAGTGTCGGCGTTACAACCCTCGATCGACCAGCTGCCGCTCCTCAAACTGGAGATTATGAGTTTGGCTACCACGTCATTGGGCATCCCACTTTTGTCGCGGCCATCACATCAGTCTCTACGATCTTCTGCAGTGGTGCTGGAACTTCAGCCTTCCTGCCAGTCATCTCTGAGATGCGCCGACCTCGAGACTACAACAAGGCCGTCTACCTCTGCATGGGTATCGTCACTGCTTCATACCTCACTTTCTCGCTTGTCGTCTACAAGTACTGCGGTCAATGGGTTGCTTCGCCATCTCTGGGAAGTGCAGGCCCAACTATCAAGAAGGTCGCCTATGGTATTGGCCTCACTGGGCTCCTTGTTAGTGCCTGTCTGTATGTCCACGTCGCAGCCAAATACCTCTTTGTTCGTCTCCTTCGACACTCAGAGCACTTCCAGAAGAACACCGTGGTTCACTGGGCAGTTTGGCTTAGTTGCACGACTGCTATGTCGGCTGTTTCATTCCTCCTCGCTTCTGGAATTCCTATCTTCAACTACCTCCTGGCTCTCGCTGGAAGTCTCACGTTTTCGCCTCTTGCACTTGGTTTGCCTGGATATCTCTGGATCTATGACCACCAGCACTACCGAAAGGGAAAGATGTGGCAGGTTGTTGTTTACTATCTGAACTGGTTAATGATTGCGTTGTCCGTTTTCTTGACTATTGGTGGAACCTATGGTGTCATTCAAAACATCATCGATGCTTATTCACAGGGACTTATTGGTGGAGCTTTCAGTTGCGAGAACAATGATAGGTAGATTCCTACCACTCAAATCTAGTATAGAGTAGAAATTCGAGCCTATTCACACCGTTGTCCCTCTTTTACATTTAGGATCATGTCCATATTAGAATATAGAGAGCGATGATTCGCCTTGGAAATACACAGGGCGAATGAAGGGCACGGGACAAACCGCTGGATATGATCCGATCCAATGTTTGTTAAGGCCCCAGATGCGCCCGATAGTATTGGTCTCGAGGCGGTAGGTCCCTCATAATCGTCATTGGAGTGTCACTCTTGGTAAAAGTCTGACTTCTGAGCTAATCATTGAAGCCTATCTTCCATCCAATATATCATACGCTGTTCGTCTATCCAATACCTAACTGTCAGCATATATGAAACCTCCAGCGTCATAGCACGAAAATATGCTCCCAATATCTCTTAATTCATAAATCATGTGTCTAGTTCCTCCAACGCCAAACTCTATTGTAAAGATCATAATCCCAAATTGCGGCTCGTCGCACTCTGTTCGCTCGCACTGCAAGCGTCTGGATTCACCAGTTCGTGGGAAACGCGTATGTGAGTCACCAACTCGATCTCATCATCTCTCACGCCCCATTTTGCATAAGAGGACGGTGGCGCCTGTCCTTTGTGTGCGCCGGTCTTGGATGTCTGTCCCACTCCGATCCTTGTGTGGTTGCCATAGCCACTGAGCTGGTGTGAAGACGAACGATTTGTAGACTTCTTCGATCGTATTATGAAGGTTCGAAGGCCTGGGAGACAAACGACGATGACGGCGGTACTCATTTCGGCGAGAGTTAAGGTGTCTATCCACTAGGTCAGTTATGCATTCAAAAGGGGAGCCAGTGATAAAACGTACTGCCGGATTCATCCTCGAGCTCAAAGTTGGTAACGTTGTATGCGATGAATCGTGAAAGGCTGACCAGCAATGTAATGGTTCCCAAGGAAAAGACACCAATAAGACCAATCTTCTGTTCCTTGCGTAATTTCAAGTGCTTCAGTAGGAAGAACGGGTAGACGAATACTGAGACCACATTAGACAAGCGAAAAGGCTGAATGACCTCCGGGACTTACTCAGCAAGTCCGTGGAAAAGTTGAGAGCCCACTGAATGCAGAAAGCAGGATACGAATTCCAAGCTGACTTGAGTTGATTTTCGATGGACCTGTTTAAAGTCTGTCAGTTCAAAACATTCGCAAATCATGTCGTCAAGCGTACCAGTTATCGTAGAAAGGCAGACATATGAGAGTATTTGTGAGCACCGACGCGAGCAGAGCGCAACCGAGATAAACAGAGATTCCGAATAATACTCTTCTCAAGGTTTCCAGAACCCTGGGAATTAATGTCCAGTAGAAGAGAACAATAGATATCTTGGGGAAGAAGATCCCCGTGTCGAAGAAGTATTCGGCCACTAATACGGTCTAGATATAGTTAATCAGCACTGTAGTTCCCCGTTTGCAGCAGCTGTGTCGGCATACTTTCAAGTACTCAACATTATTGACCACGAGCTCGGATCCGATTGCAGGGTTGTCGATGAGAAGTTGGAGCGCAAGGGTCGAGCAAATGAACCACCCCAAGCTGAAGACCCATCCTAGCCATGCGAAAATATCGGACAGATTGAGTAGGCTCTGCTTGAGAAGGTAATGCGCCCAGGATCGTAGAATAAGGACAACTAATGCCAAAACAAGCAGCACTGCTTGTATAGCCTACGCAAGTTCAGTTAGTACCAAGAATGTGTACATATTCAATGAACATACGATAGAAGTGTTGATATTCATTGATGCTTGGCTGGCGGCCACCGCCTTGGTTCTAACTACCGCCAAACAGAAATGCGACAGCAAGGGGACATGGGGGGTAACTGAAGAAGGAAAATTCCGTTGGCGGATGGCAGCGCATTTAGCTTTCAATGAAACCAACCACTAGACTTTAGAGTTTAGAGCTCAGCTCAGCTAGACCATTGCACTATTCTCAATGGGGTTGTACATGTCTGAGCGGTGCTTTGGCGTCTTTGGCACATGCTCGGAGTGTTCCGGTTACAGCATTCGACAACAAAGTAAGTTGCTCCTCTGAAATAGACCTCGGCTGCATACCTGTCAAAGCATTGTACAAAATTGATGGTAAAGCTGGTAATTGGTGCCTGTGATCTTGACAAGAGCTTTGAGGAGTATGTTCGTAAGTTGTACAACACATCGATATGTAACACAGCAAACATTATTTCGAGTGGGACCGTCGATGTCGGCCCGCTTGCTGATCCTGACGGATCGACTTGGCGCCAATGCCAGGGAAATAATTAAGCATGGATTTTTGAAACAGTACTATATGTGCAGTTCGTGGTGAGAAGAACTGCAAGTGTCGCGCGCTTAAGCTAGTTTACATAACTGGCTGAAAGAACAGTACGAGACGACATTGATCAGCGCATACCTACATGCCTATTGTACTTCCTCTGCAAATCCGGACGTGACTTTGCCTCCTCTTTGTCTACGTACAGTACATATGAAGCGGGCAAATCAATTCAAAGACGCCGTAATCTCAAAGTGGTTAGCGATCTGTTTGAGAAGCCCCCATGCCCCCTATTCCAAGCCATCATCTCTTTTCAGCTAGAAGCACCAACCAACGCCAACCACCTTCTGAGACAGGCAACATGTTCCAGTGGCTGACGGACGCACACGCAACCATAAACTTGCGCTACCGAAAAAATTGGAGCGCCAGGGGCAAAAGCTCCAGGTGAATGACTCGAGGCAATAAATGGCTTAGATCAACATCAGGAAGGTCAATATCGCGGCTCTACTAATTGAAAGCGTCTATCAGAAGGGCAATTTGCGGCTGAGACATGTGGCTGAATGTTTCAATTTGCTTATGGATAAATTTGGAGGACGGGGAGAATGAATCCATATACGCGGTCGTCGCGAGACAACAGGTGGCATCCCCCTTGTAAATTTGTATGTATAAACCAAGCTTTTTCTTCCAGCGCAGTCTATTATTGGTGCTCTCGTTTCCCAGGAACGGCACCATGAAGCAATTTCCAGCATATCCGCTACTCCAGGACGACTGTCTTCGATGTCTCAACAATTCGTGACTTAGGTTTTCCCAGAGATAGCGATGATTGAGTCTTCATTTCGAATAATCTAAATGCATTGGTATTACTTTATGCTTCTTTGTGGGTTTAGACCTCCTCCCCAGCCTTGACCTTCTCATACGCTCGCTTCACCTCGGGCAACGCCTGAACACGATCCAACCAAGCCTTCACCTTGGGATAATCATTCAGACTCAATCCAGCATACTCATACTGTCTCATCCAAGGTTCAAAGTGAAAGTCGACAACATTTGGCCTATCCCCGGCCAAGATCCAGTCTCCGTCGTGTTTCTTCAGCTGCTTCTCCAAAACTCCAAAGCATCGGTATGCCTGGGCTTGATATCTCTCATACGCATTCTCATTCTTGACATTGTTATAATGTCGGAACCAATTACACTGACCAAGGAATGGTCCCAGAGTACTAACAAGGAAGCTGGTCCACGCGTCGACGTCAGCTCGTCCTTGCTCGCCTGCTTCCTGACGTGCGCCGAACTTGTTCTCGGAATCATAAATGCGGAGAATGTAGTTCATGCAGGCCAAACTTTCCCAGCTAGTGACATTGGTGTTAGGATCTTCCAAAGCGGGAACGCGGCCATTGGGGTTGATCTTGAGGAAGCGTTCGCCTTTGACACCATTGGGTGCATCGCCAAACTGCCAGAGCTTGACGGTGTATGGGATGTTGAGAGCCTCAAGAAGGATGGCCACCTTGAAGGGGTTGGGGCCGGTGGTATGAGCGTGGAGGATGAGGGGCTTGATAGAGGACATGTTCAATGCTCGGTTGTTTTGGGATTCGGGAAGTGGTGATTCCTTGCTTGAGTCGAGTAAACTGGATATGGCTGATTGGCAGGGAGCTGCGTCCAAACTTATACTTGTTAAAGGAAACACAAAGTCTAGAAGCTACTGCCGGTGGAGATGATTTGAAATCACGTCTCAAACTACGTTATGAGGTTTCACTGGTGCTATCCTGACCCATCTTGTCAATGCCGACGAAGAATTGGCAACGATGATTGGTGGACCGCAACATCATGACATAGGCAGTGGAGATGAATGGGGTCACTACGGCCAAAATGGAGTTGGAGGCCAATATATAAGGTATCTACTTTCAGTTACGAATCCATTCTTTCATATAACATCCAGTAACTCCCAACTGTTACGAAGTCCAACATGAACTGCCCTGAAAGGCTGGTCGGACCGGAGTGACAAAAGGACAAAAAGATGGTACAGGTGGAATCAAACCACCGAAGTTGGACGAACAGGGAATCGAACCCTGGACCACTCCCAGATTATTCTAATGAATCATGCTAAGGGAGTATTATACCACTAAACCATTCGCCCGGACGATTTCTGATTGGTTGAGAGAAGTCTTCCTTATTGCGCTCTATCATTAGACGTTGGACAGCCCATCAGAAGAGGACTCTATCAGCGATGCTACAACTAATTAATGACATAACCACCGTCAACCATCATTGCAGCTCCTTGAACAAAGCTTGCTTTACTACTAGCAAGAAACAATATGCAATCAGCCACTTCCTGTGGGCTACCCATACGACCCATTGGAGCGATGTTGATGGCAGGACTCAAGACATCAGCTTGAGGCCGGGTCATGGCTGTATCGATAAGACCAGGACAAACAGCATTGACGCGGATGAGATCCTTGGAGTACTACGCAAGTCAGTCATGTCAGTAATCCAGGTACTAACGAGATACATACATCTATAGCATCGCATCTTGTCATGCTAATCACGGCTGCTTTGCTCCCGCAATAGGCCGCTAGAGTTGGCAATGGTTAGTCTTGGATTCAGATTTGAGGTTTATATGTCGACACTTACGTGCTGCTGGGCGCCCGACTACCCCCAGTTGTGAGGCGATGTTGACGATGCTTCCTCGAACTCCAGGTCTTCCGTCATGAGTCGGTAGAGGGTCCTGCTTGAGCATACACCTGATGGCAGCGCGAGATGATAGCCAACATCCACGGTAGTTGACATTGTTGATCATATCGAATTCCTCAAGAGAAGACTCATGAGACCTCTTATTGTTACTCAATACGCCTATGATATGATCAGTCGTTGGCAAGCCACTCTTCAGTAGAAACACAGTTCTTACCTGCTCCATTGACAACATAGTCTACTCTGTCGAATGCTTTAATAGTTTCACTGTAAAGCTTCTCAATGTCCTCCTCTTTGGAGATATCTGTTGGCACGGCCAGGACCTGGACATCCTGGAAGGTTTCTTTAATGGTTACTTCTGTGTCACCGAGTTTGTCGGCATCACGGTCAACTATAACAATCCTTTTACATCCTTCTCGTGCAAAGGATAGAGCTGTCTCCCGGCCGATACCTTGTAAGCTGTTAGTAGAATAGTAGAAGCGGGCGAAATGACAGGGTTCTTACCTGAGGCAGCCCCAGTCACGAGCGCGACGCCATTGAAGATCGACATAGTTTCCAGCTAATTATGAGAAATTGTTACTGTCAACTTAGAATGGCAGCAAAATAGATTGAGGGGACTCTTTAGGTGGCGATACCGGCATAGTTCTTATCTCACTGTTACAGTAGCAGAGGCACCGACCGTCGACCGACCGAGATGGATACCAGACATGGGGCACTAAGCTCCAACGTTATCGTTATCGCGATTATCTTATCTTTGGAGTGGAGTGAGTTACTCCAACAGATGGAGTGAGTTGGAGTCGCCTTCCAAGACCCATCAGCCATCCCCGTGCAGGGTAGGGGCATTGTCATGGCATGTTCTGCTTCAACGCTCTTTATATCAATTACCAGCTGATGAACCCCATTCGTATCTGTTAATTCGTTGGTCCCTTAAATCTTTCTTTGTAAATTCATCCTCGGAAGAATTATACTCATTTGATAGGTTAGATGTTGATTGGTAAACAATAGAAGATGTGCCACAGCTCAGAACTTTTACACGTACCTTGATAATGCATTTTCATTGGGTTCAACAAGACTTTGATCAACGAATATTATATACATAACTCTTATATTGATAATTCTTATGCAGCACCCATCTAGAAGATAGTCCGTTGACAAATGATAGCGAAAGTGCCTCGTTTTGCAATCTCAACTAACACTCAAACTTGCTTCCCAGTATTTACGAGGAAACTTCGAGATGCGTAGGCGAGTGACAAGATCAGCCTCATCGGAAGATCATATCCTGACGTCAATCGCTTGTCTAAGGCCGTTATCTGACAGCTCGGTAACGAGATATCGATGGGTCCCGTGTCACACCACTGCACAGTCATACCTACAATTTGACAGGAGACTCCACCGTAGCCAAGACATAGTGAGGCGGAAACGAGCCATGCCCCCATTTTTGCTTGCGAGATCGGCTTTCTTGCGGAAACCCATTTCTAGAAAGAGCCGCAAGTTGAATCTATCGTCTCTGATATCCTTGTTCTGTATTTCCGGATACGCGACGCGTATTTCGTAGAGATATGAGAAGCTTGGCCTGCTGATCAACGGGACGCGTTGGCATGAGAAAGGTCAGAGAGTTAGGAGACAAATACTGCGCTGTCCTTTCTTGACAAGGCAATCACCCTCAAGAGAGAGAGAGAGAGCGCATAAAAAACATGGCATTTCCATCCGCTTCGCATCCACAATCTGCCGTCTTCGTCCTTCAACATTGACAAGTTAGCGCACGATCGGCTCCGACAATTCGAATCGGCTCAGGCCCCGCTTGACCAGATTCAGACTCTCTTGGATCCGGGGAAAGGGTCAAATGAATACGAAACAAGTGAGATCATCCCTTTCCCCCGCATTTGAAGTCTCTAGACCGTTACATTAAGCAAAAAACACGAATTAAAACCAAGTATTTTGATGCATGGAAAATGAGATTTTGCGCTTGCGGCTGCATTGCGGAACTCGTGATGCGGATCCCCCATGTCGGATGGTGGGGCAGTGAACTGACCTGATCGTACGTGAGCTTGAACCTGGGAGTTATATAAAGAGGCTGCTGATCGCTGTCTCTTGACGAAAGGAAAAGAGAAATTCCAAGATTATGAGACTACCGACTGCTACATTTACAAAACTTCTTAATCAACAATTCCGTGTGCCTGTATCCAGGAACATAAATCGGTCTTTCTACGCCACCATGAGAGCTGCCAGGTATTACGGTATCAAGGACATTCGTGTCGAGCAGGTCCCTGAGCCTTCAGTGCAGCCAGGACAAGTTAAAGTGAGTATCTCTCATTATGCTACTCAGAATTAAACGCTAATAGAGACAGGTTGCTCCTAAATTTGTTGGAATCTGCGGCACAGGTAAGGATCGCAGTTCAACACCCAGCCAAATGCTGACAGGTACCAGATCTACACGAATATCTCGGAGGACCCAACTTCTGCCCAACCAAGCCTCACCCTCTCACTTCAGAAAGTATTCCCGTGACGCTAGGCCATGAATTCTCAGGAGTCATTTCCGAAGTTGGCCCCGGCGTAACCGGCTTCGAAGTAGGTCAACCCTGCGCAGTCCAGCCAACCCTCTTCTGCGGACACTGCGCAGCATGCCACACCAGCGCCGAGAACGTCTGCCATACTGGTGGCTTCCTCGGTCTCTCGGGTGGCGGCGGCGGTCTCTCTGAGTCAGTTTGTGTGAACGCGACGCACGTCTTTGCCCTGCCAAAGGATCTACCCCTCGAGATTGGAGCACTTGTCGAGCCACTTTCTGTAGCGTGGCATGCCATGTCTGCAGCACCGGAGATCAATGAAAAGTCCAAGGTTGCCATTTTGGGTGGTGGGCCTATCGGTCTGGCCATGATTTTGTGCTTGAAGGCCAAGGGCGTTAGTGAGATAATTGTCTCTGAAGTCGCCGCCTCAAGACAGGAGTTTGCGAGGCAGTTTGGTGCAACCAAGGTTGTGAACCCGATCAAGGAGGACCTCAAAGAGATCGCTCTGGGCTTGACTGGTGGTTTAGGTGCTGATGTTGTTTTCGATTGCGCCGGTGTACCGGCGAGGTGAGCTTTTTTATACTAGGCTCTGTGAACATACTAACAGTGAATAGTGTCAAAGGTGCTTTCGAAGTTGTGAGAACAAGAGGCACGGTTGTAAACATTGCAATCTGGGAGAAGGAGATCCCTTTTAACCCTAATTGGCTGACCTTCAAGGAGAGTGCCTACAAATCTGTCTTGGGATACCAACGGGAAGACTTCCAAGCGGTTATCGATAACCTCGCTTCGGGTGCAATTAAGCCTAGCCAGATGATTACCAGGAAGATCAAGATGGAGAACATTGTCGAGGATGGTATTAACGCGTTGATCACGGATAAGGACAACCAAGTTAAGATTCTGGTGGACATCAACGATAAATGATCAACAACGAGTGCCATACCTAAGAAGGAGTTTGTGGAGTTCGATGAGGTTGTTGTTGAGAGATCTCGAGTATTGTTTTCAGTCATAGCCTTTGCACGTCCAATGTTACTCAATACATGTCCTGTGTCCTTCCATGATAACCCGAAGATTCACCAATAATCAATGCCCCTAACTATACGAATTGACGCTTGCTAAATGAAAGATGAATGCCCTCAAAGTCACTGTCATCAGAGTCCCGCTTTCGCTTTGCAGTAGACGAGTTCAAAATTTCAGTCACCTCCGACTCCTCCGAAGTAGTGGATCCATTGTCGTCTTCGCTCCCTCCATGCTGTCCATCATTAGAGTCCACCGTGCCAGCAGCTTCTGGCTGAACACCAGCGTCCACCAGCTGAGAAGCAACCAAAGTCTCAGCCGTCAGATCAACATAGCTCCACTCGACTTCAAAATTATTTCCGGCTAAGACGTGCATAAACCACAGTGCTAGGTTGACGGTCCAAACGTCGAGGGACCGTCTCTGACCTTGGCTGCAGTTCTCCCAGGGAATGGAGACGTATTCCATAAGCCCGTTGTTGATGAGCTCGTTTCTTAGCAAATTAGCATTTTGAGGATTCTTGCCTAACCTAGTCAGTCATTGAAAGATTGAAGCCATAGATTGGGCAAGACTTACTGGACTTGTCCTCTCGTGGCATGATGCGAAATATGAAAGCTTCCTCGGCCGTTAAGATGCATCCATATCGGCACATATGCTGAATGCAATATGTGTAAGCCTGCCTGATAGGCCAAGCAGAATTATCATTTGTCTTTCCCCTAATGAAGCCCCCAGAATCATCAAGAAGACCGCCTCTGAAAACACGCTCACTCTTCCATTTGGTGGAGATCTTGTACTCCTTTGGAAACCTCTCCTGGAAAGTAGAGATGGTTATGCCGTCAGCTTTAGACGAGACCGGCCTTGATGCAATAGACCCGGAATCTGGTTGAAGTCTCGATAACGATTGTAGTCTCTTATTTGTTGCCTTTGGAGACCGTTTGCGTAAGGGCTGATGGCGCTTCTTTTCGTCCTGTCGGGGAGGGGAGGGGTATACCTCTTTGCTTGATGGGGGATCGCCTTTGCTCCAGATAACCGGATGGAAAAGATCCTGAATTGGATCAAGGGCGGCAGTAACAACTGACTTGTTCCACTTATGGATTAGATCTCTGGTATCATCCTCATTACGTATGATGCAGTCGGCCTGTGAGTGAAGTCTTGGGTATGGGTCAAGGGTTCGGCCTCTGCGACAGGCCTCTTTCAGCAAAACTCCGCCAAAGACATCTTTTAAAATATTAACGTCTTCCAGTTCTTGCCATCTCTTTAGTTGTTTAGGACAGTAATAGAGAAGACTTCGGGAGTTTGTCTTGCTCTTGGGTATTTGATGGCTGACGGATGGGTTGGGGTGCGTAAGTAGCTCGAGTATCGACGTCGCAGAGGACGGCATGGCCATTTTGATGTGAGACAAGCAGGGATGATGTGATTGTGATACGTGGCACAGCTGGAATGTGGCAATGTACCATTCTCGAACAGAGTCTGTTCACTCTCATTGAAGGGCACATTCCGCGCTTTTAAAGTGTCCAGACAGCCAGATCAGGCTGTGGATACTTCGGTTCATTCCATCTTGTTCATTCGCCCACCTCGGAGCTGAACTCTGCATATTGATGTTGGTGATATCTCTGCAGCATTGCCACCCATGCTAGCCACTCACAGACCACGCGACCCCTCCACAGATGCTGCAATACTGCATGAAAACCTGATTATCGCTAAAAGCGGCCCGGCGCGGATACGGATGATTGCCGCCAGCTATAAGGATGACAGTGGGCGAGGGTCAATGGTATGCCCACACACATCACAAATACCTCATCTTCTTCCCTCTAGCTTCTCCAGTATGCCGAGAAAACGACGGGTTTTACCAATTCCTCAGAAGTTACCACCGTGCGACGGGCCAAAGCTCACTATCTTTCCATATCATAAATCGCGCATTCAATGGCTTGAGAGACTTGATGAAGATGACGACGTGACCTCGAGCCAAGGTTATGTGTTCCGGGTTCTCATCCGAGGCCGTGAGTACGCAGTAAAAGTAGTATGTAACGACAAGAACCTTTAATACTTCGTCCCTTTTCCGAGCATGTTCTCTGATAACGGCTTAAATGACAGTTCAAGTTCTTTGACCCTATGAGTACTGAGTACTTCTGGGGGCCGCTATTAGGTGAAGACACATCTCTTGACACTGCTGCCTACTATACCGATCCGTTTTACGCAGAATGCCGAGCATATGGTCGAATACGCGAAGCTATGGACAGAAAGATTCTCAAATCAGATGTAGCTGTTGCCAGTCACGGATTTTTCTTCCTCGAATCAAAAGACCAAGAGGCTTTACAGAATCGTGATATCGACCTCGGCCTGGATTCAGTCGACATCAGTTATCAGGGAACCACAATCGGAGGGTTCAGAGCCAGAGCTATCGTCAAGGATGTTGCATCTTCGAAAAGTGGCATCACGTCGACGAACATGAGAAAAATTCTAGGCAAAGTCGTTTCAATGAACAAAGCGGGGATATATAACATGGACATACGCATCGATAACTTCCGCGATGGACGACTGGTAGACTTTGGATCTTCTTGGACAGAGCCTCATGCTCTTCTGGGCTCTTTGAGCTATGAAGCTGCTATGGAATCTAAGTTAGCAGATCGGGTTATGTTCGACCAGATGATTGAAGATGAAGAGCTGAAGAACAGTGGGGAGGTTAAAGCGATACATCATATGCAGCTGAGATCACAAGTCCAACGGCATTGATAATGGTTTTTATTCAGATTGCATGCGGGATACTAAAGGATATTTAATGACATATCCCCAATTGTTGAGCCTAGCCTAGAGCGATCCTCGACCTCTCCTAATAGACGCGATTTGATAGGAACATAACAAATGCTGGAATGGCTCGTGGAAACATACTAAATGTCAGCTGCATCAGCATTGGAAATGCAAAGAGTGCCGCTGACACTAAAATTAGTAACCGCGGGCCTCGCTTGCTATAATTAGACACGTACATACATGCAGATTCAGCGGCATACACCCACCTCGATGGTGTGATACGCGATATACTCTCACTGAAACCTGCCCCCCAGGTCTGACTATTCAATCATATTCCTTTCCAGGCGCCAAGGTATGTGAGAAACTCTCATTGGCGAACTTCTGTCCAGGGCGGAATAAAATAATAGCAGAAACCGTGAATAATACAGGCAGTCCCATCAGCAACCCAGTGTATCCAATGCCAGCTCGGAAATCGACTGCCAACAAAAGCGCCCATACATCTCGCAGGATTCATGCCAGCACCGCCGTATCCATATCGCGCGAAAGCACTAGCAAAGCTCATGGTCCCGACACTCAATCCTACCATGAAAGGTCCCAGTGCCGGGCCAATGATCTTGGCTTGTCGAGGATCCAGTCCAACACCAAAAGCAAGGAATAGGAGAAGGGTAGCTGATACTAGCTCGACGACAAATATCTCCCTTGGCGGGACGATATCCGTGAACAGCCAGCATCCCCCGACTTTGAAACCTCGACCTCCCCAGCTTGCCCTGACCAACAGACCAGCCAGGGCGCCGCCGCCGATCTGAGCTGCGACATACAGTATCAGACGCGGTAACGAGCAAAGCCGAGCGCAGAAAGTGGCGAAGGTGATCAACGGGTTGAAATGAGCACCGGAAATCGCCCCAAAGGACGTGATGAAGAGCGTTATGAAGATGAGGTTGGTTATACCGCCAATGAGAGGCCCCAGGAAAGCAGCATTGTCAAAGCTCCCAAATCGTTGTGTTGGAGCAGCGGGAGCAGTATCCGGCGAGATGCTTACCCATATCGTGATGTACACAAACAGCAAAGTACCTGCTACTAGTCAGTCGAGAACATAAAGTTGATAGGTGAAGTTACCAATTCCTTCGATAAGTGCCGCTTTCCACAAATCCAGATTCTTGATCGGACGCATGTCCATCAACTCCCGGAACGACATGTGCGGCGTTGCATCTGGTGCATGATGCAGTACATGGTCATCCTCCGATGTTCCCCCTTCAACAACGTACGCCTGATTGGCACCGAGTCTTCCGGCAAAGGGTTGACTGTACCTTCGATAATGAGGACCCGAAGGCTCTGAGCTGGGCCTAGCTTCGACATCGCCGCTGTCGCGTGACTTTCGGCGGTTCGTCACTGCCATCTTTACAATGATCTGTGATTCAATACTGAGGTTCACAGTGAATGAGTCTAGGGATATTTCAAAAGGGGCATTGCCGTCCGGTGATATATGGCAACAGCGGCCGCTCCTTGTAAATGGTAGCGAGGTTTCACCGATATTGCACTGTGACGAGCTTTGAGATCTTACGAGAGCCGCTAGTAGCGTCTTACACATACTGACAATCGCTGACTAACGCTTACAGAATGGGGACTCAACAAGGTTTAAGTGAATACCAGGAAATAATGGATATTCTCAATGCCGACCTTTCCGGCTGTCATAGTGATAGAAATTGCCATAGCTAAACACAAATTCCACGTTACAGCCGGGCTATTCCTCATATATGGAAAGCAGTATTACAACTTTGGGAATTTCGACTCATGCAATAACCACTTAATTCCCTCCACCGTATCGTTTGTTCTCTTTTCAACCTGTTTGGTCAATTGAGGAAAGAATTCCCAGAAATGATGCGGCAGACCCGGATACAGATCTAGTCGCGTGGAGATGCTGTTTTCCTGAAGAATCTGCTCGTAAATGATGCTCTCGTCCCTTAACCCGTCAAGCCCGCAGACTTGAAAGTACGTTGGAGGGATCCCTGAGTGTCCGGACGAATGGACAGCAGGCACTGCGATCGGCGAGGTCGGGTCTGGCTTGTATGCAGCTGGAAATATCTTAGCCTCTGTCTGATACAATTTCCTGGGTTTCTTACCAACGAATGCGCGAGCGAGTTCCTCTGGAGGTATAGTCACATCTTTATTCTGCTCATGACTGACATAGTCGTCTTTGTACTTCTCCGGAACAGATGGTGGAGGAAGGAGAGGTCCGACGCCGAGAAACTGTCCAGAGACCTTTGCAGGAGATCCAAGATCGCGGTTTAGATACACCACGCCGTTGGCAATGCTTGCTCCGGCAGAAGTGCCTCCGATGATGAGGCCTGCTGAAGGGGCCGCGGAAGGGTGAACTTTCGTAGGATTTTCAGCGATCTGTCTAAGGTCAGGTCCGTTACCAAACACAGCTGAAAAAGCATAATTACATACCCAATTTAAAGCATCAACTCCATCATGAATAGCCTGAGGAAACGGATGTTCCGGAGCAAGGCGGTAGTCAAGGCAGACTATGATGATACCAGCCTTGACCGCCAAGATCCTGTTGGACTCCATATCATCATGACGCGTGCCTAGACAAAAGCCACCGCCATGGAAGAATAAAAAGATAGGAAGTTCATCTCCTGGGACGACATCTGATGGAGCATAAACATAAGCGAGAATGCTGCTGCCGTCGCGAACAGGTATCTCAATATCTCGCTCGGTCAGGCTCGGGGGAGTGCCTCCTAGTGCGTCTCGCGCCTCATTTTTGTGCTTATTAGATGTCGCTCGTAGGGTTGGTATATCGACATTAGCCGGAAGCGGCGGAGGGCTGCTGGACTTTAAGATCTGTTAGTGGGCGTTGTTAGTGCTGTTCTTGTTGGACTTTTGGTGGTGGGGAAGAGCACATGCCTCAAGAAACTCGGGGTCTGGTTGAGCACTGGCGATGATTTCTAAGCTAGGAGCCATTTTGGACAGTTTAAGGGACATGTTAGACTCGAACTGGCCATGCTGAGCAATAGCCGCATGGGGACATAAATACAGCTGTGAGCAAACTGTCTAATGAGCCTACACGTAATTCAGCCGGACATGAAAAGACCGTGTTTGACCGGGCCCACCACTGGAACTAACGAACATGGCGTAACAAGGGCCCTCGGTTAAGGCCAATCAACGGAAGAATCGGTAGATTGAGCTTCGGGTGTCCACATTCCCCCGCAAACGACAAATCTGGGGAGCAGTTGATGCAACCTGCTCCAAACTCAACTCCATTGTACGTTGGATCGCGACCATCAATCCATTGATAACAGATTCTATACGCTCTCAGCATGACACAAGACGAGGCAGAACGTTCGACTCCACCTGAGACGTGGAAGGGCCATCGCGCCTGTTTCGAATGCAGACGGTATTTGAGCCTTTCCATGCAGCTTCTTGACTGACGCACAAGCTAATGCGCCTAACACAGAAAGAAGACGCGATGTAGGCTACGATTTCCGATTTCCGAGTGCGAGCTGATCAGGGCCTAGGCGATATGAGAAGACCCAATTGCGGCTTGTGTACAAGAACCGGCCAATCCTGTACATTTCCAACAAAGCGAAAGACGCCTCAGAGACGTCGCCAGGAGAGTCAGATAGATTCCCAGAAGCTCGGTGGGTTGCAAGCATCTGAGGTGAATATGGTTGAATGCTGACTTTCTAATCAGAGCGTCTCTTCAGCCTGCTTGAGTCAAGATTGGGCGATGGGCAAGACATCGACATGCTGTTGTCGCAGACAGAGCAGCTTCCGAAAGTCAACGATATTCATACACCAAACTCCCTCGACAGGGAACAGGACCAGCCTATGAAAGACGACAGCAACGATGAATCACAGTCAGAAATCATCGTCTTGGGCACAAGCATCGTCTGTGACGATTCAACGTCACCAGCATCCACTTTCCGCTCAACCGACGGAGAGCCACCTACCTGGCTGGGGATACCGGTGCCTGTATTGACTGAACTTATTCACATATTTTTCTCCAAGACCCAGGGATGGCTTCCGCTTCTTCACAGGCCACGGTTCTTCGCCCGGTTCATGAAGAATGGCGTATTCGATGACAGAAGTCACTGCAACACCGAAGCATTGCTGCTCTGCGGTATGTTTGCCTTGGCAGCACGCCACTCCACAAATTCATGGTTTCACGGCATACCAGCACCAAGCCGCGGGCAGGTCTTTGTGGAAAAGGCCAATATGTATTATGAAAAATGCCAGTCCGGCCAAGCACCAAGTCTTGAACATTTGCAGGGATGCATCTTGCTAGCTGTCTACGAATATGCTTGTGGCCCATCCCACCGCGCCTGGATCGTTGCGGGCGTCTGTGTCCGACTAGCCTACGATCTAAACTTGTGCAGTATGGATGAGCAGGATGAATCAAGCGACTGGTCAGTTCTAGAAGAGCAGCGTCGTGCGTTTTGGATCACCTGGGAACTCGACACTTTTGGCTCCCTCATGTCAAGACGGCCAAGTTCTATCACCCGGTCAATGGTGATGGTCAAGCTTCCGGTTAGTGACGAAGCATGGTTTGCTGACCGACCTGTTGAGTCACCTATTGTCGACCCAAGACCCAGTGAGGTCTGGAAACTCCTTCTCGACTCTCCGAATCAGGACCCAAGAGCGTGGTTTCTCATAGCCAATATTCTCCTGAGTGTCGCAAGTGAATTTACAGCGGGTCGTTTCACTTGTCAGCGAGATAAGGAGGAGCTCATTGACGCTATCACGTGCTTTTCACTTGCCATGTCGCAGAGGTTCAACCTGGAGACCCTGGAGCGAGAAGTGTCTTCGGGAGATGCAGCAAGACATAACTGGATTATTGGCATGCATCTCATGTTGACTTGCACCCGTACGACCATACAGGCCACCTTCAAGCCTGAACATCCAGAGACATTACGCTCGCCACGCCATTTATCTCGGATATTCTATCATTGGTATCCTGATTATATCCCTCTGTGTCAGCCTTTCCTGGCATGCTGTCTGTTGTCAGACCGAGCATACCCGTCAAAAGATATGACTGATGCTTCGTATACCGGATATCATAATAGTGAGCTGGTCAGTCTGGTCTTGTCGCAATATGCCACCGTATGGAATCTTGCCTCAATCATAATAAGTACGTGTCGCCTGTTAACCAACACCCTTGCATACTAACCAAGAATAGATCTCAAGGCTTCATTGATGCGCCGTGACAAGGACAACTCATTTGAGAAGCGATTTGCTTTATTTTTCCCTTCAAGGGCTCCCATTAATCGGAAAGATGACCAGCCCACGATAGTTGGAGGGCTCGATATAGAGGAACCGAGAAATGAGAACATATCAGCAGAGAGCAGTTGTGGTGACAGTGACCTGCAGCAACTTCTTCAGCCGACGGAACTAGGGGACGCAGAGTCTTTGATGACAGAGCTTGCAAATATGGCTGGGAGGGGATTACCAAGATACGTGCCAGGGGATACTCAACCCGATTGGAGCAGCGGCATTTCTCTCAATTTTCTTGACGAGGATCATCAGCATCTCAATTATCTGCAGTTGTGATAGAAGTGGGAGTGCTTGGGGACAGATGAGTGATAGACGAATTATTGAAGCAATGGTAACGCGTGTTGAATCATGTACAGTTGGCGACACCTTTATCTGCTATGAAGGTTATTCCGAGCGCTTGAAAAGCGCTGCTGTTTGCGACAGAGCTTGTCCTTGATCCGGCATAGCGGTAGTCTACAGGGTGATAACTGCGAGTACGGAGTGTGTGTGGCTAGAGACGGTTGGAACATTTAAATCTGGTGGTTATTCTTAACGACAATGAGGACATCTTGGCAACCCTAATCACTAGTCTGACGGAAGCTATGTACTGCATGAATTGCCCAAGTGAATGAAATAAAACTTAGGACCTCTATCCTAGGTAGGTGATAAAAAGCCTCAGGAAAATTTAGGTAAATTTAGTATAGATCTAGAGGATCTAGAGGATCTTAGACTAAGTATTTTTAGCACCTTAATTGAACGTCAGAAGTCTTCTTGCACCTAGCAGCCTAGAGGTTCTGAACATGTTAGATCAATCAAGAGCTAGTGTTCTCCTGGTGGCTCACTTCTGCCCTACTCTCGAACTGCTTCTCTTTCTTTTCTGGCGGCACGGTCTCATCAACTTCCAGGGTCTTGGAATCAATCTCAACTGGTGCATCAATGGTTGCATCAAACTCGGATGCTTGTTCTTTGATGAAGAAGCAGGCTTCTTGGTCAGTCGAGTTTGCATGTGAACGGGTAGGTCGAACTTACCTATAAGCATGAGAGAGCAGAATGCAGCCGAAACGATCCATGCGTTTCGAAACGCGATCAAGTACGCCTTCTTCATACCTAAAACGGCGGCATTTGCGATTTCAGGTGTGAGGCCAGGGACAGCAGCTACTGCCTGTTTGTTCTGGGAAGCTAGCCCTTGAATAAGCGCAGGCAGAGACGAGGTAGGTAGCCCGAGTGGTAGAGCTGCCTCTGCAATCTTCTTGGATAACTCCTTATCCAAGGCATTGTGCAGGACAGCATTGTTGATTGCTAGACCAATTGAGCCCCCTAGACTGCGAATACTCGTCATGAGAGCAGATGTGAGAGCGATAAGCTCCGGTGTTGTTGCGAATTGCGCAGAAACCATCGTCAATGGAACAATCGAAGGAAGTGCAATTCCAGGTAGTAAAGGATAGATCCAGAAAGCATATCGAGGAGTGTCAATCTTTGAAGTTGCCAGTAGAATGAAGAAGGCAAGAAGACAGACGGCACCCAAGACGAGTGGTGGCCGAAGTGTCTTGTATTTAGCGGACCACAGGCCAAAGACGGGTGAGAAAACAACGGCAGTGATAAACATGATAGCAAAGTTGACACTGCCCGAAAGGAAGCTGGCATCATATACGAGGGAGATTTCGAAGACAAAATATGAGTTGGCGGCGAAGAAAGCGATACCCTCGATAAAAATGACAAATAAGGAGATGGCGAAGTTTCTGTGCCTCCATAGCTCATGGTGAAGCATACCATCCTTCTTGAACCTCCACTCGTACACGATGAAGACTATCAGGACGACGATGCTGATGATAAAGGGTGCAAGGATATTGACACTATCCCAAGAGTAGGGGTTTTGGGACCATGATAGGGCTATACAGAAAAGGACGAGGGCCGGGGCAAATAATGTATATCCTACCCAGTCAAGACTCTTGATCTTTTCCGATGCATTGAGGGAGACTTGAAGGTCTCGGGGCGGGGGGTTATATCCGATGAAACAGCCCAGAGATGCAAGGGCGTAGCAACCGGCGGTCACATACCAAAAGATGCGGTAGTTGGAGTTGTCACCGTGACGGAGTAGGCCACCCCCCATGAGCAAGGCAATGATCGAACCAAGCGCGATCGATACACTCCCAACCGCTTGTCCAATAGGTCTGTAATGCCGAGGAAGGATTTCGGACATGACAGCAACGGTGAGCGACTGGCTTCCGAAAGTGGCACCCAAGATTGCGCATCCGGCAATAAGAGTTCCTGAACTTTGAGCTCGGGATATGATGATACTACCTGCAACGCCAGCGAGGGGCATAACAACGAGGATGGTTTTGCGGCCCCAGTAGTCAGCGACTTGTCCGATAGGAGGGTTGAGAACAACGGTGAGGATCGTGATGCAGGATGAGTACCAGACAGTCTGGCTGCTCCCGCCGACGGCTGCGGCCATGGTATTTGCTAAGAGACCTGTGCCGACGAGAGAAAGGAGTTGCGTGAGGTATATCATGTTGACTGCCTATTCATTGGTTAGCTTCGAGGTGCCAGAGGTGCAGAGTGACTTACGAAAAGGCAGATATACGTCTTGGAATGGATTCGAGCAACATCTTGCTCAAAGGGCGCGCTGATGGAGGATTGGGAAGCCATGTTGGCGATGCGACTCAGAGACTGGACCTTGAGAAGCAAGGATATGTTAGCAGCAAAATACGGTGGGACCAAGCTTTGTTATATCGTTAGTGACAGGGAGGGCACATCCGTGTTTGAATGCCGGTGGCTGGCATTCGTATGCTGCGTGATACAGTATTCGGTAAAGGTGCTGGGGCAAATAGGGGAGGTATGACTGGCGCGTTCCCCGGGTTTACCCCAGTCAAAAATGCCGAATTGAGATCTGGGGTAGCGTTGGGAGATGCCATCGGGATGGTGGAGACGGCATTCGCGGTGGCCGCAGGCCCGTAGGTCAGATCGCGGCATCAAGACGCGCCGGCCGTTTAGCACTCCGCCTCCACTTCAAACAGTTGCGCCCTGCCTGTGATCAATCCAAATAGAAACGCATTGGCCTCTTCAAAGTCGTCAACTAAGTTCAGGTTGAAAAGACAACCCGCTTATTCAGAGGATCCCCAGTGGATGGCGGTAATGCAGATGATACACTATTAGATTGGGGCGGTTGCATGAACAGGGGGGTTGAGGTAGAGCAGCATTAAGTGAAATGTTTTGTAGCATATCGTTGAATGTTAGAGACGTTAGTTGATGGCCACAAATAACGCAGTATTGATCATGATCCTAAGCACGAGGCAATGTAAGTTACGTAACAACGCCACTTCAAAAACCGTATTGTGGTTGGTGAGCTAGTTCCTCTTATTGTAACTAATCTTAAGTTCACAGCTGTGGTCTTGGCCCCAAATCCTTCATGTCCAAGGTAGTCGACAACCCCATCTCCTTTCCCATATGAGCAAACAGCTGGGCTTTCTGGTTCGGATCATTCAACATCGTGAAAAACGCCTCCCTCGCTGCAACGTCCTCAGGAGCAGTCGACTTCACTCTTAACAGATTCGCAGTCGATAATGGATCTGTGATATTCTTGTAGACGTCGCGCCTAGCCGTTGCATAATCATCGAGTTCTGTTTCTGGGGCATTGTCGTTGATGATCTGGACTAAAGCTTTGCCCAGATGAGCGGCATCGAGTAAACCGGTAGTCAGTCCAAGTCCACCGACAGGATTGTTAAGCTAGAGTACTTAGCGACGAAGGATGCGATGTTGAGAGAGAACTTACGTGGGCAGCATCGCCAGCGAGAATGATATTACCAACGCGATATTTCGATACACAGCGCTGATGAATCGTGTACGGGGCTGTTTGGAGGTAGATGATCTCATCAGTGTTACCCGGCAAGATTCTAGAAAGTCTGTCTTTGATGACGGGGAAGACAGCCTTGTCAGTAATAGGCTCTCCATCAGCACCCTGAGCGAATGGAACGCTAGTTGCAACCCTCCACAGATTCTTTGGTCCACGTTTCACAACGATTGCCCAATCCTCAGGATGTACAATAAAGTTACCATGCTTCCAGCCTAACTTTTCAAGGTCGTAGAGGATATTGACTGCAATGAGTCGTATATCTGGCCAGGTGTAGCCTTCGAGAGACTGACCTATACATTTCCTAACCGAACTCTTGCCACCATCAGCTCCGACGACGTACCGACAGTTAAAGCTGAGCTCTTGATCATCAAGTACACGCCGAGCGTAGACAGTAACTGAATCGCCATGGTCCTCAACACGAGTGAAAGCATGGTTGAAGATGATCTCCGCATTTCCGGTATTGATCAAATGTTTAAGGAAGATCTGCGACAAGACGTCTTGCCCTATCATGGCTGCGCAGAGATTGGGGTTTTCGGATGGTGGAGGCGTGAAGTCTGCGAGGACTTTTGTTGTATCGTATCCGTCTCGCCAACAGTATCCATGATCGCTCCTACAGCCATATTCGAGAACCTCCTCGATGACTCCAGCCTTGACGAATTCGAGATTAACGCAAGGGAGCTGTCTACGATTGGTATGGTATGTCAGCGAATGAATAGCAATTGGATAGGAGAACCTACACTGCAGCTCGTGGACTACGGGAAATTCCTTCATCTGCCTCAAGCACTGTGACCTTGATTCCATTCTGGGCAAGGATCAAGGCTGTAAAGAGGCCGACGGGGCCCGCGCCGACGACTATAACTGTTGGGTTGGGCATTTCTGAATAAAGGAACAAGGTATGATGCTGTATGATATTGGAATATCAGGATTTACAGCAGACTATAACAGGATACCCAAAAGGTCGTTTTAAACAAATAAAAAGCCTTTCTATAAAGAAAAACGAAGATCATAAAACATCATGAGAAGACGGGTCTACATGTCGGAGCTTTCATGGCCGTGGAGCCGGGCTCGTAAGGTCGGCGCCCGATTTGGCCGGGATGCCGTCCCCACTTATCCGATGGCTTCATCAAACTTCGCCGAGGCCGAAGTCTTCTCGCCGAGGTCGCCAACGGAGAGAGAATCAAGTGCAGGTTCATAGTTAGGTAAGAACCGACACCATTGCAAGCAGTCAGTCACTAGTGCCCGTTAAGGCCCCCCGCATATCATGTCGGCTCGGGGGTAATAAATCGTGGGTGGACGCGACAAACTGAGAGGCCCTGAGATCCATCATGATGGGATTGTTCGACTGGCTGTGACATAACACCACAACTTGCTGGCGAACAGAACCTTTTCTTCAATGGCAATGTTTTCTTTGGACAGTGCCATGACAAAGCAGGTGTAAAGCTTGACTGATCGCGGCTCCGGTGGGGAAATGTGCCTTGTTTCCTGTAGACGCGTAGCGCGTCATGGGCAACCCCGCAATTTCAACGAGGACCATCGTGTGAAACAATTCATCACTCAAGCTCTTCGTGAAAACTGACAGCTTGATGTGTTCCTCATTAGAATATTCAGAATTATTCTCACTTATGGTTCCCGTATTAAAAATATACCATAATCACCAATGGAGTTTTAGACACGAGGAGCAAGTATGTGATGGATGGATAGACAGGATCCCAGATGATGACTTAATCAATTTATCAATGGAGTATCAGAGGTTGTGTCTACGATAACTCACATGTGCGCACGACTAACTCTTCTTCTGATTCAAAAAGGCATAAAACTTGCCCAAAGTTAGACAAGAAGTTCTTAAGCATATTGTTTAAATGATCTGATCCAATGGCATTCCCAGCCTGGGGAGTCGCTGGACTCCCGGGTAGCCAAGCTCGAACGGTCACGGTGGGCTCAGAACATCTTCTGATTGGCTCTCCTTAATCTTAAGAGAGATAAGCATAAGCTCTTATCGTAACGTTAAATTTGGGTCGACCTGGGAGACTGGACAACACGAGCGGCCTCGCTCCCCGCCAATAAGTTTCAAGCCTTTCTCAACTAGCGAACCTGGCCAAAGATAAGGTCGTAGCTAAAGACTGACTTAAATTCCATCCCCTGCAAGGTACCGGACAACAATCACTCTCTATTGGTCCTTATGAGACGTCAAGTCATGAGCTCACCCTTCTGTCATCGATAGAGGCGCTGTACTAAGATTACCTAAAATAACATAAGATTAGGCTAAAGTTCAGCTAAACTTCTACGAGGTTTACATCAGACTTGATGCTTCCGTCGAGATCAGAGAATAATACTGAGTATTTGGAAGGAAGTCTACGACCTTTCATGCTCCTTTATTCTGTTCTGTAATGATCCAAAACGTGTTGAAGCCAGGGGAACAACCATTCCGCTCGTCCGTTATCTCTGCCGATCTCAGATCTGTCCACCCACACATCATGCAGCCAAAGATAAGGAATCTACGCCACGTCGCGATGAAGCAACGTTATCTTGTACCTTAATTCTTATCTCGCGTGGTTTCGCCGGAAAGGGAAAAATGTTCCCGATTCAGCTATGATACCCATTTCTTGGCGAAACACTAGGATCTGTCTGAGATACGAGCATTCAGGGCCTCACATAGGGGGAAAGTCATTAAAGACAGTGGGTTCTGCCGTCCGTCGGGATGGAGCGCAGTAGTGTATGCAGCCAGTTTCTGCCAAATTTGATCCAGCATGGCTTCGACAATCACTCCGGTCACTGAGTGGCCTGATTACAATGACGATCCCACGGGCGGTAATCCTATTACCCATGATTTGAATGCTACTTATGACAAGGTTAGTCATTTTCAACGAGACGGGCCGGATTGTGCATTCTCCCGGCTCTCATCCCAACGTTGCGCTTCCTCGAGGGCTTCGGTAAAGATTTTATCGCTAACAAATGATGTTACACAGGGCGATATGGCATGGATGCTTGTTTGCACCATTCTTTGCTGGCAGATCACTCCTGCAATTGGCTTTCTTTGTAGGGACTCGCGACGCATCGAAATACCGGCCCCATTTGCTGACACGACACAGATGCCGGCATGCATAGGAAGAAAGCAGCATTGACGATAATCCTGCAGTCCCTTTTCTGTGCCTGTGCTGTAGGCATACAGTTTTGGATTTATGGTTATAGCTTGTATCAATCTCGGACTACAAACCCAATGTTGGGTGACCTGTCGCTCGCTGTATTTCACAACGTTCTTGCCCAGCCATCGATTGCCAACTCTGATATCCCTGAGATCCTATGTATGTATTGACGAGCATGACTGTGATTGAACACAAGTTTCAGTGTACTTGAACATTGCCGGCTGACTATTGCGTGCTCTAGATGCGATCTTCGGAGTCACCTTCGTCACCGCCACTGCCATGATTTTGGCTGGAGCAATGCTGGAAAGAGGCAGACTATGGCCTAGCATGGTGTTCCTTTTGTGCTGGACAACCTTTGTGTACTATCCGTAAGTTATTCGTCGCAGTCTCTCTTGGATCGCAGCCCTGGCCTGGACCAGCGCGGACCAAATCGCGTCCCGTGAAGAGTCACTAACAAACATCGCTGCAGTCTAGCTTATTGGGAGTGGAACCCAGCGGGATGGCTGTACGCGTTAGGCCTGTACGACTTCGCAGGATCGGGGCCAGTTCATATTGCCTCCGGATTTGGTGCTCTGGCTTGGTCGTTTATGCTGGGACCCCGACTGCCCGACGCCAGCATCACCGATCGCAAGGCAGCCGTACACTACAAACCACATAATCCACTACTTATGGTTCTTGGAACTGTACTTATTTGGTTTGGCTGGTTTGCGTTTAATGGTATGTCAATTGCCGTTGAGATATGCGGCCGAAAGCTAACCTTCTCCCCTCAACTTAGGTGGCAGCACCGCAAACCTTAGTCTCCGATCGATCTACGTCGTTGCGAATACAAACTTCTCTGCTTGTGCTGGCGGAATAGCTTGGGTTCTTCTTGGGTACCTGCATACCCGAAAGTTCTCTTTGGTCGGTTTCTGCAGTGGGATCATCGCAGGACTGGTTGGCATCACCCCCGCTGCCGGATTCACACTCATCTATGTCTCTCCTGTAATCGGAGGTGTCACGGCGGTGGTGTGCTTTTACTGTGTCAAGTACAAGTACATTCTCTCGGTCGACGATGGCCTTGATATCTTTGCCATTCACGGAATCGGCGGCGTTATCGGAGATATCCTGACTGGCCTCTTTGCTACTGGATATGTTCCTGCGCTGGATGGCGTATCAGGAGATGCCTATGCAGGTGGATGGTGGGATGGAAATTATCGCCAGCTTGGTCTCCAAATTGCAGGTGCCGTGACTTGTGCCGCTTGGTCATTCGTTATCTCATGCATATTGCTCTTCGTCATTGGCAAGATCCCTGGTCTGCATCTTCGAGCCAGCGAGGAACACGAGATCAGAGGTCTTGACTACAAGTATCTCAGTGACATGGACTGGGAGGACCATTACATGAATGGAGGTATCACACCGGTGATGGAGGGAACGCCTATGAGAGCTTCAACCCCTCAGCAAACTCCCGACAAGAGTGAAGAGAGGAAGGTCGACTGAGTCGAGGAAGGTAGTAGTTAGTAGTAGTTAGCCTACTATGGGACAATCATTTCGCTCACTGCACATCATGATGTTGGGTGCGAGAGCCTCTGAAGAGATATATGCAGATGGAAGGAATACTGGCTGCATCTGATCACTCATCCTCCACTTTTTAGGGATCGATGTGCAACACTAATATGTTCAAAGAGATTGCAGTTGAATCAACGAGTGAATTAAGTAAGATATCGCTATATAATAGAACTCAAGATGCAGAGGTCGAAATTACACGATTAGAACAACCCTCCAAGACATATCCGTGCCACGAAACAAGCTTCGGGTATCATCAGACTAATGTTGCACAGAAAACCATACAAAAAATCCAACTCGTGAAAGACAAAGAAAAGGCACGATTAGGGAATTGGGTAGAAGACTGCGCCAGACATGAACATCAGAGATTTTGGAGTCCAAAGAACCAGACCGCTGATCATCATCATTTGTAGTGCTGTACTCAAGCGTTTGGGTTGACATTAGCGCCAGAGGCGGTGGCAGTATCGTTTCGAGCACCATGTCCAGACGTGGTCTTGTTGTTGGGACCATCTGGGAAAATACGCTCGTCAATGTCGCGAATACGAAGGCCAAGACGAGCAGGGTCGATGTTTCGGTGTCCCCAGAGGAGCAATCCTCCAAAGACAGGCTTTGCGATGAGATCAAGAATGCCGTAGAAGACCGCCTCGGAGTCGGGGGCAATCAAGTTACCACCTTCACAGACGCCCCAGGCAATGGGGTAGAGGATCCATACAACGGCTGTGAGGGAACCGCACATGACAAAGGTTCGACCGACGTCAGGGCCAACGTGCTTGGCATGCAGACGAGCTTCCCATGCGAGCACGTAAACGATGTATGCGAGGGCAGCGCAGCCTGGATTCATGTTAGTAATGATGATGTTAACGCACGGAACACGACGTACCAAATGCGAAATAACCCCACTTGTAAGAGCTCTTGACGAGAGCTCCGACTAATCCAGTGACAATCATGACCCAGTCCACGAGAATTACCCAAAGCACAGTTGGCCAGGGCATGCCAGCAGTAAGAAGCAGATCTGTGAGTAGCAAGGGGGTTGTCAAGAACCAGTCGATGTATCTTGCGTAGAAGATCTCTCTGTAGATGCCGGCAACCCTATGGTCGGACCTCTGGAACTCAACCGCGATAGGAGTCCAGCCGAGGTTCGAAGCCATCGTGAAGTATGCGATAGATGCGATCATGGTGATACCTGCAGTGATGTAGCTAAGCATGTCAGTAAAGTACATGAGACCTCTACTCCATTGGTATTCATGATCGGAGAGGATTAAAAAATGTCGAATGGGACATTGACGAAACCTACTGGAAGATACGGTCGGTGCGAGGCTTTCTCATTCCAAGCCCAAGAAACACAAAGGTTGAAATAGTCATGACTGAGGACGGTTAGCCCTTTCACCACATAACCCAGTTGTTTTATTCTACACACCTGCGCAGACAGCCCAATACCAGTCAGAACCTCTGACGGTGATGTTAATGTCACTGCGTTGCCCATTGACAATGTCAGCTGTAGTGAATCGTTAGCGTGTTTGTCTTAGCTGAGGGTTGATATGGCTCACGGTTGACATTGAGAGCATCGTTCTTTCGTGCATAAAGGTGATCGGCCATGGTGAGCAACGTTAATTTAACGGTAAAAAGTAACTTCGTATTCGTGGAACGAAAAATACAATGTCTGCAGGCCAAGAGGATGACAGGTATGGATGTCAAACCCTTAAATGCAGCCAAGCTTCTTTCCCACGCTTCCCATCTCCCTCTCCATGACTTCATATCCGACCCTCCCGAACCCAGACGGAAATAACTGCCGAGTAATCGTCATTGTTCAAAAACAAAGTGCACTGTTCATCAAAATGCGCTGTCAGAATCTGCGATGGCTGATATTGAGTCTATGACGTGCTGACTTGTTGAGTCCACACCACTAGGTTTCAAACGTGGTATCAAGTGACTAAAACCGTTGCCGGTAGCCGTAGCGCGAAATGGAAGATCCCGCGGTAGTTTAGGTGGGAATTGCAAGGGTGATCAATGTATTTGCCGAAAATGATGACGGTTTGAGGTCAAGATAGGAATGTTCCATGTAACGCTACGGGATCGACCTTTTGGTGGGGGTTAGAGATGACCAGATCAAGCACAGTCTGGGACAGTGCATGAAGATTATTGACAGCCCGGTTCTTTCCGATCAGATAGTCTTTACGTTATTCACAATAGCGTTGACTTGCGAGGCTTTGGGTATAGACCAGTAGATCATAAGTATTAGGGGAGTTCATTCTATCTTCTAACTAAGTAATTACACTAAAAAATACTACCAGCCAATCCAACTAATGCTCGCTAATTCGCAGCAATGACAAGATAGTAATAAGCCAACAAAATCGCAACCAAAGCTCCCAAGAACCCTTGAAACAGAGTCAGAGACGAATCGCTCATCTTATCCAGTCCACCCTTGGGAGACTTGGCAGTATCCTGCGCCCAAGGAATCTGATGGCTCTTGAACCCCGAGTCCTTGAGAATCTGTTCTGAAACAATCTTACTACCAGCGATACAAACAGGAACACCGGTGCCAGGATGTGTGCTGGCACCGGCAAAGTACAGGTTCTTGTACTTGGAGTGCTGAGTGCCAGGTCTGAAGGCGAGAACGTTCATGATGGAGTGACTTAGACCAAGAATAGCGCCCTTGTCGAGGTTGAACTTTTCTTGCCATGTGAATGGGGTGTTAATGATCTCGTTCTCGATGAGAGGAGCAAGATCAACACCTATTCTCGCACGCATTGTTGCAATAACTGTGTCGCGAGCAAGAGAAATCATCTTATCCCAGTCCTGGCTTGTCTCGAGGCCACCAGAGTTTCCAGACTTGGACAAACCACGATGTGTTCCTTCAGAGTCTGAGAGAAGATGACCTACAGGCACAAGAACAACGATAGAGTCCTTGCCCTCAGGGGCAGCCGAAGGGTCAATGCGCGAAGGGACATTGACGTAGAATGATGGTTCTGAAGGAATGAGGTGCTCCTTGAAGATGCTGTCAAAGGACTCCTGATACTCATCCGCGAGGAAAATGTTGTGAGCATTGAGTTCAGGGACGATCTTGGAAGCAGACCAGTAGAAAGAGATACTACTGCAAGAAGTCTCTCGTTTTGATAGCGAGTCTGCGTAGCTGGTCTTGGGGAGGAGATTGTTGTAAGTGTAGACAAGGTCAGCGTTTGAGATGACAATGTCTGAAGGCAAATGTGTTCCGTCACTCAGAACGACGCCGTTTGCCTTGCCGGTCGCTTGGTCGATGGAGATGGACTTGACGCCGGTATTCAGACGGTACTCGACACCAAGACGCTGACCAACGTTTACTAGAGCTTCAACGACCTGAAGATGTTAGTGAGGAACCTAGCATGTCGGGTTGCAAGACTGACCTTGTGGAATCCACCTCGAGGATATAGAATACCCTCAGCAAGCTCAGTATACTGAAGCAAGCTATATGTTCCCGGCGCATCAAAAGGGCTCATTCCCATGTACATACTTCCAAATGTGAAAACCCTTCTCAACCTCTCAGTCCAGAAGTACTTGCTTGCTCTCGTCCAGATACTCTCCAGGGGGTGAATATTGAACAGATTGAACAGCACCTCAGGTCTTGCCAGACTCAGAATGCTAGGGAAGTTCCTTCGAAGCACCGACTCAACACTAACTTCATAATGTCGATGCGACTCCTGAAGAAAACCAAGATATCTCTCAAAACCATCGATACCTTCAACGGCTTCGATAGCTTTCTTCATCTTGGTCAGATCAGTGGACATCTCAAAGGATGAACCATCGCCAAACCAGATGTTGTAGTTTGGTTCACATTTCAGAAGCTCAACGCCCTCAGCGGTTAGAGAAGTTCCTAGGTCTTGGAAGATCTCGTGGAAGAAGCGAGGGAGAAGAAGAAGAGATGGACCTTGGTCGAAGCGCTGACAAGGTTAGTGGGCGTAAATAAAGTGATAGGGAAGACGTACGTGGCCATCGTTGTGGATTAGAGAGCAACGTCCGCCGGTAAAGTCATTCTTCTCGAGGATAGTAACTTTGAAGCCAGCTTTTGCAAGTCTCGCAGCAGTAGAAACGCCACCGACACCAGCACCTAGTGATTGTCAGTCAATGCCTTCTCATAGTTCATAATGTTGAGGGCAACTTACCAATAACAATAACAGATTTCTTAATGTCGCTCATTTTTGCTGTAAAAAGTGAAGATGCTCAATCAATAACCGATTCACCCGAAGCCAACGGTTTTGATAGTCAGAGCAATAGAGTCAATGACGTCTTCCATTTTGTTTGATCCACTTTTTCTTCGCATTCGTTTAATGAGACACTTGGCGTACATGTGAGAGGCTAATTTACCCTGTGCTTAACGAGGCGCAGTCTGTATTTTGAGGGATTAAAGTGGTTTATTGAAGATTGACAGGGAGAATTGAAGTCGTTGATGCGTTGACGATCATTGACGGGTTTGGTTTGGAGGGTTTTTAGTGGATTTGGTGATGGGATGCGTGTTGAATGATTGGTTGGGGGGTTTATGGTGGTGGTGCTGTCAAAATGTCAACGGTGCGGCTATGAAATTAGGACGCCACGAGACTTGACGACGCCAAGTAATTCCAACGGTTGAGTAGACGATGTTTTGAGACATCATCTAAATCTTGAAGAAAAAAAAGGAGACTCAAAGTGGAATGCGATGAATAATCTATGAATCTATGACTTCTACCATTACATCCTCCACGCTTCACCCCGCTATTTGTTCAATGCAGACCATGCAACACGAATTCGTCTCATCTTAGGAACAGTAGCTCTGCCCTTCTTCATCGTAGGACCCTTTTCTCTTAGAACGCGTCCAATTTCCATATAGCTCTCAACAGCAACGCGAATCGGTCCTTTTCCTTCTGAAGGAAGCTTATCAATAGCGCTCTTTGCCATGTTGTATTTTTCAAAAGCACGGTCAAGCAATTTATGACGGAGAGCTTCGATGGCGGGACCGTGGGGATTTTGGATTACATCTTCTGGAGTGAGTTGGGCTTCTTTTAGCCAAGAGAGGGGAAGGTAGACGCGGTCGATTTCTGCGTCGGTTTTGATGTCACGGGCGATGTTGACGTATTGAAGTGCGATGCCCATTTCTTGGCCTGAAGCAACAACTTCGCGCTGAATGTCTTCGGGGACAGTTTCTGGGGTATGGTAGAGAATAAGATGGTTGCAAAGTTCTGCGACAGTGCCGGCTACGCGACTTCCGTAGATATCCAGGTCTTCGGTGGTCTCGATAGGGAATGCACCGGACTTTCTGTCAAAGAGAAGATCGGTGTCAAAGCCCTTGAGCAGATCATCCAAGGGTTGCTTGGGTAGATAATAAGTAGGCAATTGGAGAAGAGCCATGTGGAACATCTCCGGGATGTTGGACGTGACATATTCTCGTAGTCTTTGCGAAGGTTCCTCTTGGTTCTCTTCATAAGCGAGATCAAGAAACTTTCTCAGCTTCTCGATTGAGGCTCTAGAGTCATCAACAGATGGAGCTTCGTCAACGAGATCGTCAGCTGCTCGACAGAACGCATAAAGACGGATCAGGTCGATACGAAGTCTTCCCTCAAAAGTGCCGCTTGCGAGATAGAAGCTTCGGCTCTTCTTTCGGAGCAGGGCAACGGCGCTGACAAGGCCTTGAATACGCTCTTCATCATACTTCTCTTTAGGTAGAATAAGAGTTCGGATAATGGTAAGCAAGCTGGGCACTCCCTTTGTCCGAGGGAAGTGCTCAGGAAAAGTGTCGAGAATAGCCAGGTTGTTGTCGCAAGCGATGAGGCCAAAGACAATCAAGGTGTTGGTGAGAAGGAAAAAGACGGCCTCTCTGCAAATTGTTAGAAAGCTCAACTCTCTCAGAATAATGGCCACTTACTCAATGTCGAGGCCATCCCACAAGACGACGCCGTATTTGGTCCCAGAAGTGATACTCCACGTTCCCCGTCGCAACGCAAAAGTGTCAACAACCCACAAATACAAGGTTGGCAAAGCAATAGGAAGTGCAGTATTTGTCCAAGGTAAATTCACAATAAGCTGATAGGAAATCGACCTGCCAATGGTTAGCATATGCGGCATGAAACAGTTGGCCAGTTGAGGCATTACCATAGAAACAAGAGGAATGGACAGGCCCAAATGAGGATAAGGCCCATGTACATGCCCTCGCCACCAGAGGACACAGAAACGAGGCCGAAAACAATTGCTGATGCGAAAAGAATCTGGCCAGCGATTTTGCCCCAGCCCGTCTTCTTAGACAGGTAAATAGGGTGAAATGTTGGTTTGCTGAGAATCATGTAGAGTAGAGAGGTGTTGAAAGTCTGAATGACGAAGAAAAACAATTCTTCAGCTGGGATATCCCATGCTGTCAGACCGACCACGACACCAGGAGGATAAGTCCATATGCGATTTTTGATGAGATACGAGTCCCAGGGGCTGTCAGCGTTAGTAACCCTCAACAAAATCCCCTCCCAAATCAACATACATGGTCGAAACAACAGCAACCTGCCAAAGTTAGCTTCAAGCCCTTAAACCTCCCAGAAAAAACTCACCGTTATCAAAAACACAAGCTTAAAAACATCCAACCGTGACATCAACGGTCTATAAACCGCCGCCAAAACAACACCAAACGTTATCGTGTATTTTAGATGCCTATATCGAGGGATGAGTTAAAAGCCCCCTCAACAACGCGAAGAATACGTACACTTGGGCATATTCCCAACCCATTTTGACAGAGGTTTACTTCGTGTACGTGAACGAAAACAACAGATGGATTTGTGTGTGACGGCATACGATATGGGCTTCAAATAAAGCCAGAGTCAAAAAGTGAAAAGGAAAAAGGTTGTTAAGGAAGAAGTCGGAGCGTGAGTGGTGCGTGAGTCCACAGTTTGTTTTTCAGACACTAACACAGCCCTTGATGGTACAACGTACCCCTGTCTGTTATGTCTTGGGTGACAATAATGCTCCCCCACCACTAGCTTCTCTTCACCGTTGTTGAGTGTGAGTGGGGGAGAGGCGTTTTCTGTCATGTTACATCTCAGGGACTCGTTGACGTCACGACTTTTTTCTTCAACTTTTTTGGGGATCGAGTGTACTTGTCATCAATTAATTCGAGACCCCTGGTTCGGGATACTCGGTCTTTTTGACATTGCCGTTACCGTTATGGAGATGAGACTTGATTATGACGCGTGACAGATCGTGCTAGTAGTTTTGATGGATGGATATCCCCATTGCGTGCCGTGTTATCCAGCGATTGATGCTCCCTACGTCTGTCCTGATCATCTCGATCTGGTTGTGGGTTATATAGTTAAGTTACTGGTGGTCTGCTGGTTGTAGATGTGTGTATTCTGTATAGCTTCATGGAATATCATATGCTTTGGCATAACTCCGTCTCCTTTTTCGCTTTTGATTGGACCCATCTCGCGATGTAGCTTGAAGGTCTTCGCACATACTAATCGTCTATTCTTCCTTTCCTCTTATCTGTAGCGCGCTATTTACCAGAACCCCATACTATCGCGACTCGATACCGCATCATATCATAGTCCACATATAATCATGAAGTTCCTGCAACGAAATCCCCTCACACAAACGTCAATGTCTCAGCCAGACAAGAATATCTCCCCGCCACTTCGTCACCCGTAAGTCTTTCCCCCGGTCCATAACACAATGTTGACCAGTTACAGATATCTCACTGGCAATTTTGCCCCAATCCATCAAACAACAAATCTTACTCCGTGCACATATAGTGGATGTATACCGCCAGAACTGACTGGTGGTCAGTACGTTCGCAATGGCGGCAATCCCGTCAGCCACCAAGACCTTGGCAAAGACGCCCATTGGTTTGACGGCGATGGGATGCTCTCTGGTGTCGCGTTTAGAAAGACATCCATAGATGGCAAGATTATACCCGAATTCGTCAATCAGTATATTTTGACAGATTTGTACTTATCCAGAAAGACGACCTCTGTTGTGTCGCCAGTAATGCCAAGCATCACGACCCTGGTAAACCCGCTATCGACCATGTTTAAGATCATGTTCGCGACCCTCAGGACGATATTCCTGGTCATTCTCTCAAACCTACCTGGATCTCAACAAGCCATCAAGCGCATCAGTGTCGCTAATACTGCTGTCTTATACCACGATGGGAGGGCTTTGGCGACATGCGAAAGTGGACCGCCAATGAGGATACAGCTTCCCTCGCTGGATACTGTCGGCTGGTTCGACGGTGTTCAAGCTGAAGGAGAGCCAAAGAAACCTCAAGCCAGCAGTAATGACTCTCCGTTTGGCGGCAGCGGACTCTTCAGCTTCATGAAGGAATGGACAACAGGGCATCCCAAAGTAGACCCCGTTACTGGAGAGATGCTTCTCTATCATAACACCTTCATGCCGCCATACGTACATTACTCAGTACTTCCGAAGAGCAACGAAAAGGCATCTGGACATAGACTTGTGAATCAGTCTGTTTTGGGGGTATCTGGTGCTCGAATGATGCACGACTTTGGAGCGTCTCGGAGCCATACTATCATCATGGACCTTCCTCTTAGCCTCGATCCTCTCAACACAATGAAAGGTAAAGAGGTTGTATCGTACGACCCGACGAAGCCTTCACGGTTTGGAGTGTTCCCGCGGCATCAACCATCTAGTGTGCGGTGGTATCATACAGCCCCATGCTGCATCTTCCATACTGCGAATACATGGGATTCTCACTCGAGTGACGGGGGAAGCTCTGTTAATATCCTTGCATGCCGTATGACTTCGTCTACGCTTGTATATACAGCCGGGAATATCAGGCCACCAGCGAGGTCTAAGTCTACCCAAGCACGGGACTGGTCAGACGATAAGAAAGAAACGACCTGCAGACACAAAGAAGCCCCTACTCTAGAGTCACCCGGGGTAGCGGCTGGTCTAACCGACTACTTCCCCACTGCAGAGTCCGACGACTACGATCAATGCCGGCTGTACTATTACGAGTTTGACACGTCCACGACATCCCAGAACGAAGTGAAGAATCAGTGGGCTCTCTCTTCCATACCATTCGAGTTTCCCTCTGTTCGGCCAGATCGCGAAATGCAAGACGCTCGCTATATTTACGGCTGCAGCACGTCGACTTCTTGTTTCGGCATTGCCCTCGGACGAGCTGATAAGGTCGATCTTCTTGTCAAGATGGATGCTAAGACTCTCATCCAACGAGGGAAGAAGATGAACACAGCCCCTATCACTGGGTGCGTCGATAGACGGTCGGTGAGCGAGATCCTTGAACAACAAAAGAAGGACGATCCCATAAAGATATTCCGTCTCCCGCCAAACCACTACGCTCAAGAGCCACGGTTTGTTCCTCGAGCTTCGTCATCCGAAGAGGACGATGGGTACCTGCTCTTTTACGTCTTCGACGAGTCTCAACTCCTGTCTACAGGTGATTGCCCTCCATCTGCTAAGTCTGAGTTGTGGATTCTTGACGCCAAGAACATGCGTGATGTTGTTGCCAAGGTCAGACTTCCGCAGAGAGTGCCGTATGGTCTGCATGGAACTTGGTTTTCTAGTGGGGATATCGAAGGACAACGGGATGTGGATTCTTTGAGAAGTTTGGAAGAAGTGCAGAGGAAGAAAGAGGATTGGGTTAATGGCGGAGGACAGATAAGGAAGTCATGGATGGTGTTGCGAGAGAAATTGGAGAGAGCTGTCGGCTGATGAATCTCTAGTATTTCAGTATGATCCGCTTTCACGATACCCTGTTACGAGTTCCATAGTACGTTCTTGTATCTTATAGCTTTTGTCAATATGTGTATATGATTTTCCATCCTTGTAATCCATAATAAGCACATCAGCTACTCAGAAAGCTTTGAAACTTCCCCAAAGTTCCAACTGGCATGCAAGACCAAACACCCTTCCATTAAGCATGAACTCATAAAACCGCGGTTACCAAGGCTTCAACTGCCAGAAGCTGTCCCGACTCTTTCACCAAATATCATGTTCCATCATTGTGTGCGATAAAAACTCAGTATCGCTGTTTGCAATCGAATTCGCCATGTCAATCATCTGCGCAGTTGTGAACCACGCATCCATTCCCAAATCATCCATACCAGGCAACATCGAGGCCATGGTCTCATTATCATCATTCAAATCATTCAGCCCACTTTCGCCCTCGCCAATCGTCCCTCCAATAATCTGTCCATCGATCGGAATCGGTGTTGTTTCAGATTGTTCACGTGGCAAACGACCCAGCATATCGTCAAGCTGCTGCAACTCCGATCTCCTGAACATGGCGATGAGATTACCCTTACTAATCATCTCGTTGAAGATTATATGCGTCTTATGTCGGAACGTAGCATCGTATTCTGAGAATCGGGGATCAAGAACGGGAGCGATGAGGAGGTTAAAGCTCGATACGAAGAGCGACTCGAGATCGAAAGGGAGAAACGCTTCTGGGGAAATTGTCAGTAGCTGCGGTTGACGAGATCAATCTCATGATTTACCAAGCAGACCTTGACTTTGCAAACAGCCAAGAATGTTGATCATCTGGTAGGAAGAGTCGATACACATCTTGATCAGGTTCCAGACAGTTTGGGATGAGTTGAGGGCTTCCGTTATGGAGTCGGGGGTTTCAAAGCGGATTTTGAGGAAGCAGAGCAGTAGAGGTCTTGTTGCGAGAACGATACACTACAAGTGTCAGCACGAGTTATTCGCATGCAGAACAATGATGTTACCTGATGGTATAGAGTATGGAGGTATCCTGCTACCCTTGAAACGCCGTTTACCGCTTTATCTGCACCGAGAGGAAACTGCTGCTGTAGTTCGTCCGCGAGCCCAGCGATGTTCTCGAGAACCTTCTTGGTGCTGAGTAGGAACTTCTTGTTCAGCCGTCCATTCGCTCCATATACTCCTATCATCCCGTTAGCCTTGGTCAATAAAATTGAGATACCTTCTCACCTCTTCCAACTGAGGCAATTGTCCGGCAAAGTCGAATCTGCATGTGAAGTGCCGCCACTCGTTGCGTTGATCCGTCAAAGTGCGGAAGCTGGTGGTGAATATCGTCGTCATGGATTGATTGCGGTAGGCCCATCAGAGATGTCATCTCGCGGTCCAATACGTAAACAGTCCACCATATCCTTCGACTTCGTTCAACAATACGGTCTCCTAGTTGATCTACTGGCATGTCGGTGTGCATCCCTTGCCCGAGTGCAACTCTCATTGCTTGTCCAATCTGTCGCAGGTTAGCTGAATCCACTGAAGCACGACGGGGTGCGTACAAATCCGTGTGACGAGTGTCTGTAGTCAAGAGACTCAAAGTATAGCGCTATACAGCATAAAATCTCTGTCGATATCAGTGGTTGGTAAACAAGGATATGAATGCTTGGTAAAAGTCGGAGGGCCGTGACGAAGTAATCAGCGCCAGGGGGCCTTTTTGCTTGGTAGTTGTTGTTCTCAGCAAAGGCTTTGCCAAAGGCCAGGATGAGGAGGAGGTGAATATATGGCAGGTCCGCAGCTGCAATATGACTGCTCGGGTCCGCGTAGAATTCGTGCAGATAGGCCATGAATGTCTCTTCGTCGAACAAGTGAAATAGTTGGCCGCAGTGAAACTTGACTGTGTTGATGAGGAAGACCGCATGGTCGAGACTGGGCATGACCGGCGTATCCAGTGCCGGGGTAATTCTAGAGCCGTCCCATCCAAGGTCGTATGCTAAACCATCGAAGAGTAAATTGTCGACTGAGATAGGGCTTTGGTGGATGTATTCGTGAGTAAGGCTGAGGACGCGTCGGGTGAAAGACCAGTTTGATGATGTTCCCAGATAGACTGAGATGTCAGCTGAGGCCGTGTTTAAAGCAATGAGTACTTACATTCTCGGCCCTGCGCTGATTGCATAAACTTGGATTGTCCAGATGACAAAGGATTCACCAGGGCAGAGGCGATAGGGTCCAGTCCCTTGCCACTGCTGTTGGTGCTACTACGGCTCCCGAGGAGCGAGTCCTCCGTGGGCAGCGAAGCAGAGGCATTGCCCCCAGGTGAAGGTAAATGAGGCGGCGGTTCAACTATCACCGTTAGAAGTGATTCTTGATCGGGCCATCGAACATACCTGAATCAGAAGGTCCTCCAACATTGATGTTTGTATCTAAAGACCCCGGCGTGATATACTCGGTCGTCCCAGTACTCGATTGAGTCGTCGCAGCGCGTTGTTGTAAATCTAGAATGAACCTTGAAAGCCATCAATACGTCATGTCGCGAAAAATCGATTGCGATGAGCTTACCCACGCGTGACGAGAACCTTTTGATCGCGTTGATCAAACTCGCAAGATAATTTGCGCTTCTTGCACGCGTCGCAGGGATGTGAGCCCGAACATTTTATTTTTTGCTTGCGACATCGCGAACACCTGTCTTCCGTTAGTAGTCTGCCCTCCAACTGTTGATGATGCTCGGTGAGTGAGGTCAGGTGAAGTTGACGTTGCAAGGTGAGGGGAAGCGGATACAGGGGGATTCAGGTCTCAGCGCCGTACTCACGCATTATCAGATCTCTTGGAGACACGACCCGATCCTGCAGTCGTACCAGACGTTTTCCTTCCATGCGTCGATCCAGGCGCCATCGCAGGGAATCGTATGACGAGAGAACAAAGGTGCTGATGAGATGGAAAGAGATTGTTTCGGTGGTTGGCGGGGAAGAGAAGGTTTCGTTAGCTTAAGCTCCAGCGGTTTTTTGCCCCTGCTGTAATATTGGGGTTAGAGCAGGCGCCACTGGGTCACGAGTATTATGCTGCAAAAGGTAAAAAAAGAAGAAATACTAAGGGGAATAATCGGAGATGGAGATTCTTCAGTTGAGGACAGGAAGAAGATTGTTGTTGCGGTGTAGAAATCGCTATCTTCTTTACTCTACTGTAATAAGTGAGGTGAGTTTGGGGGCATTGGCCAAGTGGAGGGTGCACTGTTGATAACGACTTTGCAGTGGGACAGATGCTGGGTTGGCCGTTTTTTTGATAGCGGATTAGGCTTTGACCCTGGTCGTTTTAGCCAGGCTAGAACATGGGGAAACGATAATCGAAGCACCGTGCGCTTGACCACGGCCTTCCCGGATGGGTTGGGCTGGGTATGTCACACAATCGACCCAACAGGTCCACCGATGGCGCATGGGGTACGGACTTTGGATATGCATTCATCCCGATACGTTGACATTTGACTCATGGAAACGTGATGGAAGTATTCGCCGCTGCTCCCCCGCTGTTCTGCAGGTTAGCCATCACGCCAATCCTTGTTCCCAACAGTCTGGGGAACAGTCCTAGAAGAACAGAGTCAACGGGCAATTCCCCCGAAGGTATCACGTCACTTTCATGTCTCGTCTCATGTCAGTAACAGCTCTATTATTCTCAATATCCAGGCTTTTCCCCTCTATCTAACTAGTTCAGGCGCCCCTTGACACGATCCGTCCAAGTCTTGAGCAACTCCTCCTCCTTATCACCCGCCTCCTTCATAATACTCTTAACACTAGTCTTAACAGCTTCACCAACAGGCTCATACGGATGTCTCGGTGCCAACTTCTCCTCAGCCCCTTCAACACCCGCCAATCTTGCCGAAAACACAGCCACAGCGTACTTTGTGGAAGCAACGCCCGCTTTGCAAGGTCGCTCAGCAAGAGCAGCAAGTTGTTGCAACTTCAGCGCCTCCTCGAACTTTCCCTCCTTGTACAGAGCGTAAATCTTTGATGTCAGAGTTGGGAAGACGTTGGCAAAGGCTGCGACGCATCCTACACTGCCGGCCGCTAGACCACCGATAAGGAAGTCAGATTGACCGCCGTATGTAGAGAATTCTGAAGAGGGGATTTGAGCTGCGAGACGCGTGATCTTTCCAACGGAGCCACAAGTCAACTTTACGCCGACGACATTGGACTTTCCGCTAGGATGAGACTTCTTGCTCTCCTCATAGATCTGAACAATCGTCTCAGAATCGATATCAACACCGTTCGTCACACCAGGGAAGTTATAAATAACAACAGGTAAAGGTGACTTCTTTGCAACCTCCGAGAAGAAGCGCTTAACAACATTCATACTCGTCGCCTTGCCAAAGTACGCAGGAGGCAGCACGAGAAGATAATTCGCGCCAGCCTTGTGAGCATCTTCAGCAAGCTCAAGAGTCTGCTTGGTAGAGTGGGCTCCGACACCGGCCATGAGGGGAAAGTCAGGGCCGATTGTCTTGCGGGCGAGGGCGATGAGCTCATAGCGCTCTTCGCGGGTGAGGAGGAAGGCTTCGGCGTTGGAGCCCATTACGATAAGGCCGTTGAGGCCGGAGTCGGCGAGATGGGCGAAGTATTTTGCTTGAGAGGCATGGTCTACTGTGTCGTCTGAGTGGTTGAAGAATGTGACTGCTGGACACCATACTCCCGGGCTGGGAATGTTAGTATTGTGATGATACCTAAGGCAGGGTTGGAGAGGGAGGCTTACCTGGGAACATGGGGCTGTTGGGAGGGTGCAGGGTTGAGGGAGCCCATGATGATGATATTGGAAGTAATTGATGGATGAATAAACTAGCAGTATACCAAAGTAACTTATTATTGATGATGTTTTAATTAATGCAGATATTTGACTCAATCGTTGTTCTTTAAAAGCATGATGTTCATCACCTCCTCATCTGAAGTGGGGTTGTATCGCGAATCTGTTCCGACATGTCAAAGGCTGCTCCGAGGATGGAGGGTTTCAGTGGCTACTACTCTGCGTCTCGCCCCCGGGAACCCGCCCGCTGTGACCGGCAGGGCTCCCGGTGTTTGTTGTGGGCCTAGAACGCAGCTCTGGCCAGTCATGTGCTGTGAAAGCTCGGGGATGTCGGCCGAGTCTCTTCGGGGCTACTTCCTGACTCTCAAGTTTACTTTGGGGAATGTGCTGAGAAGGCAAAGAATCTGGCGACTCAATATTCGCTCTACGTTCTAGAAGTCTCCGAGAACTTATCAAATTTGAGGTGCTCGTTGTTGCTCTTCGGGCAGGGTTGACGTTCGGTTTTCCAACGCCGATGGTCACGCTGATCAGCTTACCCTGGAATCGCGTCCCAGCAATGGCATGGATATTCAAATATGTACAAGTTGCGAGGCTAGACGATATTTATGTTGAAATAGCTTACTATGAAATGCGACATTTCTCTATAGTTCAGTATCTGTAAGAATACAAAGCGAATGAGGACGTCATCATGGTCACAAAGATGGATTGAACGCTCAAAATTCTGGCTCCGTACGCTCAATCATTTTCACAGAATAGCCAAGCCTCGAGTCGACGAAATGCTGAGCAGAAATCAGAAGAGATTCAAGTGATAAAGGTGTACTATTATTCAAAGTTTCGGCTAACTATACCGCAGTTTCATTTAATCGGTGCTACAGAAACAAAGATTCTAGATGAAGGACAATTGTCGAGAAATTAGAGCTTGGTCTGACCAACAGGCTGTATATCCACAAGTTCGGTCGAGTTACCAAGTCTCCAGCTGACAGCACCGCCCCAATCACCCTTTGCTTCATCTGTCTTAGGGTTTTTCCACCTCCATCTTGCCTCAGGTTGCTCTCCCTTCTCTGACTGCAACAGATCCTTCACAAACCCGCCAAAAATGGGGAAGAACTTGAATCCATGACCACTATCCCCAGACAAGAACAGCACCGAAGAAGACGTGTTAGGCACGTAGTCGATGATAAAGTCCGAGTCGGCTGTATCAGCGAACCAGCAAAGCGTCTTCTTCACGAACGGCCTGTCTGCGAACTGAGGAAGGGTCTGTTGGACAAGCTCACGAAGCTGCTTCTCGTCGCTATCAGGTAGGAAAGCACTCTGTTTCAGATCTGTAGGTGCATGCGAGATTCCAGTCTTGGGATCAGTGTTGATGAAGCCACCGCCCATGGGACATAGCTTGAGGAGATTCGTCTTGGGATCAGGCTCGAAGAAGAAACCAAGGTCACGCGCGTATGTCACCGGGATGCCCCGAAGAGCAGATGTCTCGTCGTCTGTGAGATGTAAGTGAGCCACAGACCATGACTTGGCGACTAGCTGCTTGCCAATCTCGGGTACCAGCTTGGCACCAGCAGCGCCAACGGAGACGATGACCAGATTAGAAGGGTAGAACAGTCCGCCAGTGGTTTTGACGCCCTTTGCTTTGCGACCAGACGAAGTCTTCTCATAGGCAATCTTAGATACAGCACCGGCTGCCCCGAGGATATACTTCACGCCCTGGGCCCGTGTCGCCAGAAAAATGGACTTGAGCGCGTTGCCTGAGTGCGCGTACCCATCAAACCTATTAAAGTACCCATTCCAACCAGGAAACGCGCTGTCTTTGTACTGCCAAACAGCATCTGAGATATCCTTCTGCGTATCAAGTGGCGAAAGGTGAGATTTCATACGAGGGTCTCGCTCAGCTGCAGCTCGGAATCGATTGAGCGTGTCAAGTGCTTCTTTTGGTGCTTTGCCAGAAACACAGTGCAAAAAACCCACTTGGTGGAAATGCGGAGCGAACAGGGGAGTCTGCCAGGCTTCAATCGCTTTCTGATTGGCCAATTCGTTAATATTGATCCAGTAAAAAGTTGGACTTGGGGTATTTGGGGGACTTACCACTGTGAGGTCTTGATACAGAGAGTCTTCGTACTCTGCGCGCACGATTTTGTTGAGATCATTCGCAGCAGACCACCGAGAGGGGATCTCTTCATCTTTGTCGAGAACGGTAATATCTTTGTAACCCGCTCTGAGGAGGTGCACGACTGTTGAGAGGCCAAAGGCACCGCCTCCAACGATGAGGATTGGCTCAGACTTGGAAACACTCATGTTTGCACAGTGGGAAGGGAATTGAAGCTATTGCTAATAAGACTGAAGCAATTGAGGCGTCATTCTATAAGTATTCACCCATTCCGAGCCTCCAAACCCATCGTCGTTCGATATCCGGCCACCACCGTCTCGTGATGCGCCTACGCTTAACGCCTTTGCAGCACCCGAAGCATTAACAATAGCCAGAAATGCAAAAATGGACTGGCGACGCTGCCAATGCGACACCGGGAGACCTCCCGATGCTGATACCAGAATGATTGGCGCCGAGAAAACTGGACGCTATTTTAGCGCTATCGTCTCCCCATCCGTGCTGAAGTGGAGTCTGGCTGGAAGGTTAGCGTAGCCGCAAGTGCAACCCGACGATCTTTGATACGGTTTTCGCGTTCTGGGGTCTGCTGACGACGTGCATTATCTCGACTCAGCTGATATGAAAGTTCGGGAGTTCAATGAAGCCGTTATCGGAGAGTACTTATCGCGGGGTTTTGTTGGAAGCCGTTTACCGGCATGGGTGCATGCATGACTGTTACTGGGGTGAGGCTAGGTGAAGCAGGCATGGATGGTTCTACATGGCGGACACTGGGCAGACGCTGACACTAGCAATCGCCTCAATTTTCTATAGAATTGACAGTGAAGGAAAATGACAAGATAAGAGAAACGATAGAAGGAGAGAAATACAATCAGTGATAGCGGAATTATCTCTTGGTTCTGTATCAATACTGCGGAGTGCTCTCAACCCTCGGCTTCCAAACCCGAGACCAATTGTCGTAAAGAACCCTTCCAGAACACACCGGTAAACATTGTAGCAAGCTTCTAGAATGTCTCTCAGGCACACATGTGCAAGGTGGAAAGACCCTGTACCTGTCAAGCCATTAAAGAAACCTCGAGCTGAAAATAGCGTGGATGCATTTGCCAATCAAGACCTCCAGCTTCAGACCATTCTGTAGTCTGAAACCAAGACGGCATATATCGAGCAACCAATTAGATGTCGGTATATCATCAGGAAGGTTATTGTGGCTTACAGAAGCTTAACTGCTAGCTAGTCTGCGGCTTTTGACAAATGTAGGTCGCTGATCTGGATATTGACAGGACATCATCAGCAGCATCAAGGGAGTTTGCACGCGCGACCTGCTTCACAGTATAAGGTTAATTAGTTAGTAAAGAAACGGATAAGTTAAATGGCCTTGTTGGAGGGATATCAGTCAAATGGGGGAGGATTAGGGTTGGCATAGGCTTCAGACAACCACCATGATTCTCACGCGCATACAAAGTCTGCACACAACGTCGCATGGAGTAAATAAATCAGCTTCAGTAGTGCAATGGGCTAACCAGCTCGGACATGCACATATTACTTTGAATGCATTAACAATCATGGGTCCATTCCAGTAACGAATCACGATTATGCAGATCAAGAAAGTGCTCATTAAAAGTTTATTAAATTCAGTTCTTAGCTTTTGGTACAAGTCTAGATAGGCTATGAAAACTCTATTGGGTGTTGGAAGGATACAGGAACTCCTCAAGCTCAAAGAACTCCTCCTTGACAAGACGAGGAGACACAAATCGCCGAAGCATGTCAGGGCTACCAGCTCGATCGTTGGTACCAGAGCTTCGAGCACCACCGAATGACTGTTGGCCGATGAGAGCAGCTGTTGTCTTGCAGTCTGTAGCCTGTTAGAATTGCGTGGAGAGTAGGTATGAGGATTGGAGGACTTACTGAGGTAAAAGTTACCGGCAGCGTAGCGAAGAGCATCCTCAGCTTCACGGAGGGCAGCACGGTCTTGAGCAAAGACGGCACCGGTCAAGGCAAGACCACCGCCGTTCTCATCAATGCTCTTGAGCATAGCAGTGTAGTCAGAGTCCTTGTAGACGTGGACAGCAAGAACAGGGCCAAAGATCTCCTCGTTGAAGAGTCGGTGATCAGGCGAGTCAACCTGGTAAACAGTAGGCTTGACAAAGTATCCAACCGAGCCATCGTACTTTCCACCAGCGATGAGCTTGACCTGGGGATCCTTGTTGCTCTCGTCAATAATCTTCTTGATCTTCTCAAATGATCGACCGTGAATCACAGGACCCATGAAAGCCTCAAAGTCCTTGTCAGGGCTACCTTGAGTGATGTCCTTCATCTTCTGCGTGATGAGAGAGAAGAACTCCTTGGCCTTTGACTCGGGAATGTAGGCGCGAGAAGTAGCAGAGCACTTCTGACCTTGGTACTCAAAGGCACCTCGGATAGTGTGGTTGACAACGTTGTTGATATCGGCAGAGGGATGGACGAGGTGGAAGTTCTTTCCAGATGTCTCGCCAACGACACGAGGGAAATCGCGGTATCGATTCTCAGCAATACCCTGACCAATCTTTCCGTAGATCGAGCGGAAAACCTCTGAAGAACCGACAAAGTTGAGACCGGCGAATTCGCGATGCTCAAGGACTGTCTCGGTAATCTCGGCAGCGTCGCCAGGGACGAACTGGATAACATCCTTAGGAAGACCAGCTTCCTGGAGGATCTTGTAGATGATGGTGCTGGGGTGAATGTTGTACTGCGAAGGCTTCCAGAGGACAACATTGCCGAGAATAGCGGGAGCGATCAGGTTTCCACCGATAGCGGAGAAGTTGAACGGCGAAACAGCGTAGATGAAACCCTCAAGAGGTCGGTAGTCAATTCGAGTCCAAATACCATCTGTTCCACGCTCAGGCTGCTTGCTCATGATCTCAGCGGCATAATGGCCAGCCAGACGGAAGAAATCCGCCAACTCAGCCGCAGCATCGATCTCTCCCTGCCAAACGTTCTTTCCCTGCCCCAACATCGTCGAAGCGATAAGTTCATATCGATACTTTGTAGTAGCAAGTTCAGCGGCACGCTGAAAGATAGCAGCACGATCAACAAACGGCGTGTTTTGCCAGTCCTTCTTCGCCTTGAGGGCAGACTCGATCGCAGCGTTGACTTGCTCCTTTGAAGCGAGGGGGTAGTTTGTGAATGTGGTGGCGTGTTCTGCGGGGAGGACTTGGTCTTCGTTGGCGTGGATCTTTTGGGATACGCCGTTGAAGATGATTTCGCTCTTCACGGGGAGTTGAGAGCGGAGTTTCTTGAGGGCTGCTTCTACCTTTGCGCGCTCAGGCGAGTTCTTTGTGTATGTGGGCTAAACAGTCAATATCCGAGATCAAATCGTTTTGGAGAGTGAGTCACTTACGTTGGGCTCATTGCGAGCGGCGGGGAGTCTGAAAGGCACAATCGTCGCATTGCCTCGCTTCTGCAGTGAAATCGCAGGCGTCGAAGCGCGAACACGACAGAGAGGAGTCAAACGACCCTTTGACGTCAAAGCACGAACTGAAGAAGCCATCTTGTAGTATGAGGAAATGCGATCTCGTACTGTACAGCTGCAAGTTTGATATGATGAACAGAGGAAAACGTAAACAGATGCGCTTCTACTGGGCGTTTTTATGTTGACATCACAACCTTATCCCACTGAAGTCGGGGCTGCAACCGAAACTTTTTAGTGGAGTGGAGGGGTTGATTCAGTTACCCCTCACAGCGCTACAAAGCCACTTTTTTGGGACCGGGCGGGGGGCCGACAGTGTCACAAGACGCTGGAGGCGCTGCACGGGAGGCACACCGATGGGGGGTTTTGGTGGTGGGGTTTGGTGAGTTTAGAAGGGTCGGTTGAGGATCCCGTGGTGTCGGTTTGGCCGTGCGATGGTGTTGGCGTAGCTGTATGGCTGTACAGATTAGGAGGGAGGGAGAGATGGCTGGGCTTGAGGGACTGTTCCAGGCATTTGTTGGCTTGGTAGCTACCCTTCTTTCTGGAATATCGCTATCATTTTTGCAAGGTGCTGTGTCTTATCGACACCAACACTTTGAGAGCCTCATCTGATCAAGCACTACTTACAACCATTTGTTATTCCTCCAAACAAAACACAATACCTCATGGAAAAACACCAAGATGTCGCTGAAACAACATTCAGTCGCAGCCATTTATGGAAGCCCATCGTTGGGGACATAGCAGCAGCAGCTATCTCTGCAACTCTAATAACACCGGTAATAACAGTGATTGACCAGTATGTCTCATGGCCTCCCATCACAAAAGTAAGCTAACAAGCTCCAGATCTATGGTAGAGAAAGTCTCATTCAACAGACCTCTTGTACAAGGCATGAAAGTTCACAGCTTGAACGCTATCAAACATCCAGGCCGCTTCATCTTCAGCCGTGCATTTGGCTACGTCTGGACTCTATACGGAGCGACGTATGCTGTGTCAAATGCATCAGACACACTCGCTCACGAGTTTCATAGAGCAGCTGTTGGAACAATTACCTTTGTCAATACGATGATAGTAAATGTCCCTCTTGGCGTGCTGAAAGATGTACGCTTTGCTCAAATGTTCAGTGCTTCAACAACGCCGACTGATAAAGTCGCTCCTGTTGTCAAGCCTGGCGTTCCTCGAGCCGCTACAGCTGCGTTCCTCATGAGAGATGCCGTCACAATCTTTGGTTCGTTCACGATGGCACCTTGGCTATCGTCTCTCATCCCTGATAGCCTGTCATCAAGCCCGCATTCCAAGGCCATTATATCACAACTGACAGTGCCCATCTTCTCACAATTCTTCGCTACCCCTGTTCACCTGCTTGGGCTGGATCTGTATGCCCGACCCCGGGGAATACCGTGGGTTGAGCGTTCGGCACAGATCCGGAGGGACCTCTTCTCAGCCACAATACTGCGGTCTCTGAGAATCATCCCGGCTTTTGGAGTAGGGTGTGTGGTCAACATGGAGGCAAGGTCAAGATTTCATAAGCTGCTATAGGGAAGCGCTTCTAGAAAGATTATTAGTACGGCGTGTAGAATGAAAAGCAGGCACAGGAATGCACACAGAAAGGGAAGACTAGTATAGTAGACCGGAGATAATTTGCACTTTGTAAACAGTCTAGCTTGGGGACGGAGAGAAGGCGCCTGGTTCTTTGGTATACAATACTTTCTATCGTCCACTGTTACTAGCTAAATCTATGAAGTCGGCCGTGTATCATTGACATGGGTAGTAGTCTCCATCAACCTTGCCAGAGTAACCGCTTCCCGTAGCGCACGTCCAAGATGGCCCCTGACTCCCGCTTCTTCTAGAACCATGATTCCTCCGATAGTGCAGCCCTCAGGCGAAGTCCCCTGGTCCCTCAGATCCCCGGGCTGCAGTCCACTCTGAAGCATTGCAGCTGAGCCCCTCATAGATTGATAGATCATGGTCTGTGCAGTAGCCCTGGGTACACCAACGGCCACGGACGCGTCAATGAAGGCGTCGCAGATGATAGCCCACATTGCGGGGGTAGATCCTCCAACGGCGGTGGTGGCGTTCATGAGACGAGGGGCGACTTCGGTGGTTCTGCCGATGGTGTTGAAGAGGTTCTTGGTGAGATCCATAAGCTCTTCTGGGACTTGAGGCTCGGTAGGTGATTTCTCAATGGCGATGAGACCCTCTGAGACCATGCATGCGATGTTGGGGAGAGTTCGGATAACCCAAGCTCTGCTAGAAATGTTTTCTTTGGTAGTCTCGCTTCCGTAGAGTGTAGATTCGAGCTTCTCCTTTGTCCACCCAGCAGCTACACTGATGAGAAGCTTACCAGATAAAGCGTCGCGAATACCGTCTTGGGTGAGAACATCGGCGATATCAGCTGGATCAACACCCAAGACGATCACGTCGCCATTTTGGACAGCTTTGACATTGTCGCCACGAGACACAGTCAAAATGCTGCTGTACTCTGAGAATTGGTCATTAAGTTTCGCCTCTGAACCTTCTGATCGCACACAAGCGATGATCTTTGTGAAAGGTAAATCTGTCTTGCCGTCCTTGATGGCAGGAAGTAAATTCTTCACAATAGGCTTTGTAATGTTTCCTAAAGTCGTCAGTCAAAGTACTGCAGACTCATTGGGCGCTCATCTTACCGGTTCCCAGAATGGTGAGTGTGGCATTGCTAAGACCAGCCATGGTTGCGATATCTGTGGTGACAGGGAACACGATTCAAGGCTGTAAAATATACAGTCTTATTCGCCAAACGATCAGACAAATTGCAGCCTACCAAAGAAGTACATAAACATGAGATAGGCGCCCGATCTTGTGACCTCGCACGAAGAAATAGACCAAACCACGACTGGAAAGACGTTGACAAGTCGTGCAGATGCAGGAATGTTATCTCTTTGTTTTGATGAGGGGTAGTATCAACGGGAGCGCTGCCGATGGTTGATTGCTGAACCGTGGGGTAGAGCTAAGCTCCGCAGTTACAGTAGGTTACAGGGCAGGGAGGGCTACGGGACCCTCACCGGCGCCACTGGATGTGCGATGGAACACGTTTCAGTGCTCGTGACACTTTGTGAAGATGGAGGAATTGAGTTTCTGGATGAGATACCCCGCTTTTCGAGTGCCGACAGCATTTACAATGTGTCATTGACAAGAGAGAGAGAGAGAGATCTGCATGGATAACAAGAGGCGTGTGAGGTGGACTGCACTGCACTGACAGCCATGTTATCTCCCAGCTAAGACATTCTAGCGCTATCGGAGCGGTGAATGATGGAGCATCCCTTGCAAGTTGAACATGTACACTGAACGAATACACAATGGCACAGATCAAATTCTAGAATTAATTCCATTCTCAACTAATAATTCTTTGTAATTATAAACACTTTTTGCCTATCGCCAGAAAGCCAAACGTCTCCAAAGCTCGCTCTTCAACGCCGAATACTCATCCAGCGTTCTAGCAGCAGCATCCCTATTCTCCATAGCCCTTCTCGTGAGATAAGCCATGCACTCCGGAAGCGTACCCCACGTAGTGCACTTATAAACCTCGGGAGCCACCCCCGCATCGTCCTTTAGCTTCAGCAGCCCGAAGCTAACCTCGTCCGACATGCCATGGAGCTGCGCAAACTTGACCGGCACAGTCGGAAGACCCGCCTTTGTGCGCTGCTGGTGCGTTTCGTGAGCTTTGACCAGCGACTCTTTGTTGTGGCTCGCTAGAAGGAGCTGTGCGGAGGGGAAGGGCTTGGTGGTGCCGAAGGAGCGGAATTCTTGACGGAGAACACCCTGGGCGATTTGGTTGTAGGAGTCGTCGGTGTCTTGCTTTGTGTCGTGGATTAGGGAGCGGGGATCAGAGGCCATGTATGCGCCACGAACGACCTTGATGCCCAGTGTGAAGCCCTTGTCCAGAGCAGCTTGGAGATGTTTGGCTAAAGTGTCGTGGGTGCTCTTGAGGTAAGCTTGGTAAGTGTTGTAGAGAACGACCTTGCCGTCGGTGTTGAACTTTTGCTGGAGTTCCATGCCGAGACGGAAAATGCCCCATTGGTAGTGCTGCGCTTCAGCGTCGATGAGGATGTATGCGCCGCGGTCTTTGCACTTTTGGGCGATCTCGTGGCAGCCGTCGACGAATTGCTTGGGGAGTTCGGCGCCGTTGGCGAAAGCGTCGCAGACTCCAGGTCCAGCGCCTGTCATTCTGATAATCTGTTAGTGTCTGACATGGTGAAGGATAGAGATAGATATCTGGACTCACTTGACAGCCAATTGATCGCCCTCGCGGAGCAGCTCGACAGTCCTGACAGTTCCCTCCCTCCACGCCTCAATATTCTCGCACCACTGACTCTCATTCGAGCTTGAGGCTTCGATACCAAAACCCTGGCCTTTGCCAGTTTTCGCATCAAAGACGGTCTCCTTTGCAAATGTAAGAATTGTTCCCTTGAATCCCATGTCCTGCAATGACTTCATGGTGCTTTGTGTCTCAGCGCCAGTCTCACCAGCGCAGAACTGCTTGTAAAACGTATGCTTCAGCAAGCTTCGCAGTAGTGGGTTGCGGTCAACATTGAAGAGATATGGGTTTGCAGGGTTGGAGAGCTTTTGAAGGAGATGCAGCGACGGGATGAGGAGCCATGGTCTTGAGGATATGGAATTGACCAGGAGAGAGCGGTAGAGAACCGAGGGAGGGAGTTCTGAAAGTGGTGATTCTGCGCCTTTGGCGACGGGTGTGTTTGTGCGTGTCGCCTCAAGCGCTGCGGCGGCGTTGGTGGAGGAGGAGCGAACGAGCGCGATGAGGCTATCGCGCCGCACTCGCGAAGTAGGGCGGAGTGTGAGGGTGAGGCCTTGAGCGGCGCGTGAACGAGTAGTAGTTGACAGTGTTGTCATGTCAGGCACTGAAAATCTCTTGACAATTCTTACTGTGCTGATGGAAATTGCGTTGGTTTAGAGAGGAAGAAAAAGGCAGTGGCAGTGACAGTGATAAGATGTGCTTTTTTGAAGTGAAGCATCATAACCTTATCATCTATTTTACTTGCTACCCCCCCATCTCACGCGGCTCTAGCAACCTTTTGGCCACACCCTATCGGCACTCCAACCGATACGCTTTTCCTTTGAACAAACACCGCGGGGAAGCGGGGTAAATCGTCACATGGACATCTTATCGGTGTCTTTTTTTAATTCCATTATCTTTAGCGAGGTGCGTTGGAGGTCTAGACTTGGGAAGCGGGAGAGTTTCCCGATGGTCTTCGCTAACCCCACCTTGGTCGCGCATCACAAGAGATATGCTAGTCTACGGGAATGGCACCGCTGGTCGTGGGATCTTATCACATCTGTACAAGTTAGTCCGCATGCGGGAGTTAGGGGGCAGGGCGTGATACGCCATGCATCGGCTTGTCCTGGCGAAGGGCAGGGGTTGGGAACTTGGGTCTCGGGTTTGTGTTACGCTAGAAGCCGTTTTGCATATTCTAGTTTATACCGGAGGTCTGACCGGCGTAGGATGGAATTGGATACGGGTGTTTGTATGGTGAAGGAGGCATTGGGGTTGGTGGGGAGCGGTTACGAACGGATTTAGCTGTGCGCCAGTGACCTTGGAACGTGCATTGAGTTTGGGGGTCGTGTTATTGTCATGTAGTCTTGTGCGATCTGCATGTTCTCGAAGTATCTGAGGTGCATGTCGGAGGTCCGATACGGAGCCTCCAAATATGTTATCTGCTTGCTCGTTAATTGTCGATCACGGACCAGAAGTACCGGTGAAGAACCCTGCTGTTGGGGCGGCCTTTGGAAATGAGATAGCTGAAGGAAAGTGTTTACATCATGATGAACCTTCTCTCAGTTCTCTGGATATCACTGAAGCCACATTATGTGTGCACCGTTCGGCAAGGCTGTACGCGTTACGAACAGGTTTCATAAGGTTATCATGAGAGTCTCACAGATATTGAGTGTTTTTAATCCTGTCAGTGTCTTCCACTGGTGATTCAGTATCGACATTCTTTACTGCACGTTCCGAACCACCACATCTAACGATTTCGCCACATACTCAACGTTGTGATCATTCAGTCCTGCAAGACTTATCCTTGACGTATTTGCCATGTAGATGTGATATTGCCCTAAAATCATGTCAGTATACATCTCAAAAGATAGAAAGACTACTTACCCTCCAAATGTTCAATTTGAGACTTGTTGATACCAGTGTAGCCGAACATGCCAGTTTGGTTAACAATATGCGACCAATCTCCCGGGGTTCCCAACCGCACAAGCTCGTCATACAGCTTTTTCCTCATCGACCTGATTCTTGAGGACATGGTAATAAGGTCCTGGTGCCACTGTTTCAAGAGCTCGTCGTTTCCAAGAACAGTAGCTGCGATTCTCGCTCCGTAGACCGGAGGATTTGAGACAGTCTGTCGTTGAGCATTCTGGAGCAGTGAGAACACCGTTCGCTTAGCGTCCTCAGACTTTGTCACGATCGCTGTAAGACCAACTCTTTCTCCGTAGAGACCCATGTTCTTGGCGAAGGACATACATATCGCGGCTTCGAGACCGAGATCTTCGATGATGTACTTGATCGCCCATGCATCTTCATCGTAGTTACCTGAGTTGAAGCCAAGATACGCTGAATCAATGATTGGGAAGATTCCGTTCTCTTGGATCACAGCTCCTATTTGTTTCCATTGGTCACGAGTTGGATCGCAGCCCGTTGGGTTATGAGCGCATGCGTGGAGAACAACAGCAGAACGCTTATCGGCTTTCTTCAGGGCGCCGATATAACCTTCAAAGTCAAAGCTTCGATCTTTGTAGTAGGGCGCTTTTACTACGTTGAAGCCGATTTCTTTAAATAGAAGGTCGTGATTTGACCAGGTTGGATCTGTGATGATGATGTTCTCAATGCCTGAGTTGGCCTTGCGAAGAACAAGACCGGCTAGAAGGAGAGATCCAGTTCCGGAAATGGATTGACAACTCGCAATCTGAGAACTATTAGCGATCAGACAAACATGAGAGCTCACTTTGGCTTACTCTGTTCTCTTTGAGTGCAGAAGTATCATGGAACAACAACTTGGTAGCCTCATCTCTGAAGCTCTGCAAACCCTCAATAGGTAAATACTCATGGCCAGCATTGCCGATCAGCTTCTCAGCCTCCCTCACCGACGGAAGAACCCAAGGCTTAGCGTTCTCATCTCGATATGTGCCTTGTCCAAGGTTCACCTTCTGAGGGCTCTGGTCGGCGTTGAAACGCTTGGTCACTTCAAAGATGGGGTCGGGCGGGATGTATTCCGCTGCACCAAAGGCTGAGTGCTGTTGAGCGGACATTGTGATGTACGAATGTGGAGACAATGTTGTTGGATGAATATGGTAAGCTTGAGATAGTATGTCGGCAGGTTGAAGCGATGCTGTCCCTTTTGTTATAAGTTCTCAGTGGAAATGTCGGCGAGTGAGCCCGGCGTGGGGGCTGGATGACTCGGTGGAGGCGGTCCGACGTGTTACGGGCAGGGATCCGATCCGTTGACGCAGCGCAAAACGCATCGGCTGTCATCCGGTTTCTGACCTACTTATCGCATTCCTACAGCCTATCTAATTACATTATCCTTTCATAATGGATAGTAGTTTTCGCTGGGATGAGTAGTTGGGCTTCTTGCCCAGTGTTGGGCTTCTGCGCAAGTGCATCGTGCTGTGACAGAACTACCAGCCATAATCCCAATCAATAGCGTAGCGATTACTCCGTATAAATCGCCTGGATCAATAAATATATTTTTTTAGACCTCACCTGCAATGCGATTGCATCACTGTTTGTAACTCCCAGCCTATGATGTTGTATTCCTTGACTACATCGGCCATTCCACACGAGGCTGAAGTCCTAGTCTACATTCTGCCACCCTTTTGTTCTATCATCCAATACCCATCACGGATCTTTTCCTGGTCATCCGGAATGGATGAAACTATACTGGAGGCCATCCCGTCATGAGTGACAAAGCTTCTTTCTATCGCAGTCTTGGTGTCAAATAAACGGCATATATTTATTCACGCATCCAAATCTAGAAGGATGAGCAGTGTCAGGCTCATTGCATGACCTGATAGGTCGACTTTTGAAGCCAAGGATTCTGTCTTACAACGAATTGACCAACATGGCAGCATGCGCCGCTCCCCGACGGATCACGGGATGTGAGATCGTAAGCAGTATAAGCAATTGACGTATGTCTGAACACTTCACAAACGTTCTCACTCTTTCAATGGTATAACCAAACTTCGCGATGGCCTCACTCGACTCTTTACCCAGTGAGATCCTTCTCCAAATCATCTGCGACAGTTCTCCCCAAGAAGTATGTCGTCTCAGTTACACCTGCAGACGCTTGGCATCAGTCGCTGGAGGCTGTCTCTGGAGGGACATTGAACTTCATGAGAGGGGATATCACGAATCGAGCGCAGAGCTCAACGAACCAGCACCATACAAATCACCCAATCGGTTTTACCATGATTCCAAAAGGGATGGCTGGCAGAGCGATATCAGCGAAAGAGCCGAGAGTCTCTTCACCATGCTACAGACGCTCCACACTCACGATGAAGGACGCTTGAGGGACGTTGCTGGCAGAGTGAAGAGTCTGTGCACCGTGATTGAGCCAGAGTGGAAGCCCACTGAAGGCTCCGTGGCAGAGCCAGTCTCTGTTTGGAAGCTCTTACCTTACTTTAAGAACCTTGAATACTTGGAGCTTCACGGCATCTATGGAACTTTCGACCACCGAGAGCTTGAAGAGATACGAGAAAGGCCATTGAGGAAACTACGCTTTGCAAAGCTCTTCGCTTACATCCCTCGAGCTGTTTCAACTTACGTTCTGCAGTCTCATGAAACACTCGAGCGCCTGGAGCTTGGTATGTTAGATCAGCCAATGCCCATCAAAGTCGATCTGAGTGAACAAGATGCGGAAAGTCATGGTCGATGGGAACATGAACCCAGGGGAATCAGCCCAAGGCCACTTGCGCATTTCGTCTCCGATACCCAAGTTCCTTTCCAAAGCCTTGAGCACTTATACTTATGTTCACCGTGCGATAGCCATGGTGATTACTTCAACCAACAAAATTCATGGTCGACGACCGCAGAGCTGGACAGTCTCGAGGCATGGAAAAGACTCATTTTGGCGTCTAGTCGGAGTCTTGAGACCCTTGTGGTCGAACATCGACCGGAAGCAGGAATTGAAGACAACGAAGGGTTCTCTGAGGACGAGTTTCTCTCCACAGGAAAGACTGGTGCTGGCAATAGGGCGTTGGTGGATGCCATCGGGAACATTATCATCAATAAGGAGACCCTTCCCAGGTTGAAACAAGTGTATCTGTATGGATTTGTTGCTGGTAGATCATCTGAAGCATCGTCTGCCAAAACACCGGGAGACTGGTTGATACATGGGTTGGGAGTGAGAGAAGTCACCTGTGAAGCCAGAAGGGGAAAATGGTGTTTGTTCGATCAGGATTCAGGTGAAACAAAATGGGCAAAGTGGACTGGAGATGGAAATAGCAATCTTCACGATGGCTATATGGGTGTCCGGTGGTACTCGCTTCTGGCTCAGGTGTAGAGGTACAAGGCGGTATTTAAAGCCTTCTTCATCTTTATAGCAGGAACTGGAGCAAGGCTGGAGGAATAAGTCAACAAGGGTCAACGACTATTGTTTGACGATGTTGCCGTCAACCTGAGAATGATTAAGGAGAGTGAGCAAACCTCAAAAAAGATTAACAAAAGAATAAAGTGAAGGAAACCACCCTTATATGCCTTCACACGGGATCGAACCGTGGACCTTGTCATTACTAGTGACACGCTCTACCACTGAGCCATGAAGGCGCCTTCTGATTGGATAAAATTCTTGAACTTTGTTTTTCAATAAGATCATAATTCCCCAGCAGCCTCTGTATAATCTCGATGTCTACTATTCCAACCAGTTGACAGCAATCTTCTTCCACTTACTCGAGCAAGGCTCCAACAGGCGTAGAGAAAGATATTATTTAAGAATTTGACGTAGAAGGTTATGGTTTACTGCTTGTGCGCATCAAGTGCAGCAGCCTTATAAGCTATTATTTTCTCTATGCAAACCGCCATTGTAGCAGGGTTTTAAGCTCATACCTATGTATCGGTAAAGGTGCCGTTAAGCCGACTTTTAATAAATATGGCCGCAGTAGCGCCCTCTTTTTCGTAGGTCGTGTGCTTGCCCACCATTTTAATGAACCAGATCAATAAACCCACGGGGCCAAATGCGGTTTCCCAGGGGACCCTCTTGTCACAAAAAGCATCGCCTTTTTTGCAGATAACGAGAGTGCGCGACTTGGGGATTCTCCCCATCGATTTCTTCTTCCTATATCCCAGTGTAACAGCTACGTAGAGGTGAAGTCAGTGGCAAGTTGTCAGTGCTGTCAAGGACATAGCACTAACCAGCAGTTATGCGCTGCGTCATCTCCTCACTTAGGTTTTCAGCAGCTTTATGCAGTACCTTCCCGCCCACGCTGTAGCCGGCGAGGACAATCTTGGTATTGGGACACTTGGTTGCGGCCTGTAAGCGCGGTGTCAGTATCATCATCACCACTGTTGCCTCCTCACATCTTGACGTACCCGTTTGACAAGCTCAGCCATGATCAAGCCGCCTTTTGACTTGTTTGGTGCTACCCAGTCGCGTATGTTCGCCGAAAAGTTCACACCAGCAATGGCCAGGTTTTCCGGGCCAATCAACTCGGCCAGATGGTTGAATATCATGGGGCCGTCATCACCAACCTTTCCTACGTTGCCTTTCTGCTTCAATCCTCGGGCGAAGATCATGGTGACATTGCGGCAGGGCGTCCCGTCGTCGATCTGGTTATAAGTTTGGTTGCCGTATGGGTGTCTTCCCTCGTACTTTGGTGGACCCTTTTTGCAGCGTTTGACGTGGGGTTGGAAATGCGTATCGGGTCCAGGGATAGCAAGGGACATTGGCGGCTCTACGACGGGAGCCGCATAGATAAGGGCCGCAAGGGCGATGAGAGTATGAGTGGGCTTCATGAAGGATAAAGGATTTGCCGACCGAGGGCCGACTGACCTGTCGCTGCAGAGCTCTACAGACCAGAGTTAAATCACAGAAGACAATGAGGAAGCATTCAGGAACAGAGAGAGCGGGGGGTAGCTTGCCATTATATGATTAAGCTTTCGTCCTTGTTCTTGTTGCTTTTCTGCCTCGCTCTATGAAGCCGCCCCCGTACCCTTATCCCCTTTAACAGGCCGAGAGTCGATCCGATGTCAGTCTTCAGGCGACAAATGTCATATACTAAGTATGTCTTGATTGAGTTCATGTGTCTTTTTTGTGTGGCTTTGAGCCCCTGTCAAGAGATAAGTAATACTGTAGCCACATATCAAGCAACAAAATCATAGCGCCATTTCAGCACAACCACAATATAAGGGCGTCATACACTACGCCAAAGAAACCACAATGGCCTTGATATCAAGGAAACAGATCATGCTTGACATCATTTTCAGGATGGCGCAGAGTGGAGATTTGAAACATCAAAGGGTTGCATTCCTTTTTTCGGCCCGTCTTGAAGCCTCTGCCCGGCTGCTGCAACTTGTGTCACCAAACACGGTTCAGTCATCTAATAAATCTTCATGATTGAATAAAGGTATATAATAGCATAAAAAGGCTTCATCAAAGAAATCATTCAACCCACTGCCAGCTATCTATCCACATATCCATCCCATCCTACCCATCATCGTGTCCTACCATCATAAAATACATCGAAAAACGCCTCGCTCTCTGAACCTTAGTTTTTGGTAGAGTATGGCTGAGGGTTATAGGGACGCGATACCAAAGGGTCGTTGGACTGATATCCCGTCATGTTGACTTCGGTTGTAGAAGCATTGCGGTTGTCTTTCTTGAAGATGAACAAGATCGCCTTCAAAGAATCGGAGGGGTTCATCATGGCCAGCCAAGCGTGGATACCGAGAGGACCGCCCTGGTATGACCCCTCAGGAATGTTGCCCTGTTCCAACTTGGAAAAGCTTCCCCGGCCATGACCAGACTTGTAAACGCTCCATGGGTAGGCAAACATGAAGAACAGCGACAGAGGAGCCATTTCGATGCAGATGACAAGGTTGGGAATGCCAACGTGAACATCAGCGTAAGTGAGCGTCTCGCTGGTCTTGAGAACGTTCTGGTCGTTGAGAACGGTGAAGATGATCTAAACGGTCAGCTCCATGCTAGAAAGGTAAGAAGGGATAGATCTTACACCCTGGATAAAAGTTAAACCGACTACAATCTTGAAAGCAGTGAGCTTCAACATCGGGTTATGATGGGCGAGGTCCTTCTTGAGAAGCATGTACATCTGTAGGATCGAGAGGACTGAAATGACGAGGGAAATCGACATGATGATTCGGAGGTAGATGTTGGCGAAGTGTCGGTCGTTGCTCTCTTGACAGAAGATACCGGCAGCTTGGGTAATATCGGTAGCGACTGCGACACCGATTGCGATGACGGGCATCTGAAAGATCATGACCCAGCGTGTCTGAAAGACAGTCAGTAAGAATTCCAAATACTCATAGTAGTCAACCATACCTTGAACCACTTGATACCATTCTTCTTCTTTGTAGCAAAAAATACGTCTTGTTGGTCGCGGTTCGGAGAGACATAGTCGCAGAGGAGGAGGAAGAAAGATCCGAGCGCGAAACCCTCGTAGACGTGTAGCCAGGGCTCGATGTAGACTGCTGCCTCGGGAAAGCAGATGCAGAGGAACGAAATGATGGAGAACGCTGAAATGAGTGTGCCGATTCGCATGATCCTGAGAATGTTAGCGCGTATACTACCTAGATTGGAGAGTTGGCTGCGCGTACTTGACTTGTTCTGAAGGGTTTGATAGATGCGTTGCGTGCATCATGTTGATGAAGAACATGACAATCAGAGCAAAAGCAGCGAAAGATCCGCCAATGATCATACTCAGCTGGTAAAAGCTCAAGCTACCTGTGATATTCTTCTCAGCATCTATCGAACGTTAGCTAGAGGTCCACGCGTCGGCGGGGCTGGCAGTACCTTGGGCGAAAGAATGCGTCGGACAAGTAACGTTCGACTTCTCGTCGTCACCGCTTCTAAAAAGACCCATCGTAGTGTTGTTCTATAAAGTCGAGAAAAAAGGAAGAAAGGAAACAAGTATATGTTGAGGTGTAGTCGCTTGTCTATTGTGAAGATGAGATGTGAGTATTCGCAACCGGCGACAAGCTCAATATATACAAATCGCAACGGCGTCATCCCCAAGCTAAACCCCTGTAATGAAACCCTCAGATACTAATCTAACCGCAGTATCAGCATAGCCAGCTATGGATCAGCGTCAGCCCTACGGCATAGCTCTCCCACCAAAACGGCCATTGATACGACCGATCTGCCGACATTGACACCTTTTCTGTGTCGTTGAACAACGGGGTGCTCCGCGGGCTTGTCCGGTAGATGCAGGGATCAGCGTGTCAGCCTCCCATAGCTTGCCAGGGGTTAGGGAGCTTGGGACATGTAGAGCTGCTGTGATTTGTTGGTTTGAGTGAGAGCGGCCGGCTGGCTTACTTTTGTGGCTGTACCCTGTCGACGTGAAAAGTCGGTATTGTGAAGAGGTGATAGGACAATGAGAGGAGTTGAATCCACTCTGTTCAACGCTCTGCCAAGAGATTCACCTGGACCCTCAAATATCCTTCTCAAGCTTAGCTTCAACCATGTCCTGGCTCGTGATAGGATCAACAAGCTCTCCAATCCCAACGCGAAAAAAGACTGCTTTGATGAGATCTCAAATTGAAACAAGATAGTTACATTGACGCTTGTTCTTGCGGCCTCCCAGGCAGTGCGAGATCGGCAGTTGCTGTTCGAATGGATTCCTGCTTTTAGCATTTCCATTCGAACGTGGCTTAGAGGAGTGACGATGTCGCTCGAATGGCTCGTCAAAAGCGGTCTAGCTTCACGTTGATCAAAACAAAACCCCACCAAGCGTTTAGATAAGGCGGGAAATCGGCACGATAAGGAAATTATCGAAACTTTTGCTCAATGCGGTTTGAATTAGGGACGATCACATCGATTTGGTTTCAGGGCATCAGATTATCCATGTTTAAAGGATCTCAAAGGATCCGCTAGGCAGTGTTTTTATTTCTCTTGGAAAACCTCTACCGAAGCCTTGTCAATGTATCCTTGCCGCTAGCTTGACGTGAAGGTGTCTTGAAGCTTCGTGTGACATACCCTATACAACGTAACTCGCGTTAGTTCGCGGACCAACAAAGTTACTCTTTGAGTGTTGTCGACAAGGGTGTCCAGATTAATCTTCATTTTAGAACAGATCGAGATCAAGTTAAGACTGTGGTTTGGCTGAGCTAGGAAAGTCTAGAAATCACTATGGGAACGGAGAGTCGGAGGATTTGTTGCCGCTTCTTCCTATCGCGTATTCTTGGAAGTGGGAGAACGCTACCTGCAGTCATGATTGATGTTTCTTACACGACTTTATTTCTTCGACTAACTTGACATCTCTTCTCCTCGTGATACGTGGGCCCTAGGATTCCCATACCAATGGAGGCTATGCGCACTTCCCCTCCTACGCTCACTTCTTCACTTCAGAGCCGACCCTGCATGTAACCCTCCTACACTGAAGTCAGTAACTACATATCCAATCAGTCATTTGGAAACGAACCTGTAACAAGCATATCTGCTCCTGTTGTAAACGCAGCTGCATCGCTCAGCAAATAGCACACCATAGGTGTCAAATCCTCCGGCACGCCCAGCCGCTGCAACGGGGCTCCATTTTCGTACCAGTCAAGAATAGCCCTCTTCTCTCCCTGCAAGCGTGCCAACAAAGGGGTTTGGATCGCGCCTAGCCCATGGTTAGTGGAGTAACTCAGATTGTCGAGTGTGACTTGCCTGGCGAGATGCAGTTGACCCTGATGCCATATTGTCCCAGCTCGCCGGCCAGAGGACCCATAAGGCCCTTGATAGCAGCCTTACTGGCATTGTAAGCGGATTTTGGTTGCACTGGAACGTATAGACTTTGTGCATTGATGCTGGCGATCGCAACAATACTCCCAGGAGTTTTGGTCTCGACAAGATGTTGCGCAAGGAGCTTGATAGTCCAGTATATCCCTGATGTATCCCGCTGGCTTGTGCTTCTGCTTCAACTTCCTAATTACTTCGCCTTTTCATGGACCCCAAAATGGCTTGCTCAAATTGCCATGTCTGACCATGAGCTTCACTAAGCCCCCACTATCCCAATTCCAGTACTGGTGTCAGCTGCCCAATTCAGCCAAGCGCCATAATCATCATGTTTTCACGACGGCGCAGCAACGCGTTGCGACACGAAAGCACTCATCAGAAAACATTACAACCTACTCATCCTTTGGCCTCGCAACTACCAAAAGTCACTTGATCCGTGGAGATCTAGAGATTCTGTTTTCGCCGTTATTGAGTCGACTCAGTCTGGGCTGACACGATGGTCCGCGCGTCTGCACTTTTAATCCTGAGCCTTTTCGGCTCGGCTCTTGGTGTCGCAGCGCCGCAGTTCGACCAAGGGGCAGAGCTACGCAAGTCAGAGTGCGATGCAAGTAGCTCGCATAAAATCTAAGAGTTCCCAACTAACATATACCTTAGAATGGCTGCTTCGATGCCAGCTTCCCCGGCGGTTCATGTACCAATGATCCAGCCTGTATGTGCAACCAGAAGAAGTACCGCGAGGCGTATTTCTGCTGCATGGCTAAGAAATGCGACGCAGATGTGATGCCTGGTCAGTATAAGAAAGATTCCAAGACTAGACACCTCTAATAAGCTGTGCGCAGAATCTGTCGAGCGCCAACATACAGAATGCCAGGCCAGGAACCTCGACTTTACCTTTGACGCTGAGAAAGTTTGCGGTATCAAGTTGGAGGCGAGCAGTACCTCTGCAGCTGCGTCAACCACGAGAGATACCATAACTACTTCACGTTCTTCAGATGGATCTTCAGCAACATCGGTCTCGGCCTCTACGACATCAGATGCAGAAAGTACAAGTAGCACTGAGGCCGCCAAGAGTGCTTCAAGTACCGCTCAGGAATCATCTACAGGTGGTGCAGCACCTGTAACTGACAGTGCATCACGGTTGGGTGCCCCTCTTGGGGTACTGAGTATGTTATTCATTGTCGTTGGGATACTTAACTAGGTCGAAGTACTTGGCTAGATAAACATCCATGACAACCTTAATTAACAGTGCCACTATTCCTCAAGATCTTCCGCCCGCTCAATCTAGAGGTCTTTTCCCGTAAGTTGAGTATCTGTTAGGTTAGCAGTTGGACTTCAGTAGGATATGCTGCACCTACACCGGCCAATAAGCATGAATGGTCCTGTCATTGAGGTCCCTTCTGACCTTTGCCAAAAAGACCGTAACCTCTTCCTGAGTCCACCCCAGAACTCTCGTCAAAGCTGCCATAGACAATGCTTCAAGGCCCTTGAAACTATCCATATTCAGATTGTTCCACTCACCAATCTCCTTATACCGTTTATCCAGAGGCCAACGGTTCGTCGGCCACTTGAAGACTGTCTCGACGATATCCACAAATCCCGCATCGCGTAGAATATCTTTGTTCTTTTTGTTATCCTGGAATGGGCGGCCAATCTTGGTGGATGCTTCGTCGAGAAGATGGATAAGCTTGGAGAGATGATGATCTTTAGTGAGGGTCTTGTCATCTGAGTGGGCAAAGAGATCGATTTCAAGAAGCTCTACATAACCGCCAGGAACAAGATTGCTAAGTGGAGCTAATCAGCATTATACAACCTCATGCCACTATAACTCTTACTCGTAAATGCTGCTAGCAAGTTTAGGCCAACTCTTGATGCTGAAAGTCATCATTCGACTGTGAACATAGTCGAATGGTTCAGAGAAGTTCCACGGCTCTTCGATATCATCGATAAAGAACTCCACGTTCGGAGGAACACTAATCACTGTTAGCAGGTATCCTGCAGCGTTAAATGGGAGAAATACAAATCAGGCTGAATTGGCGAGAGGTCGACACCAATCACTTTTGCTTCGGGATGTTCGTCGGCATAGTCGATGGCCCATATTCCTGTCCCGGTCCCAACGTCAAGAACCCGTTTGGCCTTAGAGTTGGGATCATTCGGAGGTGCGAGGCCGAGCTTGTTGTCGAGCATTAAGATAAACAGGTTATGCTGCAAGTCTAGCTGAAAGGATCAGTAGTGAAGTCGGTCTGTCGAGACTTTGCCATACCGAGCCTCTCCTTCTCGACGTCGTCATTAGGAAGGTTATACTCTGTACCCGTTAGTTAACCGCAACATCACAAAACCGAGTGGGACTGACTCCCATCCTTATATCGATGATAAGTCCTGCCGTTTTCCTTTCGATAGTCTAGAATGGAGCTCCTCAAACTCTCAGACGTGGATGCTAGGCTCTTTTCCACTAGGTCAGCTCGTCAACAACAAAGATTGGTGAGAAGTGGCCTACCGATCCAATCGACGAGTCGTGCTCACCATCCGACTAAAATTCTTGGTTAATGAGTCTCCCTGTCTTTCTCAGCACTGGTGGAAAAACCTGTTCATCCGGTACAAGGTCAGGCTCCGCGTTGATAGTTGGTTCGGCCATTTTGATGCAAAATATTTAATCACGCAACGTTGAGAACTTCCCCGCCCGGAGAAATCATGATTTTTATGAGGAAGTCAGAATCCCAGTCGGGATTTGTCATCCTGTTGGTTGAGTTCGTCGCGCATATGCAGATGGGTTACCAGGGTTTGATCATACGACCTCCCAAAGCAGTGAACGTTTTGGATAAGGCCTAACTGTTTCGTTCAATCCAAACCATGATGAGAGTTCTATAGGGGCAATTTGTGTCTGATGATACAGCTCGTACTCTGGGATTATTTAGATAAAATGGTTACTCAATCGCTATGTTCGTCATCACGCAAGCACTCGTTCTATGCACAATAGTTGCCCAAATAACCCTCATTGGCACTCTATCTAACCCCTCATCCATCTACCCTAATACTCGCCAGATACATGATTTCAAAAACCTCGCTGAACATTTCCCCTGTTATGATATCGAATTCCTCCCATCGATTCCGCTTTTTTTGTAGGCTTTCCTCGACTTTTCATATTTTTTCTAGTTGGTTTTCTCTTTTTCTTTCAGAAGTCGCCCTGGTACTACATCAACTACCGACTGATCCTCTTGAAAATAGAAGACCGGGAAACTTATTGACAAGCTACCTAGGACATCCTTACCTAGTAGTAGTGGTCGTGGTGATGGTGGCCATGGCTCTCACGACGGCTCTCACGACGACCCTGGCGGCGGGGTTCGTCCTGGCCACGGGGAGGCTGGCCCATCTGGAAGTACTGGGGGCGTTGCTCCTCTTGCTGAGCAGGATACTGCTGAGTGGGGTGACGACCACCCGGATTGTTCTGCAACTGCTGGTACCGCGGAGCATCTTGGAAACGTGGAGCGGCCTGGAAACGGGGCTCGCCCTGGCGCTGAGTTCCATTCTGTGGCTGAGTTTCATTCGGGAACATATACGCACGGGCACGCTGCTGCGGGGGCTGGCCTCTAGGGGGATATTTGCGCTCGTCGGTAGCTCTCTCTTCCTCACATGGAGGGCAGATCCAGTAACGCCATTCCAGCTTCTCCTCGACTGGAGTATTACACCCTGGACAAGTAGTGGTGATCGCGGGGTCGTAGCGAGAAGCGTTGTCCTTGACGGCTCCGCAAAAGAAACATTCGTGCATCCAGAAGGTGATGGGACACATGGTGAAGGATGGGGAAGAACTTTACGTTTGAAAGCTGATGGCAGTGTTTGGTGAATAACGGTTGAGATGGTATCTGAAGGTTGCTGTGGAAGGCTGTTGTCAAGGTGGATGAGATGATGGATGATGATGGATTTGGATTTGGAGGCGATAGGATGGGATATTTAAAGAATTTCAGTCAACAGTCCATAAGTGATAAGATGTTCTCTATTACTCATACTGAATGTTGATGTTCAGCATGACAAAGAGTTTAATATTCGCAATTATTGATCATGCAATCTGCGGATGTTCGAACTTCCGGAACGAGAAGTTGAACATAATTCGACCAGCAATGATGTCGAATCTCTTGACCACCATTGGATGGCATTTCGATTCTCATGTAAGCCCTTCATTGAACGTGACACTCATCACTGTTGTTTATCCTGTCGTCGAAAGAACAATGACCATATCGAGGTTTTGACAAACAATGATGTACAATATGGACCTCGGACAAAGAATAAATGGCTGAACAAATCACGTCAATGCTGAATTGGGCGCTGGCTTTGGAAAATAAGCATTACTTTACTAGTTATTATGGCTAATAGGATACTGATCATGGTGGGAGATCTACCAACGGCTCGTGATTGCCGAATTAACAAAGAAATGAGTCTACAAGTAGCGAATACATAGCTAGTACCCTGTTCGTACACAACACTTATATACCCTAGTAAAACGACCGATTATTGGACAGCTCGTCAAAAGTCTTGGTCAAACCATGCAGCCCACAGCCAGTGATATTTACTGACTGCGAGCCACCACTTTCAGGCAGCACTTGAGATTTCATGGACTCTCAAACTCCTACGTTGACCAATCACTCCGCTCCCAGGGAATCTCTGGCTTTGAGTCCATTGAACGGTTCGGAAGTCTGCTATCTTGAAGTTAGATACATATTGACTACTCAAAACCACTCCAAGTCTTCTGGACAGCGCTCCAATATCTCGCCTCGTCCTTTCTCGCATGTGCAACATGAAGAGACCCATCAAACTTCTCCAGATGAACATCAAAGCCCAGCTTCTCCGCCTCAGTAGCTTGCGCCTCAAGATCTTTAAAATTGATCAACTCATCCTCCTCGCTATAAATATACGTTCGTCGAATCTCGCGCTCCCTCTTGCCCTGAGCGGTATTATGCGTTGAGCCCCAGAACGCCAGCCAGTCTTTCGTAAGTCCAAGAAACTTGGTGAACTGCCATGCAGCTGCAAAGAAATAGACAATCGGCATACATATCAAGCGATATGACTTTGGAATAGTAGACTTGAAGAAGGCAGCTGTGTTGGTGAGACGCTGGGCACCTGGTGCTGAGTCAAAGACTGTTACGTGAGGCGGAAGCCAGGGATCTTCGCCTTCTTGAGCAGTCGCAGCATAAACATCATATAACGACGAAATGTTCGATGAACCGCCATTAGAAAAGAGATGGATCATGATTCCCGGCTCAGCCGCTGATAACGGGGCGTCTGGGAATGAGGCTCTGATAACTGGCACCGCTGGCTTCACCGATTCAGCAAGGACTTTCGGGTCGAAAAAGTTATTGTTGTAGCTTTTCACGAGAACAAGTTGAGAAGTTGGGTATAGCTTCTTGTGTTTATCGACATATTTGGCAATGTGGCTGTCAAGCGCGTTGGTCCAGCTGGCGATGATGATGATCTTCGGAGAGTTCGGCGCCGTGGGTTCGGAAGGGCGGTAGACAAAGACTTCGTTGGAGAGCTTCTCCATGTAGGAGAGAGGCTTCGCTTGTTGGGTCATATCGGGGAGTGGTAGAGGGACAATCAATTGTAATAGATTTGTGATGCTGTATTCGAGGTCAAAAGGTATTGATTGCTGATATTTGGGCTGCTTATGGTGCTTACGCGGTCTCAAGGCGTCGGTGAGATCTGACGTGGCGGGGTAAGCAATAGCGCGCTTGATTATGGCGCCAGTGAATTGCGTCCGCGATGATTACCCATGGTCCGATGAAATGAGTAAGTTGACGACCATATAGCGGAACAAACGGAATGCAATGAAATACAATGGTTCGAAATGAGCGAGTATTAAGTCTCTTTTATAGGATATCAAAACTATAAGCTATTCTGATATTTTCTTTATGGCTCATCTTTCCAGGTTTGTTTCGATCGTTGCTGGACGGCTGTGCAGGACGGAAGCCCTGATAATGACTCCATTCACACATTGCTGGACGCTTCTGTATCATGCTTGTGCTTCCCAGCTCTAGACTGGTATTGTGCCATCAGCAACTCTAGCATTGGTCACAGCAACCACTCCAAAACCTTTGCACTGCATTCGGCACCTTTATAAACTAGGGCATGTCAGTTATGTAGCTTTTCTCTCCTGTCTAGCTTGACTCGTAGGCAGCTTCAAGATACACGGCACTACTATCACTGTTGCTACCAACTAAATCTTCTGCTTTGCTCGTAGCGTAGCATCTACGAATTCTGCTTCAGATGTAGGTACTGGCAGACGGGTTTCAACTGGGCCTATGACCCCTCGCATGCACTTTCTGGACCTTTTTTCTCTGATGATACGACGCTTTGGATGGAAAACTCTCATGAGTCGAGTAAGTACTAGTGCCCGGTATGGCCCTCGCCAAGGGGGTTCGACTTTTCTTTCGAGCTGCCCTTTGTCCGAGCCTGCCGATCTCGAACACCCAATTGTATGGTTAAACTTTGGAACAATACTACACTGTTGCATGTCACCCTTGTCCTTGAATTCAAGTCTCGTGTTGTTCTGAGCCTCAATGCCTAAGCTCCATTTGCATCGTTGATCCGAGGCTACACCAAACCTTGACCAGGGACCCTTAACGACCCCCATTGTTCGCCGACGAATACCCAAAACAAGCAACTGCATTAGCCCACAGCGTTAATCAATCTGCTGATCTCGGTGGCTAACTTACCGAATCATAGAAGTTATCGCTCCTATCAAAACAATGCCCCCGCATTCATTCACGAGCCAAATTGTTCACCCTTGTTGGACTGCCGAATTGTAGTGCGTTGCCGATTGGCGCGCATCAAGTTAAGCATGGATTCCTCACCTTGCGCGCCAATCATTTCCCCATATTCCCCAGATTTATCACTAACACCCCCGGACGATGGGGCTCAATTTCTCCGCTGCGGAATAGAGACAATGACGCTACGTAAAATGACACTACCTCGGCGGAGATGTCATCGTTATGCGACGGTTTAAGCGCGAGGCGACTATATAAGACTCCAATCTTGACCGCATCTTTTGGAGGGCAGCAACCTGCCGTCAACAGCAGAAACAGGTCTCAAGATGCGTTTCGCCGCCATTGTTTCGTTCCTGCTGCCCCTCGTGGCGGCAAAGCCTGCTCAGAAGGGCAAAACCTTGAGCAACGTTGAGATCTTTGATCCTCCTTCCAACTACAATGATCCTCAAGTTCTCTATGCTCGTCCTCTTGAGCTTTCTGACGGCACCCTTCTGGCTACTTGGGAGAACTACTCTCCCGAGCCTCCTCATGTTTGGTTCCCCATTGTGAGGAGCAAGGATGGCGGAAAGACTTGGAAACCTTTCTCCAAAGTCCAGGATACTCAGAACAACTGGGGTCTGCGATATCAACCCCAGCTCTATGAGCTCCCCCGTCGATTTGGAAAGTATCCCAAGGGCACTGTTCTTATCTCGGGCAGCAGTATTCCCACTGATTTGAGCGAGACTCTTATCGAGGTTTATGCTAGTCTTGATAAGGGTGAGACTTGGGAGTTCGTCAGCCATGTCGCTCTTGGTGGCGAGGCCAAACCCGAGCATGGGCTTACTCCAGTTTGGGAACCTTTCCTGATGTAAGTGAAGCTCTGATAATACAATCTGATAAATACCAACAATTTGCAGGACATATAAGGAGAAGCTCATCCTGTACTATTCTGATCAGCGTGACAACGCTACTCACTCCCAAAAGCTTGTTCACCAGACCACCACTGATCTCAAGACGTGGAGCAAGGTTGTTGAGGACACCAAGTACGATGACTACTACGCTCGCCCTGGTATGCCCACCGTCGCCAAACTCCCCAACAACGAGTACATTTACACCTACGAGTATGGCGGTGGCCCCAATCCTCCCGCCGGCAGCACCTACTGGTTCCCCGTCTTCTACCGCCTCTCCAAGGACCCCCAGAAGTTCCTCAACAAGCCCGGCCAGCAGATCATCTCTACTGACGGTGCTCGACCCGCCGGTTCTCCCTACGTTGTTTGGACTCCTTATGGCGGAAAGAACGGCACCATTGTGGTTAGCTGCGGCACCATGTCTGAGATCTTCACCAACCAGGCTCTTGGTGATGCGTCTGCTTGGAAGAAGTGGAGTGTTCCTCAGCCTACAGCCTACACTCGTGCTCTTATGACGTTTAAGGAGGATCCTGATCTGCTGATGATCATGGGTGCGGGTATTCTTCCTCCTGCTGGTGGAAACAATACTGTAAGCGCTAGTGTTGTTAGGCTTTCCGAGATCATGAAGGCTTAGACAAAGTTGTACATAACTTAGCGCAAAATTTACAAATATAGAATAAACGCCCAAGACTTATGTTTCGTTCCTTATTAGGCTTTGAAAGAATATTTCTAAATCACTCCAAATTTGCTTTGCGCTCTGTATCAAGTGCTCAGCGTGTGGGGTCCTCATTCGTCACCGAGGCTAGGGCATAAAGTTTGGCCATGCAAGCTTTGACAATCGATGCCCTATCTGAGTTGGGTTTATGAGAGAGTTATTTTCAGTTGATAGACCTGACAGCTGATTCGTGCCCTTAGACTTTACAATGAACTATCGGGCCACATTTAAATGCATTCCTCTTCACTTCTTATTTGTCCGCTCTCACATTAACTTCAGACCTTCATCCTGTCTTACTATAAATATCATCGCTTCATCATGTCTTCTCTCCTAGTAACTCTCATCAACCCATCACTCTACCCACCTCCTGCATAGTCTACTTCATGATGAGTATCTATCAAGCACTACGACGCGCCCTTACCACCAAGGGTCCCAAGCCTAATTCAACTGGTGCGCCAACGGTCCACACACCGGTCCACACCACACGACCCTTTCGCCACGTCCCTGTGGTACAAAAGCACTACGGTGACGATCTACAACTTCACAAGGAGCAAGAAGCTCCACGCATAGACAGAGAATTCAAGTATTTGGACTTGGAGAGAGATCTCCTTGCCCTCGAGAGGAGGCTCAAGGGTTTGGGATACCGCGACAGCAACGTCCTGCACCAGTTGTGGGCCAAGTACGGGGCCTCGAGGGAGACACGCTGGGCTCTCAAGGGCGTGGAGCGTAGACTGAACGAGGAAAAGGAACGGAAGAAAGTTGGTATGTTTTTGTCTGTGATTGAAGTGTATTCTGAGGTGCTAACACGACTTACAGAGGATTTAGAGCAGGAGCTTCGTTACTACAGGGGATGGGACAAAAAACGTACGGTCTCAGATTATACATCCTGATGTGCCTGGCTATACCGCTCCAGAACTTTAGGCGCGTCAGGGTGCGTGATCAAATGGGAGGGGCCAGTTTTGCGAAGAATAACTTTCGTTTGTTGCTTGCTACAAGGCTTTCAGTGGAGGGATACTTAACTGAATAGTGTCACGGCGATCTCAGTGGACAGGGCTGTCATAGAGTTTAAATTTATAAAAGTAAAGAGGTTTCTCGGCAGAAGCTTATAACGTAATAACTGAGATATCGTGACTTATGTGCTATGAGTCTAAAGTTTAACCTTGCAGGCAGCAATCACCCACGTAGTTATATAATCAAGGTTCTTGAAAAAAGCTTCAGGAAGTCGTCTCACTATCGTTGTGAATCAGAGCTAATCTTTTAGTTTCTATACTAGGGTATATAAGAGAACGATGGTGCCGCTGAATAACTAACCAAGTCACTTCTGGTACTCCTCTTCAACCGTTTTTTGAACGCCCAGATTTCTTGCAGCAGCAAACTCACGATCAAAGTCTCAGAGAGCTATTTGGCCATTATTCAAGTCCTATCGACTCAGAAGTCAGTCGTGAGTTACCCTAGTACTCTTTCAACATGATGACGCCGAAGGCAGCCTCAGACCAAGAGCTTGCGGACAAGCAAAGACCCGAATTTTCTTATTCAGTTTTTTGACCGCATTCATAGAAAGGCACACACATAAGCTTGAAGCTTTAAAGTTCTTAATAAAGCTTAAAGGACCATTAAATACCACTAAGACTGTTGCACAAGCAGCTGGTATCTCGTCGCCTAATGGAGGTACCATCTCTGCTAGTAGCTCATCGGGAAAGGTTGGCTCTTTTTTGGAGATCAATGCTATCAATAAGATCGCCATCGAAGCATACCTTAGGGCAAGGCCGAGCCTTACTACCTTTATTCCAACCTTTATCCTATACAACCCAGCAAGAAAGAGCCTTTTATCTCACTCGCTACACCCAACATTAGGCATCGAATCAACACCACCTCATCGTCGACTGAAGTACTTGCATGATGAACCACGCCCCACGTAGAATGAGTACCCTGTTTGGTATTTTGTTTATGGAGACCTAGCCGAGGATGACATCCAGTTTGAACTGCTAGGCTGCAAGCCTCGCTTGAGACCAGCTCTAGCTACCGGAGGACTCTTGAGGAGGAGGAGCCAATCATAGACAATAATCAATGACCCTGACGGGAGAAGGTGCATGCCTAGGATGGCACTCCTGGTCGAAACAGAAGCACAAGGAGATATGTTACGGGTGTATCAAAAGGATGCTTAAGAAGTTGTAGGATGTCCAATTGGGTTTGGGGCGAAGAAGGCACCGTAGCTAGTTTGACATTTCGATTCATCGAGTAAATTATGGACTAGTGAATAGATACAAAGGAATCCCGAACGGGAGTTGAAAGGATAGTGCGTGTAAGACAAAGACAGTCGTCAAAGTGCAAGCCCTTAGGCTTTTGGCTTATAGTCCTCGAGAGCATCCCTAGCAAGAGCAAGGTTCTGGATAACTGCCAATCCATACTGCGCAACATCATTTGTGGAAATCCACGGCGCTTCCTCTCCTGGAATGAGCCCCTCGTGCTCCGGAATCTCAGTCGTAGCGAAAGTAGCGGTGGGTGCCTTGAATCCATCACTCTCAAAGAATTTTGTCCAAGCGAGATTGGCCATGGTTGTATTATGCTGTTGGTTCGCAGCATATGCCGTGAGACGCGAGTGTCCCTGGTACAGATTCAGCTTTCCGAAGTCGACACCGTAGCGAGCCTTCTGCTCAGCAGCAGTGGCCTCGAAGTAGTAACAGTAGTCGAGCCAAGCTTGCTTGAAGCCCTCAGGTAGATCATCGCCGAAGTACAGAATCAGCTCAGACACAACTTCGGGGAGACCAAAGACGGCATTCAGGTGCGAGACTTCGACGTGTCCCTTGTTGTCAGGATCGGAAGGAGGTGGGCCAAGGGTCCAGTTCTGAAGGTTGTAGAGGCCATTACCAGTCACGAAACCGTTCTTGAGCTTGGCGATGCTTTTGACGGTGCTGGTAAGCTTCGCCTTGGACTCCTCCCATCGAGGACCACGGCGTTCCCAGTCAATGAGCCATCCACCAGCAAGCGCTCCCCAATCCGTACCCAAGCTGAAGGCAACGGTCGCGTTCGGCGTCGGAACCCAACCATCCTTGCGGACCTTGCGCTGAGGATCAAGAACGCCGTATGTCTTATCAGTGTCAAGGAGCTCCTCGAATAGCTCGCCGATACGCTCATCACCGCCGGAAAGGTAATAGAAGTATTTTCTGTACTGGGGTTGAGAGATACGGGCCTGCTTCGCGCTGTCGCTGAAATGCTGCACGCCATGTCGCGTTCCAAGACCCTTCCAGTTACCTAGATGATAGACATCGACTTCGCCAGTGTGACGTGTGAGAGCTTCGGCAAAACGGTAGATATCTTCGCGGCCAGTGCGTAGGAAGTACTGCCAGAAGAACAGATCGGGAGACAGCTCAGAGTTATCCCATGCATAACCGCCAATGTCATATCGCCACTCGTGACGGTCGGGATCATAAGTGTGCATGAAGTCACCATAATCAAGGAAGCCGTACCAACGACGGTGCTCAACTTCAGACTGGTAGAACTTGGCGAGAAAGTTGATGTTATCCTCGAGCTTCTTGGAGGCAGCGGTCGAGGTGTCAGCAGGAGCCCAGTATGTGCCGATAGCCTTGGTCTTCTGGATGTACTCGCTTTCGGGGACGAGGACAGGAGGGTTGTTGATCTGTGTGACATGGTTCGCCAGTGTCTCCTGCGAAGGGGTCTTATCAAAGGCAATCAGGTACAGCTCGCTAGTTCGTGCGATACCGTAAGGCGTGTCAAAACCAGGTTCCCAGTCCTCGTAGGTGATCTCAAGAGCGTCGAGCTGATCGGTATAGTTCTTCTGACCGAGACCATCATGGTAGGGACGGAGGTCGAGAGGTTCAGCAGATGGACTATACAACCAGAGGGTAATGCTTCCAGTGTCAGAGGCGGCGGAAGAAATGTCAAAGCCAGTCGGGAATCGCTTCCAGAAGTCACGAAGACCAACTGCCAGGCCTCCGACAGTAGCACCACCAAGATATGCAAGACCTTCCGCACGGGTACCGCCTGGGATCGAGACCCAGCTTTGCCCAGACTTGGTTCGCTTCTTGAGAGTGAAGCCGTCGGCTGAGAGTTGGCTCAAGCTGTAGTCGTTCCAGGGAGGAATCCAGTGAAGACGGCTGGAGACGCGAACATCCCAAGTCGAAACATCGGGCAGCTCCTTGCCATCAAATTGATCAGCTCGAACGTTGGCACCAGGGTCTCTTCGAAGGCCAGTAATACCCTGAACGGCTTCACTGAGCAGACCGCCCTCAACACCAGCGATGCGGATATGGCGGTTGTACAGTTCCTCGCCTTCTAGAGGGACGTCAAAGCGGATACCAACGGCAGAGATGAAGTCTTTGTCGGCATCTCCATCAAAGACCAAGCTATGAATGATCTTGATGGACTCAGAGCCGGAGTAGAAGTAAAAGCGAAGGACGAAGGGCAGCCAAGATTTGTGGCCAGACTTGTCGCTCGCCGAATGCTTTCCTCGAACAGTAACCAGAGTTCGTGCAGAGTTCTGGTCGCTGACGGTGACGTTATCAATGCTGCTCTGAAAGCGCAGCGTCTTGAACGACTTGATCTTATCGTCACCCGGGTGAGAAACGTCATTTTGCGATTGAAGCACGAGTCTTCCGTTCTGAGCAATGCGCTTGCCGTTGCTCTCAATCTCCTTGACGATCACTGAGCCCGTCTTGGGGAAGACAGCTGTGACTTTGCCAGTATCGACCTTGATCTTACTGGAGCTCTTGGTGACAGTGATACCAGCAGAAGCCGTAGAGTTGATGCCCCCCGATGAGGGAACTGCCTTGACAACATATTCGTCAAGGACCTCCTCGGAAGCTCCAATCGCGTGGCCCGTCCACTTTACTGAGCCATCAGCCCAGTATCCAGTGACCCACGATTGAAGGTCAACATCCTGACCGGATGCACCAGAGGCAGTGAACTTAGTGTCCTTGGGGAAGTACTTCGATTGAGGCCAGGGGAGACCGAAGGTAGTTCCTGAAGTAAAGCCAGGCTTTTCACCGAGCCAATGGACTTTGGCTGATGAAGTAGAAGAGTTGCTAGGAGCAGCCATGGCTTGGCCTACAAAAGCAGCAAGTAAAAATGAGTGGACGGCTTGTCGCAACATGATGCAACGACTACCAAATAACAATTATAAAAAAGAAGTGGTTACTTTTGAGAAAGTTGCGTGATTGAGACAGAAATCGCACCTGTTCTTATGTACAATGTCCCTCTGTCTTGACGCCATAGAGAACCACAATGAGAATATGCATGTAATTTCGGAAGATATACCCTGTTCAGCGGCAACAGCCATATCACGGCTTTCCTCCGCTGCAGCTCGGCGCTCGGTGGAGATGCTCCCGAAAGCGCTCATGACTTCGGATGATCGCAAAATGCACAAATGACCTGAATATTGCTGGGCATTGCGCGAACGGTAGGCTAGAGTCGCAGATCGCAGCCGAATTGAGGTTTAGCGAGTCCTGTAATTTCCTAACGGTCTGTGAGACCAGGTTCCCCGCGTTCAATGGCTTCATATTTGGTGTTGAGCGGACGGAATAATAGGTAATTGTCAAGTTCGTGTTGCGTGATGCAACCTATAATGAGAATATGGATGTCAAAAAGGTTAGGACGCTTGTAGTAGATGGCGTAAATAAACTACCAAGTTGGCTGCTAAGCTCAACCTAAATGCATTTAAGTATTTTTGTCAACTGGAACTAACGTCCTGGTTTTTCTGCCATCTCTTGGAGTGGTTAGAGGGGTTTGCAGTGTTGGGGGTCCCGAATTGGGGGATCAGCAACCCAAGCCGAGTCACGGAGCAATTCACGCGGAGCATTCAAACTGGAAGCCGAAGTTTGGCGTCAACCCGTGATCAGATTCATCACGATAGCACGTGAGTGTACTCTCGCTGTCAAGTTTCGGGGGTAAAGCATGCTGTGGCATTCCCGTGAGATCGATTATCGATCAAGCTAAACAATCAAGACGCGTTGCCAACATCTGTCCGATTGAAGAATACAATGGCTCCCGTTATACCACTGACAGCAGTACGTCGACCTTTTACTCCCTCGATTCCAGTAGCATCAGATCTAGAAATGCCAAAAACATTTCATGATCTGATCCAACGAAATCGGATCTATCCGAGGTTAGATGCTCGACGCGTTGTCACCGTGAGGCGCGGCAAAGGCCTACCCTGCACCTAGACCACCAAAAAGTCTCGCAGCTTCCCCATTCATCAGTCGCTACAACGCAAACACAGAGAGTAATACAACATAAAATACAGTATAATCATGCCGTTATCATCCTCCATGACGATGTCTCGCTGCACAGATTACGCGGCTAATACACAGCCTCATCCTGCACGTACGGAGTTCCGTGTCTCACGTGACCTTTCATTCTTCACCCTCGATCTTTGATGGAGAATGCTATCATCATGTTCGCAAAAGCAACGTGAAACGATAATGAGTTCGTCAAACAACAGAGACTCGCCGCTGCCTTTATTGAAGACATGTCAAACATGTTTTTCCTTAAAGATTAGATGTTCCAAAACTCAAGATTCTGACTCCTGCGATCGATGCTTGAGGCTTGGCAAGACGTGTATCTTCAACCAAGCTAGGCGCCGTCAGAATGTTAATCGCCAGAGGTAAGAACTTTAACTTCATAGTTAGAAGAACTTGACTTATGATTGGTATTCATAGAGAAAGACTTGATTTCAGATCCAAATCTGAGCAATCTTCCAAATCACCAACAAGCCCTTATGAAAAAACACCTTTGAGCATCAGAGTGCAGGACATCTTCAACAAAAATGCTTCGTTTGATCCCTTTGAACGAGGGATCATAACCTTCGAAGCTGCTAAAGACTTACTCGACTGTTATAGGACCCGAATGATTCCATACTTTCCTTTCGTGCTCTTTCGAAATGATGTATCAGTTGAACAGTTGAATGCGGAGCGCCCCTTTGCTTGTCTAGCTGCACTGGCCGCAGCTTCACACGCGGATGTAGCCACACAGAAAGCACTCGGGTACTTGTTCAAGCAAATCGTCGCTGCAAAGATGGTGGAAGGTGATTTCTGTCAACTTGATCTGCTACAAGGACTCCTTATCAATCTTGCATGGTAAGGCTCGACAGTATTCCATAAATACATCAGCTAACGACCACAGGGCGCACTATCAAGCTAAACCAAAGAGATACATACAGCATTTACATCTCGCCACAAGTATCATAAGTGACCTGCGCCTCGATAAACCTCGGAGGCCGCAGCTGTGGAGTGCCGAGGGCGGTAAAGATAAGAACAAGCCAGACTGGGGTCCTGATGAGGTGAGGGCCCTAGCAGGGACATATTACTTATCTTCGAGGTGAGTCAGCTAGCGAACTCATTGAGATCTGATGCTGACGAAAGAAAGTTCGTCTATAATTCTTCAGAAAACACGCCAATTCTTTTACACGTCATATATCACTGCATGCTGCGAGCACCTTGCATCTTGGAACGAGTACCCAACGGATAAATATCTTCCGTATATGATTACAGTGCAAACGCTCATCGAGGGAGTTGAAGATCTTGTCAATAACACGGTGTCTACTAACAATGGTCTGCATTTCTTTTCTGGATGTCAGGAGATTTCGCAAAAGTGCACTGAGATCAAGGAAACCCTGCCTTTCCCACTCAGTGAGAGCCGTACGTCACCTGAAATACTGCTAAACAAATTCCTGACGGTACTATAGCACCCTTGCTTCTTCAGATACATATTCTGGAACTCCTTCTAAGCCAATCATCGCCGAGAGGAACGTCATTTGGTCTCGATAAGTTTAACAACCAATTCGAACACGAAAGTTCACTTATAGACTGGCTCTCGGCGAGTATGTCAGCCGCTCGCTCCCTCATTAGTGTAATTCTCGTCATGCCACAAGGTGAAGAGATGTACATGTCGAACATGGGCTGGATCATGATGAACTGCGGCCTAAACCTTGCTGTTCGCCTCGATCTTGTGGCTGCGAGAGGAACTATGTCTGGATCTATGCAGCATCTTCGTCGATTCTTGGATATGCGACATACCCTTCGTCAATTGGTCTTGCGGTTCGAAGCGACGCCGGGCCAGGATGCACCAGCAGACCATCCGTTCTATGCTCTTGCGAAGCGAATACGCCGACTTGAAAATTGGTACCTTTCTCAAGCAGAGCATCAGACACCAGATTCATCAGTATCCATAAGTCCATCTGTCAATGACCAGTCGTTGCTGAGTGTCGGTACTGATGCCAGTGGCATGTCAGTTGGTGCATCAATGCCGTTTATAGCCGGTCCATGGCCAATGAACTCAGATTGGTATCAGAACCCTGACCTCGACATCGGCACTTTTCTCTTTGCAGATCCTGCTGAGTTTCCTATCAACTTAGGTTACGGAACTTAGATCTTTCCTTTTTTAATAGATACTTCTGGGTTACGCGGTTTTCGGTGCTTGGTTCTGTTTTCTGATGTGCCGCACGGAGTAAGATACGGACTAACGATTGCGGTAAGCTGGCGGCATACGGAGTAAGTCGGACTAAAGGACTGAGTGGAGCCTCCGGAGGTGGAAATCCCCTGCTAAACACCACGAGACAAGTGAATTGAGAGAGAATACTCAGCCAAACGATTGATCTCCATTTATCATCTCATCTAAGCCTCGTTAAGCATGTAGTATTATAGCTTTTAGTCTCACATGGGGTGCTTCGGGCCCAGGTATAAGAAGGGTCTCTCGGCGCATTCTATTCTACACAATCATCTGCACCTTTCTGGTTCATCGCCTTTCAAAGCATCTCACCAAATACTTATAAACAAGTCAACTATGCGCGCACTTACCATAAGTTTTCTTTTGAGCGCTTTTGCTCGTAGGACTTTGGCCAAGGATGACTGTATCAACAACGACATTCCCTTCCAGGCATGCGCTCCCATCGGTGCATATTATCCACCACCCACCATCGACAGATCCTCTGAAACTTTCAAGAAGCTTACGTCCCAGTTCACCAAGACCTTTGATGACCTCATCAAGAACGGCGGTAGCGATAAGTATGGTCCAATCACGCCCAACACTACATCCTTCTCTGTGGTCATCTTCGGTGGTGCCGAGTCCCTTCGAGATGATCCCATCTTCTTCGAGTATCACTATACATCCCCTGAAGATCAAGCCTCGAACGCAAACCTCACTTCGGACACCAGATTTCCAGTTGGTGATGTGAGCATGGTATTCACTGTTTATGCTTGGCTTGTCAAGATGGGGGAGCGATGGGAGACGCCTATCACTAAGTATTTGCCTGAACTAGCCAAGGTCAAGGGCCCGCTTACGGCGAACTGGGAGGACATTACCATTGGAGCTTTGGCAGGCCAAATCTCAGGCCTCAGCCGAGAGTGTATGTTATTATTCAAACTCATGCAGAATTTAAGCTAACAGGTGATATAGCCGGAGCATGTGTTGTTGGCAAGGCTTGTGACTGGAAGGGTAAGTGAAATCCTACAGATACCATGTGAACTTTCTGATACTGATGTAAGTTCAAGCTTTCCAGAAGGCCTTTGTGAAGAGGACGCCATACTTCCTCTCGGATACAACTCCAGTGGTTTCTTACGCCGCTTTCCAGCTCTTGGTCTTTGCTGTGCAACGAAGTGATGGCGGCGATTGGCCCTCGATTCTGGACAAGACTCTTTTACAACCTCTCAACATGAGCGACAGTGGAGTCTTGATCCATGGTGTCGAAGATATCTTTGCCATGGGGAGTCTCAACACTTCGGCGATTGGTGAGCCAGGGTATGTTGATCAGCGAGAAGGGAAAGCCCATAACTAATATCCAGTGTAGTGCCTTATCATTCGTTAGCTCCGTCAAAGATCTCGCACGCGCTGGGCACTCTATTCTTGCTTCCGATCTCCTTTCGCCTGCTGTTACCCGTCGCTGGCTTCATCCCAATGTCGATACTTCCAATCTTCGCAATGGCGTAGGTCGACCTTGGGAAGTTTACCGTGCCGGCAACGCCATTTCACCCATTCTAGATGCCTTGACGAAGAGCGGAGCCATTGGCAAGTATGCGAGCTACTTTGGACTCACCACCGACTTCAACGCTGGCTTCGCTATTCTGGCTCATGATCACAGTGTCGAGAACAGAAAGCTTGACTTGAACGTGCACGCCGATATCGTTAGCGAAGTTCTCGGGTACCTTCAAGTCATTGCCGCCAAAGAACTCGAGGCGCGCTATGCCGGATCGTACTCGGGCAAGGAAGCTGAGGCTACTTTGAACACCACTGATAACGGCCGGGGTCTCGAAGTTCAGAAGCTTGTGATTGGTGGGGTGAACATTAAGAAGCAAATAGCCCAGAAGCTCGGCATTCACGCTGATGATCTGGACTTCAGAATCTACCCAACCAATGTTCAAGACAAAAACCGCCATCAGTTCATTGCCATTTTCCAGAACAAGAGTGCCCCTATTGACATGGGCACCCCGACATGTATTACTTGGCAGGAAATTGGTGCTGATGCAGAAATCAGCTTTGTTTTCATAATGGGGCAGGATGGCGAGGCCATTGGACTTGAGGTACCCCAACTTCACGCCAAAATGGAGAGGTCCACATAGACTGGATAGTTTGAGAGTAAGTCTCCATTGGGAAGTGATAGGGCCACCATGAAATTATATTCATAACTATTGATTGCCCCCGAAGATAGCTTGATGAAGCGTCAAGGGACTCATCATTCTTATAGCGGGGCTGCTGCCTAGCGTGAACACCGTGAATGTCAGCACATTCATGTCAGCAGATTCATGTAACCTCAGGCTAAATAGATAAGCACTAGGTATATTTCCTGACCGATATTTGACTACCTTGTGTGAGAATTGACTCAAGGTTGCGGAAATGGCTTCCTCGGCGCCGAAAGTTGCGCCACCTGAGCGTCGCGATCCTCTAGATGCTATTGACGAGCAGGCGGGTGAGATTGTGGCACTTATTAAGAAGAGCAAGCACTTCATTGTTTTCACGGGTGCAGGCGTCTCGACTTCAGCCGGCAAGTCAATCAATGCGTTTTCTCTGTGTGGCTCATTCACTGATAGGCATAGGCATTCCCGACTTTCGTGGCCCCGAAGGTGCCTGGACACTGAGAGCTCAAGGGCGAGCCCGTACTGGAAAGGCCACGAGCACGCTTCAGGCCATTCCGACACCGACGCACATGGCTTTGGTGGAGCTCCAGAATCAAGGTGACCTGAAGTATCTCGTCAGTCAGAACTGCGACGGCTTGCATCGAAGGAGCGGCATCCTGCGGGTAAGGGCTGGCTTGTAGACCCTTAGCCGCTCTGACTGATCTTCGCAGGATCGCATTTCAGAACTCCACGGTAACAGCAACCGAGAGTGCTGCAAAGATTGTGGTAAAGAGTACATACGAGGTAAGTACACTATATTCGAGAGAATACTTCTTATGCTGAATCGTCAAAGACTTCCGTGCTGTCGCCAGCTATGAAAAGTCTGTGCATGACCATCGGACAGGCCGTAAGTGCACCGCATGCGGAGAGAATCTCCTTGACACCATCATCAACTTTGGGGAATTCTTACCAGAGGAACCGCTCAAGCTTGCTCGAAGTCATGCCAAAAAGGCTGATCTTTGCATTGCGCTTGGTTCGTCTCTTAGCGTTCCTCCAGCGAGCGGCATCCCCGAGACATGTGGAAAGAGTAAAAGAAGCAAGCTTATCATCTGCAACCTACAAGAGACTTTCATGGAGGGTCTAGCAGATATGCATGTTTGGGCCGAGTCCGATGTTTTGATGACAAGAGTGATGGATAGGCTTGGATACAGCATTCCAAGTTTTATCTTGAAGCGCAGGCTTGTGATTAAGATTGAACCTGATACTCATGATCGCCAGGTCATTGTATTGACTGGTGTCGACGATGACGGTACTCCAGTCACATACCTTCAGTCTGTCAAGCTTGAGGACAGCAGACGTATAGTAAGGTCCGAGCCCTTCTCATTCGTCTTCCGAGAAGCTCTCAGTACTGGAGCCGAGGTCAAGTTTGCACTTGAGTTTATGGGACATTACAACGAACCTAATGTCGTTATTGACTATAGTGTTCCCGAAGAAGAGGGCGCAGAGACGGTGTACGATCTTTCATATGATCCGAGTACGGGAGAATGGGTGATTATCCGATAACAAGAGTAGTCTTTCACGAGCTTTTTAGCGCTTTATCAAAGCATAATTTAGACTGCAATTAAACTTTACGTAGTTTTTGCAACCAACAAACAACAACCAACAGCATGTTACATGATTTTGGTCGCTAGACAGGATGTAGCCCCTGTATTTTGCCTGCAACCGACTTGGCATATCCACAATGCATACAAAGGGCCTCGGGCCATTAATTCACGATTTTCATTAAAGGGATAGCTTCCCACCGCTCAGACACGCGATCCTGTGCTGAGAAACCACGGAACCTCCTCCTTCTTTCTTGTACTTGACCACGTCACTCTTTTCGTCCCAAATTCTATTCCTCTTTGAGAGCCTGGCAACATTCACCATGATTGCCTCTAAACTTTTCATCACTCTGGGAGTCTCCTTGTCCGTCAATGCTTTCAGTCTCTATGAGTCTGGGACTGACAACGATGTGACAAAAGCCTGCGTTAAGGCCATGTCAGCAGATATCGATTGCGATAGAGAGGTAATCAGCTTTCTCAACGGAGGCTGGTACGGCTCTCTTGACAGTGAAGCCTTGACGGATGCGGTCTGCACCAAAGTTTGCTCTCAATCACTCCAGGACTGGGTCACCAATGTTTCCAAGGACTGTGGGGAAGACAAAGCCCGAGGTGGCCTTCGTATTTGGACAGGCTGGAATGCGACATGTCTAAAAGACACCAAGACAGGACGATACTGCAATGGTTAGTAGCTGACAGACTTAAGCATAGGAATAATACTGACTGTTACCAAGACATCATTGCAGATTTCACTGATGTCGGGGAAGACGAGGAGCTCCCGCATGATGAGCTTTGCCATCCTTGTTATGTAAAGCGTCTCGAGATGTATAAACCCTCACAGTACGCCCTTAACATCAAATGGCACGAAGAGCAACTTGAGCTCGTGCGCAAGGAATGCGGTAGTTCAACATCCACCGAGACTGCCGCGACCACTTCGAGTAAGAGTGAACCATCTGGCGCAACAACTACGGCAGAAGCCTCAAAATCTTCCCAAACAGCCAGCAGCGAGGATGAGTCTAAATCGTCCACTCGGACCCCAGTACAGACCATGTCATCGGTACCTACTGTGTCATCCACGCCTAATTCTGCTGCGAAATTTGAACAGGGAGAGTTGTTTGGGTCTCGGGCTCTGATGCCTCTTTTGTTGATGAACCTCTTCTTTATGCAGTGAGATTATTCATGTCTATCAGAGCCATTGAAGCTATACTGTTGAAGATGAATCCATATTTATCCATCGGTTTTTTTCACAGCCTAATATCTACCTGTAGCAACACTTCAAATGCAACCCTTATTCAGTATAGTGTCTCGATAAGGGGCATACTTTCGACCCATTTACGAGGAGGGGAAGTGGTGGCCAAAATAATTGCCTCAAGTACCTCCAGACAAACAATTATTAAGCGATCAGCCTTTTGCTCCACCTGAGATTCATTGTCAAGCGGCAAGCATGCGAGGTTCACTAGACCCTGCATGTTTCTCCACCATTGTCTATAACGTTGATCCGCCAGGCTCTACTCTGTATGCCCCTAGCATATTGTAAATACAGTGACACGTTATATGCCAAGCCGGATACAGGCAAAAAACAAGAGAACTGAATTTTCATCTCAGGAGACTTCTTTCCGTGGCCCGTGTAACGCTGTGTTGGTTGATTGTGATGTTGGTTGTTGGTTTGTATTAAGCGTGATTTTTGAGTCCCACAACTCCACAGGCTAGCCAGGTTCTGTTGACTCGCTTGCCGTATTGAAAAGTTCACTTGCCTCGGCTCTTGACTGTAGGATTTTTCCTGGGCCTGCTGTGGTATGATGGATGTCGCTACATATAACGGTTTAGTAGCCGCTCTTGGTTACTATTGAGTATAGAATAAAACGACATCTGCAGTTGCCTCACGGTACCTGCTATGACTAAAGGGCCATGGCCGATTCTCGACAGGGACAGGGGTTGCCAATCAATGACATTCGGTCCCTTGCAGCCCGTACTGGGCCGTCTTGGCGATATGTACACCTGAAAAAGGCCCGTTTGATTCCATCATTACGGAGTACCAATGATTTATCTTACAACCAGGAGTGTCTCCTGGCTCCAATTATGTAGGCCTGTACTTGAGGCTTGCCTCAATGGATTATAAGTTAGAACCCATCACCTTCGCTACTGATATTGTATCACTCGCATCTCGATATCCGTGCCCCCAATATTCACGATGGCCATTACCAAATTTGTTGTCGCGCTTGGCCTCTTCATGAATGCCAGTGCACTACAGATGATGAAGCCAAAAGACGTTGATAGTCTAGAAACTTCGGTCAGCCAAGCCTGCAAGCAGGTATTGACAGCTGAAGTCGATTGCGACGAATACCTTAGGGATTTAACCGATCCAGATTTATTTCGGGGCGAAACAGACGAAGACATGGAGATGGCCCCGACGATCTGCAACAAACAATGCTCCGACTCGTTCCAATCGTGGTATCAAAGACTCAACGAGGAATGTGCTGAGGAAGATTTCGGGTCCGAATATTACCCACCCAACCTTTTCATATACAGCGGTAATGTCACGTCGAGTAGCTGGAATCAGACATGTGCAAAGGATCCGAAAACAGGTCGATTTTGTGGCGGTTGGTAATCCTTTCCCCAGTGACGACTGTTTAACTGACTTTCTCTAGAAACCTTGAACGAATTCCCCGAACTCGAAGATGATGAAGAAATGCCCCTCGAGGAGCTCTGCCATCCCTGTTACGTCACGCTAATCGACATGAGGTCAAATTCCTGGGCATGGTCAACGCCTACCAATCCAGCAGGTGACTATTGGGACAAGCAGCTCAAGCTCGTCAAAGAGAAGTGCAATGCCTCAGGAGGGTTGAAGGAAGATTCCTCGTCTAAGGAGGAAACGGCCTCGCTTACTCCTCACAAGACTGCCAGCGCGTATGGGTCAGGTGTGAGCACCATGCAGACAGGAAGTACTTCTTCTGCAGAGACAGCGGTGTCAGAAAGTGCCTCTCAAAAGAGTAAAGCACCAGGGGCTATGGCAAGCAAGCAAATTTTCAGTTACTGGTACGCGGTACTTGTGCTGAGTATGGTTGTGCTTCCTTTATAAGGTTGAGTGAATCCTCGCGTATGTTGCTGTTCAGTCGGAGAAATAGAATCGAGAATTACTGACTCGCCGTTGCTTGTGTCTGGTTATTGATTCATATTTCAACACTTTTACTGATAGAAGCGAGCAAGATATGTATCTTACATTCTTTGCAGTCACAGATTGTCAATTCCAAATCCCACTTCCTGGTCATATTCGCTGAAGCATCCGAGAGGAGAACTCGGGTATTTTTTTAATTAATGCACTTGGATGAGACTGCTCTATTTTCGCCAGAAACACAATGTCAGAGAATGATACAACTAGTTTCGCTCACTCAATTCTTCATAAAGTGTCTTATTCACTTATTACTTGGGCACGTTACACCTTGAAAGACTTATATGTGAAAGCTGGAGGCTGTAACAGTACAGCCGGGGTCCAAGACCCGAGTTCAGTACTAACTGGTACAAGGCCCATGAGCGCTGCGCCCCATTGCAAATATGCATGTTGGTTCACCCCCTGCAAATCAACTACTCAGGATTCCACCAAAATAAAATGCTCTGCACCCTTGGTGTCCCAGTTTTTCTCCTCTCTGCTCTTCCTCTTCATTTTGTGAAATTCGCTCAGTAATCCGAAGTTAAACCTACGGCCTACAACACAACCACAACTTCAGTAACATACATATTCCTGCAGAAAGTACTGATAATCCTTTCAACCACTTCATTCTATTCACGTCACGATGGCCTCAGCAATTTGGGATGCAGCAGATGTGTTGCAGATTTCTGGTCATCACAGATGTATCGGTACCACCAAAAGAAAGACACGCTGTTCGATGAGCATCAAGCAACCACGCCTTTCAGCAATTGCTCCGTTACTCTGCCGGATGTCACGAAACTCTCCGGAATTAGTTACCGAACAAACTCTGTTCCAGCTAGCTGATTTATGCCTCTGTGGGACATATCATGCAAACCAAGCATATAAATTCGTGCGACTTTGGACAAGCGTGGTAAAAGAGGTAATATCCGTAGAGCAACGGAAGCTTACCATGCAAAACGAAATCACGACACTCTTTCAACAGACAGTGAAATTGCAACGGTTTGTTTCAAAGCTCCAAGGAGATCTTGAAACAGAAACAGGGAGAAATGCCAAGGCACAGAAGCAGCTCAAGCGGGACGTCAAAGGGTTGCAAGAAGAGATCATGAATCTAGAACAAGAGCTCCAAGAAAGCGAAAATCGTAACAATGTTGGAGAAGGTAGACTATCGGCCACGAAAAGAAATCTGGAACAGCTTCAAGGCCAGGCAATGAACGATTTGCTCGCTCGCAACAGGTTAGAAACGGAGAACAAATCTCTGAAAGCAGAAATCGTCGACGTGCAGAAGAAGCTTGATGACTATCAATCGATCAAAGAGCAGAACTATGATCTTGGTAATCAAGTCAGATCCTCTGAGCATAAAATTAACCAGTACTTGGCCATCGTGGAAGATACAGCAAAGAAAGCCAATGCGAGCGAAGAGAAAGTCACAGCTGAACTTGCTGCAAAAGAGGCCATGGAGAACCATTACAAGGCTAAGATTGCTGAACAAGGGGTTGAAATAACAGAGCTCAGGCGTCACAGGGAGAAATTGGAACAATCTGTTGCTCGGTTTCAAGCAAGTGTTAAGACGTGTTGGTGGCATAGGTTCCGGGCGTGGAAGGACCGGTTTCGAAAGAGGGACAGATCAGGGTCTTGGGTAAGTATCACGGATGAATCGGCTGAAAATATCATCCTTAGGACGTACGGTTGATGCCTACATAAGATAGATTAAGTCTTTGAAGTCAATCTCTCGGTGACTATCGTTCAACCGCTTCTAAACCCCGGTCTTGAATATGACGTTCACATAATAGCGATGACCAAAGTTTCACAAGCTCACTTATTAGCGTGGCCACGGATGAGAAGGAATTTTTGCGCCAATGTCGGAAATCACAACCTTTCTTCCATCTCCTCCGCATCCACGATCCGGGGAATCCGTAACTATAAAATCGACTTAAAAAGCATCCTCACCTCTATTGGGGCGCATTGCAACATCTCCACCCCGAAATCGAAAGCGGACCTTAAACTCCCGAGGTTTTGCTGGTGAATAAGCATTGCGGGACGAGCCTCCGGTGACACGATTGGACCGCATCGACATCCCGGTCATGGATCGGCAACCCCAGATCCCACTTCCCAGTCATGCTCGGCGAGCCATCCGCAATGAGAAGTCAGCTGTTTATGAAATCAATGCACTTGGACGATATGGGAAGTTTCCCCAGGCTTTTACGAAAGTCCGATGGTATACGCGGATAGCTGGCAGTTTGGCAACGAGACCTTTATAAGCGACGCTTGTATAAAGGTTCAATCGCAGCCCATTGATCTTGGGATTTCAGTATCGTCAGCTCCCTCAATCACAAATTCGCAGTCATGGTTTCTTGGAATAACATCTTTACTTTGGCCCTTGGGCTCATTGGCTCAGCTTGTGCTTATACCAATCCCATCAGAAACCCAGGCGGTGGTGATCCCCAGATTACCTACACCGGAGGATACTACTACCTCATCTCGACAGAGTGGACAAATCTCCAGCTTTCCCGAGCTACCACTATCGAGGGTCTCAAGACTGCTACTCCCAAGGTCATCTACACCGACTCTGACCCTTCGCGCTCATCGAACGTCTGGGCTCCTGAGCTTCACTATCTCGGTGGAAAGTGGTACATCTACTATACCGCTGGAAAGTCCGAAGATCTCACTGGCCAGCGCTCGCATGTTATCAAGGGTAAGTCTTTCATATTGTCTGAGCGACATATAGCTAACAAAAGTAGGTGGCGCTAGTCCTTGGGACAGCTGGTCCTACGGCGCCAAGCTCTCTGATGACTGGGGTATCGACGGCACCATCCTTCGTACCAACCAGTTCGGCAACTACTTCGTCTACTCTTGTATGACCGGTGTGCAATACCAGTCAACATGCATCCGTAAACTGGGCTCCGACTTCTTATCCGTTGGTGCTCTAAGCATCATCTCCCAGCCCGACCAAAGCTGGGAAAAGAGCGGAACTCCTGTGCAAGAGGGACCCAACGCCTTGTACTTCGGCGGAAAGACTTATATCTCCTACTCAGCCAACTACTGCTGGACCCCAGATTACTGTGTCGCTCTGCTCGAGTGGGACGGAAAGACTGATCCTGCCAAGGCCTCGGCGTGGAAGAAGTCCAACGGGTGTGTTCTCAAGAGCGCGAATGGAAGCTACGGAACTGGTCATAACAGTTTCTTCCAGAGCCCTGATGGGAAGCAGACGTTCATCACTTTCCATGCTACTTCTAACAAGAATGGTGCTTGCGACGATACAAGATATGCTATGACGCAGCCGCTGACTGCGAATGCTGATGGCACACCGAACTTTGGATCGGTTCAGCCTTTCTCTCACCAGTTTGCTGAACCTTCTAAATAGGTGCTATCAGTGGAAATTTCTTTGTAACTATTCTTATCAATACAAACTGCGTCATAACTGTCGGACTGTCGACCCCGAAGTCCTAGCCAGGCAATCTCCAATGGATTAATACAAAAATTACGACTTCCATTCTATATACGTGTGAACAGATATGCGATGACGCGTCTTGATCCAATGTCTCAGTAGTCATGCGACAGGGCGGCCTCCCTTTGTTGTCAGGGGAAATAGAAGCTGTCTAATCTGCAGGCTTCTGAGTCCAGCAATTATGCTTAAATGGCCATGGCGACGGAGCATGCTGACACAAGTGAGACACGGCAAGAGGCTACATTGAGCCAGCATCCCGTTTCAAAACGGACGTAGCACAACAAGGCATCAGTGACAGTTTCCGTCGTCTTTTTCTGACGTGGCTTGAGCTGAAAACGATAGCGTGAAGCTTACTGGTGTTTAACTATGACCTTCCAATCAGCGATGGATGACTGGCTGGGGCTGAGCATGAAAACAGTCTAGACTCCAGCTTTTACTGCCATTGTGGCGTTTCCGTCAGAGCAGCATGATTTAATAATAGCGCTCTGCCCTCATGAAGTCTTTCTGTGTTTCTCATTTTACTTCCAATTTCTTCTGCATAATCCGGTAATTCAAAGCGCTTTATGCGATAGCCCTCAAGATGGATGTGAACTACACCGCTATCACGGACTACTACATGATCAGATGTTTCAGCGGAGGAAACTTCTACGTCTGCAAGAAACCTTCGGCTAACTTAGAGTTTGTCGGATGCTGCGACTCGGATCCATGCGCCGACGGGTCTGGAATCTGCCCGCAAACAGACCTACGGCCGATGAGCTACAGTCCAGGGCGGACAGCATACAAATTCGGCCTTGAATGCGGCACTCTTCATAATGCATCCTTCTATCGATGCGATTTGTCAATGCCGCATTTTTTGGGATGCTGTGGTGTTGATCCGTGCTCCAAAGGATGTCTGCAAACCCAGTTAATCCCGGCGCAGTTACCAGCGCTAGAAGGATGGCGAAAATTATTCCTTGAGCCGTATCGCGTGCAGAATGATACAGCTCCGGATTTGAGGCCTGGAGTAGAAGTGAATAGTACTTTTGAGGCCCCTGATTTCTCGAATATTAACTGGGATCGTGGTAAGCATGAAGTTGGGCCTGTGACTGTTATAGGGATCTGTGCGGGTTTTCTTGTTGCAACTCTGCTCGTTCTGGGACTTATACGGCATTATTGGTATAGTCGATTGATCGATACTTGGCGAAAATCAGGCTGATAATTGCCCAGGCCGTCTTCAGCTCCGAAAAAACATGAACAAACAGATACTGCACATGCACCGTTTCTGGCCCATGACCCAAGAGACGACGTCGCGTATTCGGAGATGGAAGAGACGATGCCATACGCAAGAATACGAGATGACTGGCATGGCGGCCCAAAGACGTTAGAGCACTGGAACGCGCCAACAGTGTTTGGTTGGATTTTCAGCATTCTTCTCACATTCACGCCCCTCTGTTTCATTGGTAAGACACATCCCTTGATTTGAAGGGAGAAACTAACCAGGAAAAGCTCTGGCTATCACAGCGATCCGTCTTGATAACCAACCTCATTCCGACTACGGCAAAACGGTCTTGCAACTAACGGTACTGAGTCCATCGCTATACCCTATCTTATTTGCTGCACTAGTTGGACGGTTTTACCGAGTATTCGGCCGGTGGTGCTTTGAGAGCCGCGGCGGTGTAAACCTCCCTGTTCTAGAACAGTTGATCGGCAGTCAAAACTTAGCCACGGCCATTGAGCGAATTTTCGTAATACGAACAAATGCCGTTCTTGGCATTATAATCCTCACTTCTTGGCTTCTCTCGCCCTTGGGCGGACAGAGCTCGTCGAGACTTCTGCAAGATGCAAAGTTTGACTTGATCTCGAACGGAACGGTTTACTACGCTGATCCATCATATCAAGTGTCCCACTCAAGATGGATTGACTACCGACATAGCGTTGGCGCAACGTACGCTGCGAGTTTGCTGTCGTCTTCGAAGCAGAAAGCATCGGCGAGGGATATTTGGGGGTTGCCGAAAATTCCACAGCTGTCGCAGGTCAGACTTGACGGTGGCTCGTATGATCTCTATGATGTGAACAAATCGGATATGGTCTCAGGCAAGGCCTCTTATGCTTCGTTGCTGGGTATCAAGATTCAAGGCCTCGTCAGGCCCAACGAGCCAACCAAGTTCAACTTTACGATACCAACCTCATATTTCCACGTCGATTGCGATTTCGTCGACAGTTTCGACCCGTTACGAGGAAAGTTGACTCAGAATCAAACCAACATCGTAGATTTGTTCTACAAATTCCCCAGCTTTTCAGCCTTCAACATTCTGCCGCAGTCGTGGTTCAACGCAGAGGGGGAAGAGGATGACATTAACTCGCCCTATCAGTTCATATACGTCAAGCAAATGCGCGGCTCTCAACTCTACGTCGTAAAGTGTGCCACTCACGAGGTCAAGGTCGAAACAACAATTCATTGCGGACCAGGAGACCCAGCGACGACCTGCGAAGCACGACAACAGCGGCGTCTTTCTACTGAGAATCAGACTGGAAGCTCTCTATTCCCGCCATCGGTTACGCGAAGCGATTTGCGTCTCAAAGAGTTGAGTTATGCTCTGTATGCCTGGGCGCAGGCTTCCGGTGACAAGGACGGAGTTCAGCCGTCGCCATCGGAGATGTACCTAATGAAGGATGGAAATCCGTATGAATTTACCAGTCAATTGCCATGGACGAAAGAAGATCTCGCCAAGTTTCCATATGTGTTTTCTAGGCGGATGACGACCGCTTTCAACACATATTGGGATGCTGGATTAAATCCTGGAGGCCATACCAATGTTTCCTACGGCACAATCCCGTTGCATAACATGAACGGTCTGGAGACGGGCCAGACCTACAAAGACTCCTTCATGAACACCACCATGGGTACAAGAATAACCACGATTGATGTTTACAGCGCGCAACGCGTCTGGGTCGGTCTGTTGCTATTCACGACGATGGTGCTGCAAATTCTTGCCATTTGCGGCCTCGTTATCGAGATTCTGATTCAAGGCCCGGACATTCTCGGTTTCGCTAGCACTCTAACCAGAGACAATCCATTTGTGCCGCTTCCGGCAGGTGGATCACATCTCGACGGACCTGAAAGAGCAAGATGTTTAAAGAATATGAGGCTTGAGCTCGTGGATGTGCGCCCTGAAGATGAAACTGGCTATTTAGCCGTGAGGGCAGTGTCATCGGCCAAAGGGCAGGATACGAGCATGATTGAAGGGAGCGTAAAATCGAGAAAGTGGGTGCACTTGAATAGGAGGAGGCTGTACGAATAAAGGGACTAGCCTCGATTGAGCAGCTCCAAGTGCCGGGGCCGAGATATGGTAACCGTAGCAAACAGGGATTGTCCAGGTCCCTGATAAACTAAACAAATTTATCCTGTCAATGCCAGAGCCGATCTCGCTGAGTCACGCTTCGAGCTTCGCATAAAAGCGGTGCACATGCCCTCGACAGCGGTTCCGATAGGACACGGGTGATACCGAGCGTTATTTACGGAGTGGCACCCCCTGGACTTGGCTCTAGACGGGCCCTGGGCCTGACGGCGCCCTAGCTTCGAAGGAAAAGGCTTGAATCACATCACCCCGGGCGTTGGGATGGGAAAAGGCTTAGCTGTTCACTAGTGACGTCCAGACACTAACGCCGTACGACGCATCCAATAAATCTACGCCCGCGGGCCCCGCCTCGTCTGCAGGGATTTCTCATTGTGTCGGCGCGTGAAAGCTTCGAGACTCTGCTCCTTCAGGCCTAAGCGTTGCCGGTTTTCCCGTCTGTTTGGGACCAACAGAAATACGAGAATAAATGTAATTTGACTCCCTCGTAAAAAACTACTAAAAAAGCGTTTTGGGCTGAACTTAGATCTCCTTTTTTTTATTTCCCTCTCCCCTCCCTCCCTCCCTCCCTTCCTCTCCCCTCCCTCCCTCCCTCCCTCTTCCTCCTCTCGTGTCTTGTCGTGTCTTTTTTAAACATATCAGGCGTTCTTCAACCAGGGCTTAAATTTGTTTTCCCCTTCATCCACCAAAGTCAAAACTGAATTGCCCAAGTGTTCTTTTTTTTTTCTCCACCTAATGACCTTTCTCTATTTCCAAGCGAGGTGACACGTACGAATCGCAATTTCGTCGCCAAGATGAAGACCGCAAACCTCACACATATGGCCAAGCTGCTGCTACCGCGGGCAAGCAGGCAGAAGGGCGTCCTCCTGGCCATGGGCATTCTGGTAATCTTTGGACTGGTAACCCATACTTGGGGTTTTTATTTTGAACCTCGCAGCGTTCTGTCGTATCGGTATGTCGCGCCTGTGGCAACAATGTCACTCAGCATTCCAGCGAAATGTCGCTAACAAAACAATTCGCTTGCAGAACAACGCGCAGGTCAAACCCGCATCAAGTGAAGCTCGCATCGCACACGTCGGATTTAATGCATGATCTATGGAAGCCTTTTCTTCTCGACATCAATGCGACAAGCTTTTACACAGATGAGGGGTACCATTACGAGGTGCCCAAGGAGAACAAGAACTGGTCGAAGCCATTGGGGAAGAAGCTCCTCATTTTGGACGTTGACACTCGATTGGACAAGGGACCCGGCGCGATGCTGAATGACTCGGCGCTGGACTACAAGCAAATGAAGGGACGAACTGGTGGAATTATGAACCATTATCTCTATGGTATGATCTTGTTCCGCTGCGGGGAGAAGAATGCTCGGCTAACAAGCTTCAGCGATGATTCATGGCTATGATTATAAATTTGTCCGAGCCCCCGATTATCCTGAGCGACATCAGACATGGGTTAAGGTCCCAGTGATCCGAGAAGCGCTCAAGTCCCACGATTTCGTCGTTTTCATCGACGCCGACGCCGAATTCATGTACCCCCAGGTTCCTTTGGAATGGTTGATGAAGCGATGGAATATCACGGACCAGACTCTTATTGCGCTAGCAAACGATCCTGGCGATTCTGATCGAAACAAAGATGAAAAGGGCAAGGTCTCGCAGAACACGGGCTTCATCATCGCCCAGCAGAGCAACCGAACACAAGAGCTCTTTGACGATTGGGAGCATTGTCCAAGCGAGAAGAAGTTCAAGGGCTGTGCACGATGGGCAAACGACTGGGCACACGAGCAAGCCGCCTTCTCCAATTACGTACGATACAGCTATGACCAGCCCCAAGACATTGGCACTATACCATGCATGGACGGGAATGGCGCTCCGTATATTGGAGATAAGACTTGTGGCGGAGTCTTCATCCGTCACCATTGGTTCCGCAAGGAGGACCCTGCGAAGGATCTCCAACGAATAGTCCTCGAGGCTTTTATCAGTCGGTTACACGCGGGATTTCACAATGAGATACAAGACAACTTCTTAGATGCGAGTCGTCATACGTACCCGCTCAGTCATGTAGTCATTTAAGCGTAAGTTGCATGCATATAGACATATATACTTTTAATACGAGAAACGTTTTCATAAATCTCCCGATTCTTCAGCAGTGACGGACGATAAATGCATAACCAGGGGTCATATCATGACGATTGCGTTCTCCAGCTTCAGCCCAGGAGGGCAAAGACAAGCCTTCATCTGTGAGGTCAAACCGTAAAATCGTCCCTGAGTTAACGTTACACCTCGTAAGACGTGTCCAATCAACCCCCCTGTCGCATGCTTTCCTGGGAAGCAATGCCGCTGACATGATGAGATTGGGAACCAGGCGTTAGCAAATCAAAGCCTCTGACTGCGAGTTTACACGGGCCGAAACGCCATGATTCTCCACTTAGCCGGCAGTATTTCCGCTCTGAAGTGTCTGACCGTTTTGTACGACAGCCCCTTGTCCTTGTCCCTGCGTCAGATCATATTGTGGGCACGCGAGCGCTGAGTTCTGTGGAGAAAGGTTGGTTTGTATTGGTACGGATAGATGAGATCAAACAGTGCCAAGTGATATTCAATGAGTTGAAAGGGTTTATAGGATTGGGATGCTGTAAGTGATTACGACGATGATTACGAGTCAGGGCGGTGTCAGAAAAGGGTGAGAAAAGGGTCATATTCCTCCGGAAGGACGAAGGATGACTGCAGCTCGGTTACCGGCTGGGCAACATCACCTGATTCGGCGATTGCTATTTCTGGTGGTTTGCTGCCGTTGTCGTATAGCAAAGTAAAAGCGCATTTGGGTAATCATAAGAGAAGTGTACTGATATTGTGATTTGCATACAAAGTTCCAATCTTAAAATAACTCAAAAACCCAAAACAAAAACATACGCGCTACCGTCTAGCGTTAAAGAATATATACAGACGAACTGAAGCACCCACAAAGACTAGCGCCTCCACCGCTCTAGCTGATAACAATACGAGGACCAGACTTAGCCGGGTTCCAGTAGATGGCATCAAGATCGTAGACACCAACAAGCTCAAGCCCCTCAACAGTACCAGGCTTCTTGCAATCCGTCTTCTGGGTCATGTAAGGGCCATAAGTAGCCTCCCAGGTCGCGAAACCTCCAACCTTGACATCCATGCGTCCCAAGTGCACATTGCGCTGGTTACCGGGACCCCAGCCGGCACGAGGTCCAGGAGCGGGTGCAAGGCTAGAGAAGAGATCAAGCTTCTTGCTACCAATGACGTTCTCCCCGGGAGCGAGGTAGAAAGCAAATTGGCATTTCTTGCCTCTCGCGGCTTCGGGGTACTTGAATGTGAGGAGGGTTGTGATATCATTGCCACCGTTGCCAGGTGCCTTTGTAACGCGGCCTTCGTCTGTATCGTAGATTGCACCGTTGTTGATGTTGTAGGTGTGGATTTCAGCTGGGGTGAAGTAATCGTCGTTGCGGGCCTCAAGGGGAGCAGCAAGGCCAGCACTGGCGATGGCGAGGATGGAGAAGATGGTTTGAGCAAGCATTTTGAAGATGAAGATAGAATTGATGATGGAACCTTGGAAGAATAGATGTAGTAGTTGTTTAGATGTCTGGATTGAGAGTGTGTTTGAGATGATGAGAACACTCAATTGACGAGGACAGACTACCTCTTCTTATACACGATGGCTTCATGCATCAATCTTCAGCTCATCACACTTACAATACACAGCACTTCCTGCTCTGCCTCGCGACAAACTCAATCAGCCTAACAGACCCTCGAAATAGCATCCCTGGCAGTCTAGCAACACCTAAAAGAGAATAAGCTTAATCAATACAGCCCAGTCTCCCTGCTCAGCCTTTCCCTCCACAAGCCTCTCCTCCCTCGAGGCGTCCAAACATCACGGCACGATGACATTTTGGCGTGCGCCAGACCAATCAGCGTTCAGAATGGTATGGCGAAAGTGGCACGTGGTCCGGTCTTTGACGGAGCTTCAACTCGGAGCTGAGAGCTATGGCTTGCATTTATTGATGAATGACCTGCGGGAGTGGGGAAGAGGTTCGCCATTTTTGGAAAACCTGCGGAGGAGATTGTTGGCTTGGCCTCAATGCCAAGATCAGCCCTACGCCTTGGTCTTTGACAGCTCCAATGGTGTTGAAGAAGGCGTCGGTATTCCGCTCAGCTGCGGAGAGAAGCTTGAAAATGTCTTAAACTCGGCTGTTATGGTCATGAATTATTGAGTCCAGGACTCGAAAAGAACTTTGGTCTTGTTGTTGGCTGCAATGAGTGAAGGAAGCGACAAACTCTGATCTCTGGGTAGCAGCATTGGGAGGCTGTGAACTTGGTAGGGTGATATCTATTTTCGGCAGAAGCAGTCTGTTCCAGCGCAAACGTCTCACATTAGTAGGTGCATGTTGCTGTGGTCACTTCATCTTTTCGTAAAACTACTTGACAAGAGATTTAGTAGCAGGGCGGCTCGCGATGTTTGTTGATAGTACTTATCGCCATCTATCCGATGCTGGGATAGAGTCTAGAACCAAGAAGCGTGCAAAAGGGAACTAAGCTATACTATTGAGTGCAGCCAATGCCACTGTCTTTATTTATATGTAATAAATCTATTTTATATTCTACAGTATTCATCTATTAACTATTAATATATAAATCAAGATTTATAATAAGTAGAGTCTGGCAATAGTAATGTAGGATTTCTTTTTAGTTATTTAAGAGTACCTTAGAGAAGATCTGTACTCTGTAGGGTAGTGGTATTCTCTTATCGATAGCAGATTGACGGAGTTGGATGACATCACTGATAACGACTTCTTATCTCTTATCTATTATCGCTTTATCACACTCAGGACCAAGAGACCTGCCGTTCAGCCCAACAAGGCGCAGTTAGCGCACGGAGGCGGATTAATTGCCACCGATGATGTCGATCGGAGCGCTCCATGAGGCCGAATGAGGTTAGCAAGATAACAGATCGGCGGGTCTTCACCTGTTCCGATGTTACGCTGACAAGCCAACATTCATGTTCACATTCCGCCAAGATCAATATATAAATGTCCAAGATCCCTTGATAATCTAGAAATTAGCCAAAGCAATTCATTCACAATAAATACCCATCTTACATTATAAAATCGAGTCAAAATGAGCAAGTCCTACGACCAGCTCCCAGCAAACAACAACATGCAGCCTGCCAACACTGTCTTTGAAGTCGACTTCAAGTGGAACAAGATGAAGGCTTTAGTCTCAGAAAAAAACCCTCAGACAAACACCTCAACACCCAAGTACATCGTCGACTATCATGCCTTCAAATGCACCGCCCTCGTCTTCCATCCCTACGAGGACCCTAAAGCTGTAATCGGCACTGGTACACTCCATCCCGTCACAATCCATGCAACCTACGAGCTCCACGGCCAAAAAGGCACTATCAAAGCACTAAAGCGCTTCATGACATCATACACCCACCTCTCATACAACTACTCCAACAATCCTGACGGAACACCCGCTGCCATGACATGGGCCAGTGCTAGTAGCTTCAAGACATGGGACTTTATCTGTCTCGATGAGCAACAGTCTGCAGTGGCCAAGTTCTCTGCTAACTGCTGGTCTCTCAACAATATCGGGTGTATCGAGTTTCTAGGACCCAAGGCTAATGATCCTGCGGCAAGAGAAGAGATCCTGGTAACTGGCATGACATTGTGTTATCAGATGATCCTTCGCACGACCAACTTCTTAAATCTTGGTGGTGCTATCTTTGCAAGAACTGGGCCGTTGGACAAGGAGGCAGCGCCCAAGAAACCAATGGGAAATGGAGACGGCAAGAGTATTAAGGAGTTGGAAGTGACTTCGGGGATAGATACTGGGCTTGAGAAAGCATAGTGTATGTATTGAACATATGTTCTGCTGTATAACGTCTACCTTGTGGTATTGAACAACGGAGAGTAAAATTTAAAGATCATTGAAGTCAAGTATCCTTGACCGTAAACCATATCCCTGAACCATTTGAAGGACATGTAGAACACCGTCCTGGACATGGCATGGGCGTGAATACTGCGGGCATTTATATCTACTTGGTTTAGATATAGAAAGGAATACAGCATTCGATTCCAAAGTGGTAAATAAAATCACTGTAAATAACAGTCAGCCTGGAACATATTATCCAACTACATCTTTCTTACTTTATCGTGTTTTGGTCTTATTAACAAGCGCTAATGTCGACTTTAGGGTTAATTTTACTAAGGATTGTAATACTAAACCTATCCTTAGTTGACTTATACAATACTTTATTAATAAAAGCTTACTAATAAGTCTGTATTATTATTATTATTTATATTTATCGATTTCTTAAAGCTTAACTAGCTACTATGAATATCCTACTAAGATACAGTTATAGTAGGTAGATATTTTAAAGTATTAATTAGCTTTCATTCTTTAGACATTAAATACTATCTAGATAGAAAAAGAATTAATAACTACAGTTCTCTTATATTCCTAGGAGGAAGGAATACTCGAGGGCTCTGGAATTCGTATAAAGACTCTAAATTGTCATGCCAGCCCCCAAATGCTGAATGGCATTGCCTAAGATGGAATTTCAATCTCCAATCCTCGGTTGTCCAGTTCCCTGATGCCCATTCAAGTCGTTCTTGGATAAAGCTTTCGACATCAAAAGGCTGACCAGGATGAAAGTTGGAGCAGATGAGTGGGAAGCTGTCAATACTGTCAGCGTGATGATCTGTCAAGTACTTGACTGCCTTTGAGAGGTGGCCGCTGTGCCATCGTTGGTGGGGAGGTGACACTAATGTATTGAATTGGTGAGGACGCATTCGAAGCAGCTCTTGGCTGGCTTGAATCAAAGCGTCTTGCCGAAGCAGGATATTCTGGAAGATGTCAGAAAAAAAGGATTAGTCAGGTTCTCCATCGAAGCATAGCGTGTAGGAGTTGCGGGGCATGTCCGCGTCTGGCAATGTGATTGCTTCTTCTAGCCATATGGTTATACCGTCAACTGCAAATTTGGGAACAATGTCTTCCCCACCGCCTTGGTTCCTACGCTGACTGCGAGGTGTAGCAAGAGTGCTGTATCTAATCATATCCCAACAAGGGTGGAGAGCAGCAGGGATGCGGCGGCATAGTTTGAGGTGGCGTTCTATTCTCAACTTTGGATTGTCTTTGCAGAACTGGATGAGACCCATGGCGTGAGTTGAAGGGGAGCAAACAGCATATTCATCCTCGATGAGTTTGATACCTCGTAGATGCCGCCGTTGCTCAAGGGAAAGCTGACGAAAGAATCTGATTGCAACCGCGGTTGCAGAAAAACGATATTTTGCGCGCACTCCATAATGCCAATCCTTAACACGCCGCCATATAACATCATCCCTCAATAAGCTTCCGATTCTTGTGAGAAGGGCTTTGGACGGGATATCCCAGGGGTCCAAGGTTAGATCAAAGAGATCTTGCTGATTTTTGGAGCCTTTCCAGCCAGGAAATGCTTCGTTGAGGAGGTCAGCCAGTTCAAAATATCGACGCTCTCCTAGGAATCGGAAACTGAATGCGATAGCTTCTCTCGCCATAGACACATTTTTACCCCATCCCCTTATACTCTCATCGCCAAAGTCTTTAATGATTTCGCTTGTTTCTTGACCGAGCTCCCAGTATCGAAAGGCACTGCCCTTTCGGACAGTAGGGTCTTCCCTAAAACGTCTGTGATAGATACTCTCCAGACGATTCTTGAAATCCGGCATCATATGCGGGAACTTTCCTTCTATTGCTTCTTCCAGTTCCTGAGACATTTCAGGGCCTTGGAGAAGACAAATAAGACCCACCTTCAGAATGCTAAGAAAGTGCGACAGGAACTGGTGACGGCCAGCCCAAGCCCTCAACTCGGGTAAGAAGAGGGTGGAGAAAGAGATGTTATTGAGTTCAAAAGGTAGATGTTTGGTATCGTTTGCAATCGAGCGGCAGGCGTACATCAAGGAGAAGTCAATCGGTTGACCGTCAGCGGTGGTGAGCTTTTCAGATTCGCTACTGAAGACATACCCTCCTTCCACGCGGAAGTACTCCTGAAAGATCTTGTCGCGCACCTCGTAGGAAACGTGACGAGGTGGGGGCGAGACATGTTGGACGAATAAGACAGTGAGTGTCCAGTTAAAAAAGATACCCGGACTGGCTTAGAGGAATGAAGTTTGAGAGAACGCGGAGAGATAGGCATTTTATAGACGAGCGGGGAGAGTTGATGGCGTTGCTGCCTGGGGCTATAGAACTCAGTCTGTAGCCAGCTTCACCGAGGAAAAGCATAATTTGAGCACCGAGAGGTCAACAAGGTTCAAGGAATAACACTATATCTTGCAGTATCTGTCTATGATGCATTCTATTTGTGCTTCTTAATGAGCCTCAAGGTTTAAATTCAGGCACCAGTGGCTCAACTTCTGGTGATGCAGACCTGTCGCCTATCAATCCTGCTTCTCTGCATCCTCAAAGGCAATCCTCCTCCACGTTTTGGGACAACCTTTCTCGATGCGCCACTTCTCTGACGTCTCCTTCACCGACATGGCGAAATCCTTTCTCCAGCCCTTCTCAAAATCCCACTCTCCCATCATCTTGGCACCAAGATGCCAGGCCAAGACACTCTCCACACGAGCTCCCTCCGGAGCATGTAGCAGTGCAACAGCGACGTCAATACACTCTGGACGATCGTCAACGGTGTAGAATACCGTTGCAGAGCAGCGAGAGCAGAAATATCGTTGAACGTCAGGCGAACTTCGATAAATCGCGAGCGTGCCGTAACGAGAGTCTCGGTCGGGATTGTCGACTGCACTCTTCAGATCAAGCGTATTTCGCGGAAAGTCTGAGCCCTTGGTCTTCTCTGGGAAGTCAATCTGTTGAGGCATGACAAATGTCCAATTCATGACGTCAACACCAACTGTCAAACGGCATGAGGGGCATGGATCGAGTGTTGCAAGGTGTTTATGGGTCTTTGGCTCGATAAACGACGGGATTGCACTAGCCTCCATGGCAGAGAAGTCCACATTACCGGGACGGAAGACAAGGTCAACTCCCTTGCAGTGACAGCGGATAGGTATATCTGTGGCTGGAGAAGATTCGGGCTGAGCATCTTGACTCGCAGCAGGCCAACTTTCACCCAATTCCCAACCATCTTCAGGACTCTCCATCCACCTACGGGGCTTCTCCCTGTCACCATTCACATTCTGAAGCCACGATGAAAGGCCCCCATCGACCGTGTCACCAACAAAAATCTGCCTCGTAAGGTTGATAAGGTTGTCAACGTCAACATTGTTCAAGACTCCGGTGAAAACGCCAAATTTCTGGGGCTGATCTTTGTAGTGAACATTCCAGAACATGGGACATGAACATGTGCCGCAGAACAAAATTTCGCAATTGGAGGTGAATTCGTAGGCTTTCAGATCAGAGTTGCGAATTTCATCTGCTGGACCAGGCCAGTCTATGGTGCAGTTATACATGGCACCAGTGGCGGTTCGGCATGAGGTGCAGTGGCATATGGATGCAGGCAGAGGGAGTTTTGATCGAGGCACTTCGGTGGTGAAGGTATGCGCTTTGCAGTGGCACTGGGCCGTGAGGGTGATGTTTTGATCCTCGGTCGTCATCGTGTTTGCAATCAGAGACAACGGCCGATATGAAGTTTTATGAAAAAGTCAAAATGTGTGGTTGAAGAGTTCTTTGTGAAGTTGTTAACGGTAGCAGCAGTAGGGGACCGTGAATTTTGTAATACCCCGCCCCCAAGGGCGTGAATGATGACCAGAAGCGTTCTTGTCGCGCAATGACGTCGTTTGATAGTAGCAGCAAAGTTCTAAGACCTGGCCATGTTTATTTAGTATGCATCGCAATTAGATTTGATAGCCAAATCCTTTTTCTAGAGAATCCCCTCATGCTTTGGGCTATATGCTGTTCGCGATGTTTTATTGGCTTCTGCTGCACAGCCCCCGTATAGCCTCACGATGCACGATTCCTGTGGCTGACGTGATGCTGTCCTCGACAATGTTAACTTTTCGAACGTCGTCTTGACGGAAGCTTATTTCAATATAAAACTATCATCACTCGCATCTTTTCTCAGTAGAGAATCTGATTCCTTTGACATATCGCCGCCAGAATGTCCGAAAAGACCAAATCCGCAATCTTCGACCACCCCGAAGCCTCATCCACTGCACCGCCACCATTCAACCAAGCTGTGTCAGACGCTGGACCATCAACTTTCCAGAGTCGCTTTGCATCCATCACACGGCATGGACTTGATCGCATTAGGCTGGTAAACCTCTCAGAGGTGGAAATCGCGGCTATGCACGAAATTGTGAGAACATATTGGGAACGCGGGATTGACAAGGTCTATCCGCAAGAGGCGTCACGGGAGTTCAAGGTAGGAGGCTATGCATGGGGATATGACCCGAATGGCAACGAACAAGCGATGATGTTGACGCTTCGGATCCTGGAGGGCATGCATGGTCTAGGCTGGGTGATTTATTCTCCTATTGAGGTGACTAAGAGGGTCTCGACGAAAGGTGAGTAGATGCGCGATGCACGCAAACTGGACAAGACATACTGACATGTTAGATGCGCTCATCTTCCGCAAAGTGAATAATATCCCTCCCCCGTGCGAATGGCTAAACGTGTCATTCCACGCTGGAGATAAACTAAAGATCCTCAACTTCCCGCCTACAGATCTTGTCAACGATATCATGGCGACTTTCATGGCTGATATACAACGACATGAGGTCACACCAGACCGCGCCAAGATTAAGTTCAAGGGATACCCGTGGAGACCGCTAGAATCTGATGGAGCTGAGACCCAACTGAAACTTCTGGCGTTGCTTGAAATCTTTGAGCGCCACGGGTTCACGTTATACGCGAGGACGAGCGCAAGATTCGCTGATGAGACGAGCGAGTCGAACGTCTTGGTGTTCCAGAGACGACGGGACTGGGTCGCAGGGAAGTCTCTATACGATCAAACCTGATCTCATGCACGAACTGGCTATTGTTTGCATTCACTTCTGTTCGAAAGTTCAAAGCACGAGATGATTCATCATGACATGAAGATCTTTCATAATTTATTTTATAGAGCTGTAGATTACCATTCCCTGATTCAACGTCACGCATTATATCAAGTTTGTAGAAAATCAAGAAAAGTCCTTGTTCCTCCTCACAGCCAAGAATGTCAAACTCCACAACTGCCTAACATTACTCTCCGTTCCAGAGCCAAGTCCCGGCGGAGGCGGCAACGTTCCCAGAGGCGCGAACTTATAACCACTCTTCGAACTATAACTCCAGCTCCAGACCTCAGACTGCAATCTCTCGCTATTATCCTCAATGATATCCCACAAACGATTGTAAGCGCTTTTTAAAGCAGTTCGCACCCCGGTATTGCTGCAGAACGCAGGAACATTATCGTCATCCGAGGACTGGGATGATGAACATCGTGCAAGCTGACGCTCGAGACCCTTGGCCATGAGTGCGAGTTGCCAGCTCCAAACTACGGTGCCATGATATGCGGCGTTGGTGAAGTTGGCGGTGAAGACTTCGTTGCCTGCTAGTGCAGGGTTTGCCACCACGATGCCGAGGGGAGTACTCAGACCCGCTGGGAATGGACGAAGGATGGAGTTGGCTGTTGCGTTTAAGAAAGTCGTGAGCTGAGCGTCATTGGTTGAGTTGAGAAGAAACAGACGGAATGCCGTATCAGTATGCGTGATACGTATCTTCTGCTCATCCTCAGTCGTGTTGATGACCAGAGCGTAGTCAATGACTTTCCCAGAAGACGAGTAGTTAGCAACTGAATCTGCATGGGTTGATCCGTCGTAGAAGGTATTTTCTTTGACGTAGTCCTTGAGATTCGATGTAGCTGTCTTGACAGTGAGATTATACTGGAACAACGGCAAGGTATTGTCCTCCCAAATCTTGGCCCTCTTCGCCGCAACAGAACTCCAAGACTTGGTCACAGAATTATTGGGATACACTCCTTCAACCGTGGCCAAGTTGGAAATAGCGTAGAGTGCCGCTGGGACGAGAGCGCAGTTTACGTCAAAGGGTATGCGTCCATTAGCAAGACCATATGTCGAGTCTCGCCATTGACCAACCAGTTCACCCTTCTTGAGCTGAATCAAGTTCTTCACTGATTGTTCTTTCTCAAACGCTGCTGTAATGTTCATGATCTTCTGTGCGTTGATGTAGCTCAAGTTGCCCCATGTCAGATTTCGGTTCTCGACATCAACTTCGCCAGCCTTTGTGCCCAGCAATGATTTGACTCGCGCTGGTGTAGCGTTGAAATATCGATCCATGAGGACTGGCAAGAAGTAGTCTGTATCAATCATGGGATATGTAAAGCCTGGTGCTGTCGAATCAATGCCGTTCTGCAAGTTAAGAAGCGTCGCGTAGTCACCGATGGTCTCTTCGTGACAGACCGAGCCGTCCGTGCGATTGATCCGTTCCAAGACGGCGCCTATAACTGCTTCTAGAGCCGAGTTATTTCCTGCGCTGAGTACAGGTTCGAGTAAGAGCGCGGAGATCATGGTGTCTCGGCCGAAGTAGGTCAAGAACCGCCAACCACCTGCGAGCAGCTTGTCGGTGTATGAGAAGAAGGATAGCGACCTGATCTCCGACTGCTCTTTCTTGGCGAGTGATTGCGACTGGTTGTTGAGGACTTGTTGAGGAGATAATTGTTTCAGTTGAGGATAATTGAAGGACGCCGAGAACTTGTAGAAGCCTGCACCAAAACTAACAGTGCCGTTATATATTGACAAGCTGATATCCTTGTTCTGCCAAGGCTCCAGCAACAGGTTCGTTGTCGTCACATTGTCCAACCATAATCTTGATATAAGAACACCACCATTCTTCACTCTCGTGACGTTTGTGGCATTTTGAATCACAGGATTAATGATACTCGGCCCTTCTGTAAAATCCCTTATGTTCCGGATTGAGCCAAGGATAGCAACCGTGAGATTCGCCGACGAGTTGAATGACACAACACCCTCCACTCCTACAAAGGGATAGTCTGAATCCTTTTCTTCCCGATTGATCACACCGAGTGGCGATCCCAAAGTCGAATTGACCAGCTCAATAGCTAGAGTGCCATTCTTCTCGTCCTGGGGCTGGAAGAAAGTGCATATACCGCTGTTCCCCGCAGGCCACGCAACAATGAGACGAGGTCCGATAATCGACAGGTTACTGTCTGGTAGAGGACTCGTAACAACGACTTGCGCGTCAGTATTGCAATCAGAGTAGAAGTAGTTCTCATAAGGTGGATCGCTGAGCTGTTGGGTGATAACAGGGCATGAATCGCCCAACGCAACGGTGGCGTACAATACGGCCAGAAGCACAGCAATAAGAGGCGTCATTTTTCCGGGCAAGCAGAACAAGACTTCAATTAGACACTCGAATGCCCAAAGGTCAGGCTGGATGGCCATGTCGTGCTTATAAATTGCTCAAGATCGACATGACAGATTGCGGGGTTGAGCTGGGGAATCGAAGCTAACAAAACAAGAAATGGAAGCCGTTGGCACCAATTTGAGTTACTGGGTCTTTAAAGTTTGGGGGAGCTGGGAGCGATGACGACAACGTATGGCGATACGATGATCCAAAACCCGAATTGCAATGTACTTCCCGTCAGTTTGATCGAGATGACTGAGATGGACGTTCGTGTCGTTCATGCTACGCCAAAAACTTGACCACGCTAGAAGCAAAGATAAATCGTCGGTGCTATTGATGACTGTCAACTTTGTCGAACCATATCAAGTCGCCAACAAGCGGCTCAAGATCCATGCCCATCCTGACGACCTTGCCGTCCTCGATTATAAACTCGGTCATCAGGACTTCGTCGCCCGTATCAAAAGCGTCTCGTACGTGCGCATCGTACACAGACTGATCCCGCTTGCGCTTGAGTCTCGCTGTGAATCCCAACGAGCGATCTGTTGCATCAATGAACAACTCATCGTCTCTGATCTCCACTCGTATGTTGTGATAGCCAGGGTTCCAATAATCGCCAGTATAAGCTCCGAGAGTCATAGTCCTCCGTGAGGCGGCTTTCACTTCAGAGACCGCAGTACTCTCTATCTTCTGGTCCTTTTTATTCCCAGCCTTCGTCTTAAACATGCCAGTGGGGTGAATTTGTGACACTGAGTTTTGGTGCATGCGCACTGCTGGTGACTTCATAGGCACATCTCTATCAGTGATCGTGCTCAACTCCTGTCGGCCGATGTCGGAATTGATGACTTCTGCAATAAACTCGCGAAACAGCTGTGCAGCCACTGAATTGGTCCCCGAAGAATTGCCCATCACAACAGCTCCAAACTTGAGACCTGGCAGAAACACAAAGCGACTACCAAAGCCTGTGGTATCACCGCTATGCCCAAACACTGCATGCCCGCTTTGCCAGTAAAGATCCATACCAGCAGTGTAGGAAATCCGATCGATGCCGGTTTTTCGTTGACGGGAATTGGCACCTCGTTCGGATCGCGGCCGTGTCAACCCTTGGTATACATACTCACTTATCGGCCCGTCGCGATCGATAAAGGCTCTGAGAAACTTGATGAAATCGTTGGCGCTCGAGATTACTGACCCCGCGCCTTGGCCTTCGGGACAATTCACTGCTTCAAACTCGCGATATGATGCGGACTTCTTGTCCCAGATATGCCCTCTTGCAAGACGATGGGCATGGCCTTTAGCATCGGCGCTTTGGGGCTGCAGACTGCTCGACGTCATGTCAAGACGATCAAAAATGCGCTCTTGTAGGAATTCGCTGAAAGACTGTCTGCTCTTGGCTTCTATAAGATATGTTAAGACAGTGTACATCATGTTGCAGTAGATGTATCGTGTCCGTGGTGGAGCAGCGACAGCGAGGTTTCGCAGATTTCGTGTAATTGATTGCGCATCATCAGGCTCAGTAGCGCGTGTTCCCATGTATGAATCATCGTGGCTACACCACTGTTAACTCAGTCTATCGAGCGCCAGTGATTCTTACCCAAGCATGCCAGTATGGTGCCCTAAGAGGTCATCTACAGTGACGGTATTGGTGTGCAGCTCATCCGACATGACAAAGTCTTCGGGCAGCAGTTCAGACATGACTGAGTCATATTGAATTTCAGGAAAGTCGGTATCCTCGACTAAAAGAGAGATTGCTGACGCCGTGAGCGATTTTGAGGATGATGCGATGTCAAAGAGCGTGTCTGCAGTGCATGGTTCTTGAGACTTGACTGAAGCGAAGCCATAGCCTGTGGACTTGACCTGGCCACCTTGGACAACAGCAACAGAGAGGCCAGGAACACGGTTACTTTGCATCAATGTCTCAACGCGATGACTGAAGTTTAGGGAATTGAACAGGTCCATGTTTATTGCTTTGGGTTGGGGGGAAAGGTTACAGCATTTCGCGTCGCTCGAAATGTTATGGTAGCTGAGGCGTAAGCAGTGATGATTGCGCTATTTTAGTTAGACTTGCTGACTGTACAGGGAGCTTAGGTAGTGGAACTGATACCAAACTTAAGAGCTAAAGTAAAAGAGAAGCAAACTATGATCTCCAGTATTGAACAGCATCTTAGACCCCATTCTTCCCCCATTCCTGTCCCAGTCCTTGCGGGCCGCCCAATACCTTGCTAATTAGTTTTACGTGTCTCTGTGCGTCCCTCTGCGCGAATTCATTCGGACCCGCCTGCCACTCACGAAACTTGTCCGCTCCAACTTCCGCAACTTCATCAACGACACCGCCAGTAAACGAAGCAAGCGCAACCCGCGCAGGCAAGGGGATGGCTAGTAGGGCGATCTGTGTAGCGATTGTGCAAGTAGCAGCTCCGACGCCCTTCTGGTATACCGCAATCAGACTTTCCTTGGCAAGCTCAGTCATGTACTGATCCATGGTGTACGTTTCTAATTCCCTCATCCGTTCTAGGGACATGCCTGGCAGCGGTTTCTGTACTTCATGTTCCATTATCGCGTTGTATTCCTTTAAGTTGTTTAGTTCCTCATGCTCATTCACGATTTTGACATCGTCCTTGAGAGCTGGAGATGAATCTCGAGGCGGCTTGGAAGACTGAGATAGCCAGGATTGCTGGTAGGCCTGAACCATGGACCTGATTCTCGTGTTTTCGTCCATTCTCATGACGTTCTTCAATAGTGGCACTGCTGCTATTTGCATTGCCTTCATTAGGCCCGTCGTTCCGGTAGGATCGATGTAGTTTACCGGATCATTGCTGCAGTAGCAGTACAAGTTCAGCCCATCCCTGGTTCCGACAGGATCTGGTGACATCCAACGCCCAAGCCACGGAGCATAGTACCGCGCGTTGCAGTAGTATAGCCCCGTCTCTTTATCTCTCTCGTAACCAGCAAATCTGTACTTGCGGGATGCCTCTTGTTTTGATCGTCGGAGAGAAAAGGAACTTGAACCAAACGGTGAATACTCCTCGTAAGTTATGACAAGTCCCGACTGATCCAACTCTAGCTTGTCAGACATGTGATATCGGACCAGAGGAGGAGACTGCGAAGATAACGCTTTGTCCTCTTCGGCAATGGCCACGAGTTTCTGTTCAGCAGTATTGATCAGATGGTACCGTTTATCCTTGCTGTAGCCAGATTCATCCCCAGTCTTGCACTTATATATGTGCAGAGTGGAAAAGAATAATGTTTCTTTGAGCTTTCTGGGATCCTCTGAACCAGAAGATGATCGCTCCGTCACCTTTCGTAGCCTCTTTCCTTCACTGTTGTACACATACCATGTAGTCTCTGGTGTACCACTCTTCTTGAATTGCCTTGAGCAAGACTTGAGACGGTTGAAAGGATCCCAGTACATGGAATGCATCCCGCCACCGGAAATGATACTACCAGCAAAGCCCGTGCTAGTTTCATCGCCGTAGGTCCATTTCTCTATTTGACCACTCTTCGAAGTGTAGCTGAGCCTATTTCCCGATTCGCCTTTCTTGACCAAACTTTCTTCCTCGTACGCATAATTCCGCACCCACATCTGTCCTTTCGGCCCTGCGTGGTGTTTCACTTGGGTGATGTTATCAGCGTCATCATACTGGTACTCTTCCGTGTATCTGCAGATGCGGGTGCTGTCACTAGGTATGCCCACAGACGACTTCCCTCGCCCATTAGTATTAGCATATTCGCGACCTTGGGCCGATGAGAGACGACCAATAGTGTCGTAAGTGTAAGAGCATCTTGCATCAATGACAGTATTGTTAAAATAGGAGACTGGCTGGGCAGCATCATCGGACTGAATCACCCGGTGCATAACATCGTGTGAATATTGTGTGTCTTCCATGACCCTCCTGTCGTTTTGGCGGATGAGTCTCTTGCGAATCATGAGTCTGGTCGCCGAGTCATACTGAAAGGTTGCCAAGACACCGTTTCCGTACAGGATCTGCTCCGGCTGTCCGTCAGCCACGTACCTCATGTTACTCATGTAATCTTCCCAGAGGTCATCCTTCTGCCCTCTGTTTCTGTATGAAACCCGATTGAGCTGTCCACAAATGCTATAACTATGCCTTGTAACTGCACCTTCGACATCATATGACTCAACTACCCTGTCCATGGCATCATAAGCCTTTCGAACCGTATAAACCTCGGGGTCTAGCTCGGGGTAGCTCTCAGCTCTCCAGTCGATCCATCTTTTGTAGTCAGTTGTGAACTGGGTAGTTGACTCGACACAATTTCCTTTGAAGTCAAAGACTTTACTCTTCTGAATACCTGACTGATCCCGGACCTCAGCTACCTTTCCACGCAAGTTCAGAGACTCAGCATTCTCTACAGCCTCCCCATAGCGAGTCAGCTCTGCCAAGAACTCGGTCCCACCGTGGTGCGAGAGCCAGAGATGGGTCTTTCTGCCTGCAGCATCGTAGACAGACCGTTGCTTCCAGCTACGGCCATCTATCAGAATCACAGCGCGATTCATGCAGTCGAGAAAGGTGAATACCGTGCCCGTGTCCATGCCTCGACAGAGTATGCCATGGCCTAGCAAGTCAGAGGTAACGCTTTCAGCAAGGCGACCTCTACCATCTATTGTTTGAGCCAAATGACCTGCAAGATTGTAAAGACTACGCGTCTCTATCTTGGCTGTTTTGCAGTCTCTGACCCTGAGAACTGGGCGCTCTTGCGCATCCAGATACGTTTCATCGGGTGTCTCACAGTAAACCTCTGAAGCCTTTGCTGCAGCCCTACGTGAAAGCTCTTGGGTCAAAGAGGCAGCGTGCCAGCTGGGGCTATAATTCTCTTTTCCGAGATCCCTGGCATAGATACTGAGATCATTGTCCTCAGAAAGGTCCATCAAGACTGTATCCCCTCTGTCGTAGTTTGTAGTTGTCCAAGTCTCATATCTGACTTTCGAGTAGGCGTGGTCAGGATACAATGTACCAACTAGTCTGCTGAGAGGATCGTAGATCATAGTGGTTGCTTTCGACTGACATTCAGAAGGATGAATGAATCCATGTGAATCGGCATAGCACGGCTGAAACGTGCGAACCGGGTCCCCTTTGCTATTTCGTAAACTCCATTCACCAATGTTCCACTTATATCCATCTTCCCCTGCGTCAGTCAAGCCGGTCGTTTGCAGCTCAGCGAGATTACCATCCAGGTAGGTGATGGATATGGAAATATCACTAGCACTGGTTCCATCCTCATTATGGGACCTTCGACTCAGGTCGATTAAGGCAGTTGGACCGGCATCTGAAAGGTTGCTGGAACGCTTGGTTTGAGCGTCGCAGTACAGCCGGTAGCTAGTGGCACCACCTATCAGCTTGAAAGCAGCTTCTTGCGTCGGACATGCAAAAAAGGCAACTTTATCAGCTTGCGACGGTAGCTTGGAAGCCGTGCTTAGGTTGTCACCAACTAATTCGTTCTCTTTCCCGGATCGGGCTGTTGCCACGACTCGACCCAACAGGTCGTAGCTATAGGCGGTTCGATTGCGGTTTGGATCAACAACACACAACGGAGACATGCATCTGTAATCCATATCCACCTCGGTTACGTTTCCCACCGCATCAGTAGAAAGTTTCGGGAGGAGGTTGTGGTCATCCATCTGAACTGTAGTCCGATTGCCAAAGGCATCTTGGGTAACCGTCGGTGTGTAAAAGCAGCTTCTGGCAGTGGTGAGTTCATTTTCTGCGTCAGGGCCGAAGAGAGTACGCGAAGAAGGGCGCCACCATAGTACAGCACCGTCTTCCTCCGTCGTCTTGATGTAACCATATGTAGTCATAAAACTATCCAAGTCTGAACTCTTAGGTAAATAGTCCTTGAGCAGGTCTTGAAACCATCTGTCTCCTCCAGCCAGGTCAAGTATACCATGCATCACCGAGTAGCCCTGAAATTGACCCAGAGGCAAGGGACCTTCTTGAGACAAGTCCTGATTGCGGTATAATGTCCGCCTCTCTTCGACTTTTACGCGGGCTTCTGAAGAATATGGAGGTAGCATCTGATCTGTGTATGGGACTTCGGGAATACTCCGCAAAGTCTGGAAGCTACCATGGGTAAACCTGGTGAAGGCCGACTGTATGTTGTCGCTTGAGCAGTCTAGGCCAACAATGCGATACTTGCGAGTGACTGACGGCATTGACTTTACAAAGATCTCATTACCATTGTCGAGGATAGGCAAGCAATATTCGTTCTCTGTGTAAGTCAAGACAGTTTCCTTCTGGGAAGAATCCATGATCTTTCCGTTTGAGCGCCCATAGAAGATCTCCATTGATTTCAGTCTATCATTGAAGCTATTAGTCTCCAGGACGAGTTCATGGTGGTAGCGTGGCAGTGATTTTGGCGACCGATCATTTTGAGTCTTGAGTATTTCACGTGGAACGCAACGATATGTGCCCGGCTTCAGTGGGCCTTTTTTAGGCGAGAGCTGGAACACCTGGTGAGCAGTATCCGTGACTTGGTAGACATCTTGTGTAAGTCCAGTCCCATCGTCTCCAAGGATTTCCTCGCGCAGTTGAGATCCTTTGAGAGCCCGGCAGGTGTCCTGCCGATCTTCAAGCTTGGCTGAATCGACGGACCAGTAAGGACCGAATAGACCCGCACAAGATGCTCGCTCTAGGTGGCATATAGTTGGTCTCATTGCTCCTGTATGGAACCAGGTTTTGGTAAGGGTGGCAGGTTGGCGGACTTCCGAGGAGGTACTGATGTTGAAAACGACAGATTCGCGTTGTTCGACCATTCCAAAGCCTCTAAATTCCCTATCAGGAGCATCGTAGTAGCCATCATGATAAGTGAAACTCTTGGTATTCAGAAGTCCAGTCGTATCATCTAGGATCCTGACTTGGCTCACACATTGAATGGGGAACCCTATTTTCGTAGACCAAGAGGCTCCAGCTCGCTCATCCTGGAGGTAATACCAGTTGGAAGACCGATACGAGACCTCTACTCGAGATCCTCTCCCGTTTTGGTATGAAGCTAGACAGTTGGGCTTTGGTCCAGGGGCAAGATCGATATAGTAGAGAGTCTGCGCTGAACTGGACCCTGGTACTTTGCCGGTCCAACATAAACATGCTGTTCCTTTACCAAAAAGGTCCACAGTAGAGATGCTACTCAGTTGGTTGACCGGCGGAAATGACTCCAGAATCTTTGGATCACTCCAGCCGTTTCCTGCTTGGTTGAAATAAATGTGCAGACCGCCACTGGCAGGCATGTAGATCAGGTCGTTGGTACCCGAACCGTTGATATCAATAAGGCGTATTCTTTCGGCAATGGATGTATCACTTTCCAGCTTCGGGGCATTGTACATGCGGATCGGTTCGCTGAACTGCCCATGTGATAGATTCTGCCAATATATGACAGAGCCAGAAGAGATTTGTACGATATCTGACCGACCGTCACCAGTCATATCAGCAAAAGTGACCTGTACAGTAGGGTAATCAGACATCAGCTGTGGAACACCCGTTCTGTTGACAGATCGCCTCAATGGAGAAAATCCAGCTGTGCCTCGGTTTTCTTGCCACATAATCTCCCTGTTCACGGGATCAACGGCCACAAGATCCGCAAGCCCATCTCCAGTAAGATCAAGCTGCTTGAAGAACACCGCCGTGGTATCCCGATTTGGGATCGAAGAGAAGGTGGTGTAGCCAACCCATTTCTCATCATACTGGTAGTAGAAGCCTTCCAGCCTGTTTACTTCGTCTAAACAGACTAGTTCCAGCTTTCCGTCTTGATTCAAGTCCTCAAAGTAAGCGGACTTGCCCAAGTTTCGGTTCGGTCGGGCAGGTATGGTCATGGATGAATCGAACTTCGGGGTAGATGAATCCTTTGTGATATTGTAATTCTTACGGAAGTTCCATGAGCCGTCGGGACGTTGTTCAAGTAGACCAGGCGCCCCCTCCCCTAGCAAGTCCACCCATTGCCACTCATTCCCATCTGCACTGGGTAAATCTGGCAAGTTCTCGGTATTCATGTGTTCAACCTTGGCGCTGGACACATCGATCGGCATATTATACTGGAAAGTATAAGGTGGTAGCGCTTGATGTTCCATCTCCTTCGTTTCATCATTGAACAAATGTCCCCGTTCTGTCAGTGAACATAAGAAGGAGGCCACGGATGACTCTTGGTACTGCATCGAGACAGAACGCACAAGGCGATGCTTCTCTGAAAACTCCTTCGGGAAGTAATGGAACATGAGAATGCGGCGACACAACCGTAGCCAGCGAACTTCAAACCCGGCTGAAGATGTTGAGAATCGGTCTTGTCTGACCAACCAGGGTGAGTCTTCCTGAACATCCGGGTTGTTGATATCATGATCTCCGTAGTCCAGAACTATCTGGAAGTGATACTGTCCATCATATTGAAATGCCTTCCAAGTATCCATATCTCGATTAGGAAGTGTATTGCCGTATTTGATCGCTTTCAAGTACTTCGCACGCCCAAATGTTTCTATCGCTCGGTCCTGTTCCTGAAATCGCGCTTCAGGCGACAAAGTGTCAAGGCCCTGCGTGTCTTCCTCCTTGTATTCATAGGTGATTAAATTCCCAAAGGAGTCGTAGGAACTGCACAGCAGCCAAGAAAAGATATAGGTGCGGCCAGACTGATCCTCACATGAGATTCGCGTTTGGCTTGACTGGCCATAAATGCAAGTGACATTAGAGCCTGAAATCGTCCTCCAATGAACATCGCAGGGATCGCTCAGTCGGCTCCATTGTTCGATTTTCAGAGGATCTCCCATGACTCGAGGTTGATAGGACTGAACAGAGAAATCATCGCCAACACGTTCAGGATCACCCATACAGACCAACTCATCCTCGCCGCTCAGCAGGAAGGTGTCGGTCCCATCGTACATAGGAGTACGTTTGGAAGTCATGCGCGTAATGCAACTCAAGTTCAGTTGCCAGCCGATTCCGAAGCAGCCATTTCCCGAGCCCGAATTATACGACAATTCCAGCTTCGGGCCAAATCCGCCACGTCCCTCAGTTACTGGAATTGGTATGGCCAAGGACATTGTACCATTCACTGGGTTCATCTTGAAAGTTTGGTCGATTGGGCGATGGCTGCCCCCCGCAATGCCTTTCTGAAGGCCCGGGGATGAAATGACCGCCGGAAGTCTCTGGCCCGACGGTGCGGTTTGCTTACTTTTCCCTTTCGACACTATGCCTGGTGGTGCAGTTTGAGAAGATGAGGACCGGCCGTCTGTTGAGCCACCGGCGCTTGGTGCCACGGCATCGCTTGGTTCATATCTGGGATTGCGATTCATATTGCTGGCGACAACGGCGTCTGAGTCTTAACGGTTTAACCTATGTCGACGTCTGAAGGGTTGAGAAGCTATTGGAATGCAGCTCATCTAACGACCTCAATTGTTGTATCATCTATAATATTGCTCAGCTTACGCACCCCAGACAATATGAACAGTCCCCGTACCCACTACCTATTCATGCAAAACTGGACTTGTGATTCTTCAGGGTAACCTGCAAGTAACTTCGATGTGCCATAAGATGGAGTGAGGGATTTCCGGTAGCGATATGCCGGTTCCACTGTTTTCAAAAAATGCGTATAATATCCAGTAGGCTCGTTGCGTGATAGCGCATAATGGCGAAGGTCTGGACTGTCAAGGACCCGTTGGAATGGCCAGCAGTCCCCCAAAACCAGCCGAGAATCATGGCAACTTCTTTTCAGCTCTTGCAAGCAAGCCAATAGGCGATTGCTTCCATTCGACAGATATCATCTGACCCACTAGTCGTCCGAAGATCCATGTACATACATGTATTCATGGCAATATGCATGATACGACTGATCACATCTTGTTATGTGCATCTGGTGACTAGACGCCACTACGTGGGCAAAAGGTTCTGCTTAGACAGAAGTTCGCTAGTGCCCCCATCCACTTTAGTTAGCTGTGTCACATCAATAGCAACAGCGCGCTAGTAGATAAGTAGCTTATAGCCACTGGCAGATCTGAACCGGCTTCCGATTTGCTAACAAAGATCCGAAAGTCATCATAGGCAACTAACACGAAATGCATTGCATTTACGAGCTACCTAGTATGTATCCTTGACAGACTCATCAGGTCATTAACCTGGTTCTAGAATTCCGAACTTGTCAAGTCCAGAAATGCAGATAAAGCAATGCAGCACATGCAGTTTAGTAATGGATACTGCTGTTGATAGATTCGAAAACCTTGAGATGTCAAGGGTCAGCTCACTCATATGAATTGTGGACAGAGGGTGAATGTACCGGAAAAATTGGCAAAGATACGCTGAACGCGATAATCCCCGATCATGAAGCCGGGATACCTTCTTGTGATGTCTTGTTTCCAGTACTCCTTGTTCCTTCGTGTTTCTTCATCATCTGATGGCTGGATCTCTAAAGAGACTTCACCCAAGTTGACTTTGACGGTTAGAACCCATTGAGAAAGACTTCGCGTCTGACCGTTGCGAAAGACAACCTCAGCTGACTTGATACTGCTCGACGTCAGTCGATTTCCTCAGATGATATGTGAGTGGAAACAAACCGAAGCTGATAGTAAGCTAGATTCTCATCATCAGTATGAGCAATTAACATAAGGGTCGGCGCATCAAGTTCGCCAAATATTCGGTCTCCTGCAACATCATCAGAATGGGCAATTCTGGCAACGCCTTCAGTAGTCTCAAATAGATGACGGAAGCTCGCATTGATCAACGCTTGGGATAAGGCAATTGTTTGGTCGTAGTACTCGCTGTCACTGCTAGTAGACAGAGTGAATTGAGCACGGGAATTCTGTTCTCCAGAAGCCATTTTTGCTGTCCAAGGTCGTCGTTATCGAAAGTTTCTAACGTCTGTAGATAGAGTCACAAACTGAGCGTGCTGTGTCCTGGCTGTGTATCTCTCCAAATCAGCCCTTCTATGAAGGGCGCAACGGCCGCATTCTCTCAATTCCGTCTATTGGCCAAGAAGAACATGTACTGCTACATGCCAAGCAACTTGATTGAGTTATTGGCTAAGAAATGAGAAAGTATAGAATTACTTTGGCGAGCTGAACAGCCAAATACAGACGACGCATGACCTAAAAACCCCCACTACAGTACAGTAGCAGAATCGATAGCGTACCTGCAAGTGCTCGGACCCCTCAAGAGGTAGCCAAAGTCACTAAAGCTGAACCGGGCTTTGGTGGCGTCAATGGTCGATGCAGCCATCAGCATCCTTGTGTGGCACTCTGCCTCTGGAATTGTGGGTGGATGGTAGAGAGAAACATCCTGTACTGGTCCCCCACGGTAGTTTAATGAGTTTAGGCCCTGATTAATACAATATATATAGATTAGTATAAATAGACTAAATATACTTAGCCCAGTATATAAATTATATATATACTATATAATATAAAGGTATATATACTAAGCCTAATTAGTCTTAGTATTATAATAATTATTAATATATATAGAAGGTAATTTAAGGTAAAAAAAGAAGGTTTATAGTATAACTTTTAGCCT